TTTACTCGAGAAATTTGGGCGAGTAAAAATGGTAAACAGGAATGCCAACATCTGATTGGCTGTTGTGTTGATTTTGAAGTATTGTCATCTAATATTGAAATATTTACGAGATTTCCCTTCTGGAACTTTTCGAATTATTTTGTACTTTGAGAGTGATTTTGGCATTATTCCCTTTTACTAGATCTACTATTAAAAAAGTACTGGAACAAACCAAATAAAACTGATTTTTTTCTGAATTTAGTATTTTTAATCTGACAATACTATTTTTTTTTTAAATAAAATGAGAAATATTCATTCAAATTGCGAGCTTTTCACAAACATGTTTGCTACTATTCTTCGTTTTTGTCGTCTATCCATATTATAAAGATGTTACTCATAAAATATAGGAAACAAATGTCAATATTTTCTTCCTACTCAAAGACAAACAATATTTCATAAATGCAGAAACTCTCGTCTGTCAGGGGTAAATAGGGCATTTGCCGCTTTTTTCATAACCTGCATGACTGTTGTCATATGTAAACCAGTAAGGAAAGTAGTAAAGTCGGACGGGGCCGACTATATGATACCCTTCACCACTATGGGTGTATTTAAAAGATGCATCCTAACAGAAGGGCCATTTACATGAAATTTTATGAAATAAAATATGTGACCTTTATCTAAATGTGAATCGACTTTGATCATAAACTAATTTAGACTAATGTATGCACGTTTTTTTCCTAATGGATATATTTTGGGTCCTACTTAAAATCGGACGAAACTAATGGGAGATAAAACTAAATTTGGACGGATTCCAACAAAACTTGACACACCATTGGCTAAACCATTTTCAGTACGTTGTGCAAAATAAATCCGAACTGGTTTCAGCAAACTTTAGTTCGTTGTGCAAAATTGTGTGACAATCTGCCTAACTTAAGGTCTTAAAATAGGACAATTTTCAGAAACTTTACACACATCATTCTAGACTCAATTCAGAACACACATCGTTCTAGGGTTTATTCAGTAAGCTATGCCACATTTCGTGCAAATCGAAGGATATATAGGGACTTTGGTACACCATTTACATTAAATCGTTCGAACATATATATGGGAGCCATATCTAAATCTGAACCGATTTTCAAGAAATTTTACACACATCATTCTAGACTCAATTCAGTACCCTATGCCAAATTTCTTGAAAATATAAATATATATTGGGACCGTTTATATTAAATCGGTCTAACATATATATGGGAGCTATATCTAAATCTAAACCGATTTTCAAGAAATTCTACACACATCATTCTAGACTCAATTCAGTACTCTATGCCAAATTTCATGCAAATCGGAAGATATATGGGCAATATTGCCAATTTTTTAACATAGCTGAAGCGGAAGTTCACCCCTTTATAACTCGGGAACTACTTAAGTATATGAAAAAAAGTGAATAGTTTTGGGTTAATTTATCTGTCGTTGCAAACTGCTCATGATATTGACCTCCAAACTTTATTTTGGTGGAAGCTGTGTCTACTTTAATGTAAAAAAATGTGTAAAAACACGTTGAGGCGAACCAGTTTTTTTATGTTCTCTATCGATTTGTGACTAAGCCACTCATTGCACGGTCTTCGTGTCAAAATAAAACTAGAAGCCAACAAAATGGGGACTACGCCCCTTATGTATCATTTTTCAAAATTTTCACTGCATCTACCTTTAAATGATGCTGACATTTTGAAGCTCGATTTTGAGTGTTTTTTTAATTTTAATTCTAGCTTTAATACGCAAACAGGAATTTCTAAAAATCGATTATAAGATTATTGTAGTCGCGAATCTGCGTCATTTGATATGTATTTTGTGTATGTAGTATGCACAGCTTCAGAGTAATACTCATCCGAAGGTGCGAATTTTGTGCGATCAAATTTCTAAAAAACCTATTTTTCGGGCCAAATTTTTAGATCTGTCAACTGAATGATATGGGTACCCGCGATCAATAAGGTTTTTTACGTTTCGGATGATATAAAATCTTCTTCGTGAAAATCCATCTATTAGAACGGCGGGAACTGGCCTTCCAAAAACACGAAATTTGGCAAAAAATGTTTTTGAAAATATCGCGGATTTATTTGCGTTTTCTGTGTATCATTTCCGCTTCAATAAATGACCTCATATGGATTTTGATCTTTTTCGAAAAGAGAACTTTAAAAACTTCAGCCGAAAGAGAGATGTACGCAATTTATCTCAAAAATAGATTGTGCTGGCACATCCATGGTTCTTAATGGACCACATTGAAATGGTATAGATCGATGTATTTTTTTAGGGTGCACACCGAAATCGGATGCGCGTTAATGGCATATGCAGTTTTTGGAAATTATTCGCGTTTTACGATTTTTTGGGTACTTCAATGCAACGTGTGGCACATCTTAGCCGTCAAATGAAATTTCGCAAAATATGCATGGATTGGAAGATAAACTTCAGTACTTCCTGGAAACCGCATGCGCATCAAATGATTTTGAGAATTACGCGATTTAGACGCAATTTATCTCAAAAATATTGTGAGCTGGCACATCCATGGTTCTTAATGGACCACATTGAAATCGGTATAGATGGATATATTTTTTTAGGGTGCACACCGAAATCGGATGCGCGTTAATGGCATATGGAGTTTTCGGAAATTATTCGCGTTTTACGATTTTTTGGGTACTTCAATGGAACGTGTGGCACATCTTAGCCGTCAAATGAAATTTCGCAAAATATATATGGATTGGAAGATAAACTTCAGTACTTCCAGGAAACAGCATGCGCATCAAATGATTTTGAGAATTACGCGATTTACACGCAATTTAAAATGTACATTTCATAATATTATTTTATTTTAAGATTTATTCCTATTTATAGAATTCTAAGATTAATTGGTAGGGTCTTGATATAATCCACAAGGCGTATACTTATACACAAAAAGTGATTATTATTATATATGTCAATTTTTCGGCGAAAATCGGGTAAAATAGCAGAATAACCCCAACATTTTTTTCTGAAATTTCTTGTATACAATTAAAAAAATAAATATGATGACATTATTTTTCCGAACCAAAAACAAATATTTTTTCTCAATATATTGTTTTGTTGTCGCTGTGATTTAGAAACCGCTACACGGACTTGTGTGATTTTGATATCATTTGATTCACCATGGTGTTTAGATTATGTAGATATTTTTAAATTAATTTTTAGGTGTGTGTATGTCATTAATATAATGAAAATATTGACGTAATCTGCTATATTTTTTTATTTTTCTCATATTTCGCGAATATTTGCAACTTTATCGTGATTATTATAATATATTCATATTCTCATTTTACGGAGGAAGATATATATCAACGTTTTTGGTCAATATAATAAACGGCGTAATTTTAAGATTTTTTTCTTATGCTCAAAATTAAAACCTCGATAACTTTTGCGCGCATCAACCAAAAATTTGATCGCGAACGGTTTCGGATTTAGGACATTTTTCTCTATATGTGTACCAAAAATCATAGATGTGCCACAAAAACAAAAAAGCTGATTTTTTGAAAATGGAATATTAAAAAATTGGCAATATTGCCCATATAGGGACTTTTGTACCTAATTTACATGAAATAGGACGAAAATATATATGGAAGCTATATCTAAATCTGAACCGATTTTCAAGAAATGTTACACACATCACTCTAGACTCAATTCTCTACGCTATGCTAAATTTCGTGCAATTCGGAAGATATATAGGGACTTTTGTACACCATTTACATGAAATCGGACGAAAATATATATGGAAGCTATATCTAAATCTGAACCGATTTTCCCAATTTCAATAGGGTTCGTCCTTGGGCCAAATAGACTACCTGTGCCAAATTTCATCCAATTCGGATAATAAATGCGACCTGTACTTTGTTTACAATTTAACATGGACGGACAGACAGACGGACGGACGGACATGCATAAATCGACTTAGAAGGTGATTCTATGCATGTTCTCAAAAGGAACCATGTGTCTATCTCGTTTCCTTTTGCCTGTTACAAACATATGCACAAAGACATAATACCCTGCACCACAGTGTGGTGAAGGGTATAAAAATGGGCCGAAATGGATTCAACATTGAAGAAATTGAAAAATTGTATAATGCCGTTGCGATAAAATTAATATCTGCATTCATGATTTAATAATTATTTTTCAGATTGTCTGGACAAAGACCATTTTAAACTTTTGTACAATTAATGCTTGATCTCAATTGTCTTTGACTGTTGTGTCGCTTGTAAACGCAGGGTAACAATTCCACAATAACTCAAACAGAAAAATAAAGAGAAAACTCAGAAAATAAAGGGATAACTTATTTGTTTCATGTATTAAAGTCACTTTGAGAATTAGTAGCAAATACTCAATTTTGTATGAAATCGACATTATTTCGATTGCAATTAAAAAAGCGAATTTTATTTTCCATCGGATGCGCTTTAATCTGTTCGAGTAAAGCATTCAAATAATTAGTAAGCTATAAAAATCAAGAATATCCGTCATTGCTGGTTACTTTATGGAAGAACTGGGCTTTTCTGGCTTGTTTTCACGAAAACGTGCCAGGGTGGAGCAACACTGGGCTAGTTGAACAAGGGAGTGTAAGGTGGGGTAAGGGGGGGGGGCGACTGAGTGAATTCTCCAAGAAAGAAATAACCACTTATATGTATATTAACTTCACATATTGATGGCTGTGATAAGAACGGTGGTGATGTATTTCACTTTTCAAATAATTCAGATAAACAGTGTTATTACTGACGTAGACTAATGCCTATTAATTTCTTAGGACTGATATTTACAGCCATATAAAACTCAGTGAAAACTTATATATTTATTATTTATTAAGTTAAGATTACCACAAAGCGAACTACTTTCTAGGACAAACACTCATTATTCGCATGGAGTTATAGAAGTGCCCTTGTGACCAATCAGCTTTGTTGTCGTTTACTATCTAGGAAGTGTTGCAACAGCTAAACTTCTCAGGCCATCCTTTATTCACTGTCGACTTCCTCGAAGAAATGCAGGTCTTCAAATATGCTCAGTGACCTCTCTATGACCTCATCCCTGTAACGCCATAGATTCGTATCGACTACCGGGTCGTTCAGAGTCGCCTTAACCGGTGGTTCACGATAATGTTGAAGCTGGGCTACTTCAGCAGCGAACGAATAGCTTCGGCACACGTCATTCGAATTGTGCATCGGAAAATGGTTGTGAACTGCTATCACCCAGTCTGTGTTGTGAAGACATTTGGTTGCCCAATCGGGTCGGATGTGCTCACGCACTCGGTATACATGCTGCATCATGTAGAAATACTCTGGGATGTCACGATTGTAGGCTGGTTTATTCGCATACTTGGGGAAGTATATGCAACGGAAACAGAAACTAGCAAATCGCTTACAATTAGTGGTGTGAATAGTCTGCCCAAACGCCATCAGGTCGCTCCAATTTGAGAAATTGCCAACTGGCATGGGCAATTCATCGGTGTCGATCACGGCCACATGCTGATACCGATACATGTTGCGATACAGACAGTCGTTGTATGGCACCAATTCATGCAGGATTTTGGCGTAGGAATTCTTTGACATTGCCATATGTCGATACTCTGGCGTATTGCTCAACTCCAGTGACCAACTGAATGGCAAATACTCCAAGAACCCCGTCCGCTCATAATAGTTCAGCACCTTGGTTGTATTCGGATGCACCTGCAGTTTGTACATGGTGACCTTTTCGGCGCCTAGAGAACGCAACGTTTCCAAAAACTCTACAAAGCGGTACGACATGTCCTCGTGGGGATAATTCAAACCTTTGATACAGACAGCAAAACCCTTTTTCTTCTCGTTTTCTTTTAATGGCTGATAGAACACCCTGACGTTGTTGGTTGCTTTGTCACAGGGCGAGGCCACCAGCGAAACAGACTTTGGTATCCACGTGTTGTACTCCTGGGGAATGCTGCAGCTCAAAAAGTGAGCGTAATTCTGGCCAGATCCATGGCCCCACAAGTACAACCAAATGCTGTGAATAGTGTCCACCTTTGTGATCACCGGCTGTGGCTGTTCGTCGTACCACAGCTGACAGTAGCTGGTTGGATAGTCGCTGACATTTGGAGATATGTAGTTCATCATGGTCAAAATCCGAACCACTTGTTTGCCACGTGTGATACTCGGCCGTCGGTCTAAGTAGGCTCCGAAAATAAAATTTGTGACATTTCCATTGTCATACTCTTGCCAGTAATCATTCCGAATTCGGATCTGACGAAAAGTGGGGTACCACGCACATGAACTATTTAGATTACGCTTGCTGTAATTTACGTTGTCGACATATTCGATCGGCAGGAACGGCATTTCCCGCCGAATATTTTCATGTATTTGCGATGCGTTTGGACCTGAAAGTGTTTACACGGAAAATTGTATCAAAGCAAAGAGTGAGACAGAGAAAAGTCTTACCACTTCTTGTATCAATGGCCAAACGCTTTCTAACTTTAGCTAGCACCAATTTGGTCTTCCCGCCTATGGTGCCCTCGTTGAATTTCTTCAGCAATGTTTCGCGATTCAGCATCGTAAACACCACCATATTCATCACCAACAGGCTTAGGAAAATCCGACCAACAATCTTGTTTCTATTCCACATTGTCTATATAGTCCAACGATTGCTCAGAGAACGTCTGACCGGCGACTCCTTCCAAGATATACTGAGTCATCTTTGCACTAACATTGAATGTCCCGTGTGCCGCGGTACTGTCAAATAGTTTGTGTCAAATACCAGTGCATGTTCCGTAATCAGATGTATACGCATTGATGTTCAAATTTGATAGCCTGGAAATACATGTTTTGATAGTGGGTTGATAACGAATTTACGTCTGTAGGTACAGCATCGACGAAAGACGTTTGCGTCTAACCGCCCCTTACCGTCTGCTCTGTGATCCACCGAAAAATGTTCATTCAATTGGTACACTGGCCTTGACTACACCAATTCTCAATAAATATCAGTATTTCAGTATTTTTTCTCCATATGAAAGATAAATCCATCAAAATTCAAAAAGTCAAATTGGGGTTCTCTACGATTGCCCCGTCTGGTTACAAATAAACAGGTCAAAGCTATAACTAATAAATATAAGTCTGTGTTTGTATGTGAATAAACAATTGTTTTATTTTTCTCTTAAGTTAAACTAATAAATATTATATTAAAGCTAGTACATCTCTGATTCGCGTAACATCATCTCCGACGACAACTAGCGCGACCTATTTCACCAGACCTGCTTTGCGCAATGCCGACGTCGTCTGTTCAACCAAAGCGGTTCGATAGCGCTCAATACCATGATCGGCTATCACTTCTCGGAAATTCGGGCTAGGCTGCTCATCGTGGTAGTGTTGCAAATGGGCAAGTTCTTCCGGCACATTGAATGGATTGCAAGCGTTCAACCACTCCAGGCTGTAGTGATTGTGCAGGGTCACTGCTTTGGATGTCCGATGCAAGCATTTGGTAGCATAACCTACGCGGGAATAGTTACTCGTTCGGTACGTATGATTCAAGAAGAACATATAGGGTGGACTCGTGGGGCTACCTGGCGGTGTGCTGTAGTCCTCTGTGCTGTTGGCGATTACGAATCGCCGGGGATTGTATGGAAAGTAGGTGTTACGGAAGCATAGCGCAGCAAACCCCTGCGTACAGTTCTTCGACTCTCTGTACGGCATGGATGCTTGGACGATGTCATGCCACGACCGCCGTTCTCCGCGCGGCATTATAATTTCGTCGACATCGACTAGGGCGATGTACTCGTACTCATACAAATGGCGGTAGAAGCAGTCATTGTAGGGCACCAACTCGTTCAAGCGCTTGTTAAATTGTGTAGATTTTAGAATCCAGTGTTGCAGGTGGGGCAACCCCACAACGCCGCCAACCAATGTGATTGGCCGAACTTCGACAAATCCCTCCTTCTCATAGTAATTTAGAAGCGTTTTGACGTTAGGGTGCACATCAATCTCGTACATGAACACTTTTGCTGCTCCCAGCAGGCGCTGCATCTCGAGCCACTCAGCCAGCCGGGAAGACAGATCAATAAAGGGAAAATCCAAACCTTTTACGCACACGGCAAAAGTTGATTTCCCGTCGACTGCAGAGGGTTTGTTGTAGACCACATTCAGAATATTTAGAGCGGTGTCACACTGATTACCAACGATGGAAACCGCCTGGGGAATACGAGCACCTCCGGTCACATTTGCAGATGGCTTGGCCAAGGGACAAGTAATTAAAACGGGGAAGAACATGCGGGAGCCACCCCAGCGCCAAATAATTTTATATTCATGTATTGGAGGTAATTCCGGAACATTGTCATTTTCATACCAAACTTGGCAGAAGGATGATGGAAAGGGTGGCTTCAGCTGATTGACGAGGCCAAGGATTCGTACAACCGGCCCTTGGGGCAAATCTTCGCGTTCGTCGTAATACGCACCATACAAATGAAATGTAACGTTTTCCCGACTGTACGTCTGCCAGTAGTTATTGTAGAAGCGCAACGACTGCAACCTTGGAAAATTGGCACAGTTAAGAGCTTTGCGCATTGTCCGGTTCTCATGGCGACGCGCGTAACTGAATGGGACATACGGAAGTTCCTTTTGGAATTGTGCGAACAACTCATCGATCGAGGGTTCTGAAAATCACAGAATAGACGATTCGAACTAATTCAGATATTAAAAAGTGAAATCGTTGATTTGTAAAAAGGCCGCTGGCGTCAAAGCTCATTACAGCCTTCTTACAAATGACACAGATCTTGAATGGATAGTTTCTTGGGACATTGGACTCCCGCATTCCTACTATTTACATACTCCATCATGGTACCCCATTTCGAGAAATGAACATCCACTTGATAGCAATTACATTTTATTTACGATATTGACATAGTTTTAGTACAGACCCAGTTAACAGCAGATGTATGCTCTGCGGCATACTTCAAATAACATGCCGAATTCGCATACCTCTATTGTTACTGTTTTCCAGGAAGACATCATCATCGTCTGACAGTTCAATTCCTCCAGCTCGTGCAGATAATTTTGGATTCCGCGATGTGACCATTTCTGCGGCCCCTTGACTCTCGAGGCCACGCAATATCCTGCTGTAGTAGTAGCTGTGACCGCTGTTGAACACATTCATCAGCAATATGATGAGCAGCCACGCAAAGAGGGCAAGTGTAAGAATTTTACAAATTTTCGATTTGGGCGCCATTGCCTCTGTTTTGTATCGGTATTTTGTCTCACGGGCGTTGATTAGGTATTAGGTTCCGCACATTGAGATGCAAAATTAATCCATTCAACTAGCGTTCTAAATAACAACTAAATCAGGTAGAACAAATTTCAAAATACGCCAAGGTTCGTGCGCTCGGCATCTTATCAATTCCAACACTATTCGATAATTCTTGTTGTGTTCCACGAATTCTTTGCCCTTGTTGTTGATGTTGTGCCAATTGACACCCGGTCTAGATAAGTTTTTTGGGGCTTCTTTTCGACGATTAGAACTAATGAATTGGGTGTTGCCACCTTAGTAGCAATTGCATACAAACATTATTCCCGAGGGTATATGGTTGCTAATCCTAATCAACGAATCCGAACTTTATAACTATGCGCAATATTACCCGAAGCCAAGCAATGTTCGGCACCGAAGTGCTGAAATCACAAGTACCATCATATGTAGATAATGTCATTGGTGTGTTAATGGCACTTTTGTATTGGTTAATGCATCTCCATTTTGCACCGCAGTTGTGCACATGAAATGAAGATACACTTTTTTACATACGACGATAATTTCTATCGGGAGTACTAGAAAACAAGAAGTTACTCCCGAATCGATTTCCAGAAACTATCCAAACGATTAAGTTATTGTTCGCGTTTTTAATGGGCACAATGCCGTGTTTGATTAATACATATATTTGCTTAATATATCTACAGCTCATTATGTCCTACCGGGTATTATTGTACCTTACCACGAAGTATAAAATAGTCTTTCACATCTATCGATAACGAGCTAATAGTTTGAATCAATTAAAAGTATCATGGCATTGGGAAAGTTTGCTGGCGATTAAAAAAACATAAATGCTCAAAGGTTAAATGTAAAATATTACCGAGTCGCTGTCAAGCAATGAAAGTAATCAAGTAGCTGTACATGGTTGGGACATGTCTATTTCGACACCTCCGATTGCAGCGGTTCAACAATTCTATATATGTGTTTGTTTGGTATCTAGGCGAATAACTTGTATTCGAGATAGTGTTTATCTTGTCAAATATTTTGGGGATCGGGAATATTTTCCCGTGCTTATTGTTCTCAACTCTGGAGGATGGTATGACAATTCAGGTGAACTGTGTGCAATTCTAAGGAAAAATGTGGAAATAATATACAACTATTGTTGAACCGATAACAAAAATGGGACATTTGCTTCACAACACACAACAGCGAAAATCCATAATCTGTCCAATAATTCCAGACAGGACCAATAAAGAGAGACTGTCGGAGGGTCAGATATATTAGTGTGGTACCTATGAAATTTGTACCAAAAATTGTGATCGGGCTGATTGTCATTTCCATTCAAGAAAACATTAAACGATCGAGGGAAACCCGATAGTGCTTCCATAAGTTATGTTTTCTTTCGCTTTATTCTTTACATATTTAGCTAGTAATTTTAGTGATGACACTGACGGGTTACTGACAAGTTCCACTGGATGTGACAACGGATAATAAAAATCATTAATAAACTATTTTGCTACAAAAATTGGGAGTTCTTACCACCCCCTCATCTTTTATCCAAACGGAATATTGGAACCGCAGAGGATGGCTGTACTTTGAGCCCCCACCACCAATTCCAATCATTTGCCGATAAGTCTTTTGTTATAAAATTGTTTATTCGCGTTGTCAGCTTTCCGATAAACGGCTCTCTGATAAGGCGAGTTATCAAACAGCGATCAGCAGTAATGTTGGTTCTGCGTTCACGCCGTGGACAGTTTGGCGTTGCTAGTAACGAGCAACGGTTTCGCTGGAAATAACTGTAAACGTCGGAACAAGTGTTTCAAGGTGTGTGCGTGTGGGCTCTACCAAAAAGACGAGAACTAAAATATGTTGAGATTCCATTTGGTTTTGGTGGCGGCCGTGGCCCTCACGAGCGTACTCCTGATGAGCCAAGCACAAGTGGCGGCCAATGATCAAATCGAACAGTTGAAAAAACAATTCATGCCGGCCCAGTTCCGAAATGCCAGTTTATCAGAAGGTAAGCTTCTATGTACGTTTTCTGGTTAATTAATTTTTAAACACTTTGTTTTTCGTCTTCGTTCGCAGAGGATCTGAAGAAAATCTTCAAGGAGAAGTGTAAAAAGGCTACGGGTGTCGACAACTCCACTCTATATCAGGAAGTAGAAAAGGGCAGTGTCCTGTTGGTTGCTTGCCTCTCAGGCCTGGCCAATCTAACAGCTTTGCAGCAAGAAATCGAGGAGGCCCGACCATTAGGAGAACTCGATACCGTATTCCATAAGCATTGTCAGAAGGCACCGGCAGCCGAAAAATGTTTCCGTGAATTCAATACTGTCATTCAACCATGTCTGAGTCCGGAGGAGAAATCCCAGAATGCCGTAATGATGCGCATCGTGTCCGGCCTGCTGAACTTTATGTGTGCCCGCGGTGGCGACCAAATAGCTCTATTCGTTGCCGAAGACGGCCCCGAATGCCTGGAGGCGAACAAGGAGGCCATCGCCCACTGTGCCAATAAATCGTTCGCTGAATTCACCCCCAAGAACAAAGTAACAGATCTGTTCAACTTGCCCGACTTCACTTTGGAACCAGAGCACTGTGTGGACCTGGCAAAATTCGAGGCGTGCACGATACACCATTTGGAGCAGTGTCAGGAGATTACACCCGCCAACGTGGCTGAATCAGTGTTTAAGTTTGTGAAAAACGAGACGAGCTGCAAGGCTTTCCTAGAAGGCAAAACCAAGCCACGATCCATTCTCAAGGAACCCAAAAGTTCTGCCTCTGCAATGCCGACTATTACTGGGACCGCTTTTGTGGGACTCCTCTTATCAACGGTGTACGCCAAGTACTTCGTATGATTCCAGTAATTTAGTTCTTAATTGTGTGATTCCCTCCGACGCCCTTTCGAGGCGGTTCAATTGTTATTGTCGCTGTTCTATATTCACATTTAAGTAAAACAAAAGTATTTATTATACCCCAAAATCGACAACATCCCATTCTTTTCATAGCTCGACAGAAACTTCAAAGCATTGGCGAATGAGTCAGGCCATAAACATAAACAATGACCATTGACACATATCTTATCGGACGCGGGCAACACTAATTGGTAACTGGAAACAATATTTGTTTTATGGAACTATGGAACTGATAAGGCCACACTCATCAAAGTGGTGGGTTAATGCATATACGATACACATGTAGAAATAGGTATCCTAAATGAAATTTTTCTTCCAATGTCTAAATTGTTCATCGATATAAAAAATATAAGGTTACCGACATAGGTGTGTTCTGATTATTGTGATGGTATGACGGTAAATTTTATTCAAATAGTATCGAACGGTTTAGGGTTTTCCGCACAACATTGGAAAACATTTGTTGCAGATTGCCACTATCCCTTTCTTTGGAGATCATAGCATTTCACATTTCTCCTATCTAAACTTACTCACACACCCACATTAACAAACAGACACGACAGCGAACCGAAAAACCCTCCCTTTGTTCGCTCATGAACAAAACAATAAAAGTCTCATTAAATATTCATATGATGATGATGATGGTGATGATGACGAGGAGGAGGAGGAGGATGACGACGACAAAGAAATGCTCGAAACGTCTCAGAGCTGCTCAAGGAATACTCCAAAGAAAGCGGTTGCCAGACGTTCATAATAACTCGTTTTGTCTTCATTACCAAGTTATTATGAATGCCCAGAGAAGAGGACATGATTTATGGCAGCAACCTTTTTGATGACTTGTGCAATCTGAGGAAGCCCCCACAATAGACATTTCTATGGCCGTAACATTCAAAGTCCGTCCATGGGGAACAGTTTATTAGAATTTAATAATGGAATTGGCATAAGAGTTCGTTGGCCTTTTGTAAATAAAATAAAATGGGTTACAGGTACATTTACATGTATGTATATACAGGAAAATCGATATATAAAGGTGGTCAATATATATATATATATACCTATGTCTCTTTAATATGTTTGGATTTGAAATCCGACAAAACACTTTTGTTGGTTTAGATCACTAATGCACAAACTAGTACGATAGCGGTGATGGCTAAACAAGTTTTCTCTCTTTTCGTCAGATGATCTCTCAGTTACGCTCTCACACACTTACTCTTAATTTAGTTCTGTTCAACACTGGTTTAGATACATATTTACATCTCAAATTTCCAATGTCTCTAAGATGTTACTGAAAAAAAAGACCAAAAATACTGATTCACGATTGTTCATAGTCCCTATGTAATGGAACCGCCCAATTTGTAATATTTCAAAATGGTTGAACATCTTCAATACAATACTACTTAACGTTAAACCCCAAATTTAGATTGGAGACGTCCATAAAGTTCGAAGCAAGCCAGCCACTTTTGACATTCAATGTAGATGACTGCAAATAGGTCCAGTCTATCTACATTTTTGGAATACTGACCATATAGATTTATAAATCGCTGGCTTTACTTGAAAAGGCAAAAAGTCCAATTTTCCTAGAAATTGAGATTTTGTTGCAGACATGCTCATCAATAAGTTATTCAAATATCAATTAAAAATCGTCCGACCTTCAGAGATTTGACCACATCAATGAATGCCTTAATGCTTGGTTTTTTTTGGCCAAATCATTCGCATGAACTACGATTCCGGATAATCCAACTCAGCATTCCTTAAAGAATATCAACTTCATGCCCGTTCATCTGCCGTCCCATCCAACAACGAAAGACATGATTGCATAAACAAACACTTAAATAAAATCATAAAAAACACATTTCTGCAAACTAATCTAAAGTTAATTTACGGCGTACAGCAAAAAAGCCAGCAACCCAGACAAAAACTCGTCATTGTTGTAATTAAAACCCCATTCCGTTGCCAGACGTCGGATGTTTCCTTCAGTTCGGGCGAAAAATACATTAAAATAGTTTCCCTTTTTCTGAACTGTGCGACAATATTCCCTGATAAGATTATCCTCCTTCCTTGGGGGTAGCTCCCTGCCTAGCTTTGTCTGAGTTGGTGTTTTGTCTGTTGTCATGGTGACGACGACACAAGCACACAACGACGACAGGCAGCCAAATGCCGGGTATAGAAGCTGCTCATTAAAAAAGTTGTTGCTCAACTGAAATTGCATTACGCTCGTAATGAACAAACACAAAGCATATTTATTCAAGACAACAGCCTACAGCACCAATGGGGGTTGAATTGGCGGCAGAGGAAAGCCCTGAAGGCTACCTGTAGTGTCAGTTTCCACTTATGATAAACTTCTATGGTCGATTGACGAGTGAAGGACAAAAGAAACATTTCAAATTTCTCTCGATTTCCCATTTTACTTTATTCGATTAGTATTCGTGCCGAATGCAAAAATAAAAGTTGTGCATTTTATTCGCTTCACTGGCCGCACTAGAAAACTTCATCTACACAGGCGGCTGTCTTCGCCAGTGGTCTGTGGCAGCTCTTAATTTAACGCTTAGTCTAGTGTCTAATTGCATTTTTACATTTTAATGCCAATCTCGCCTTCAACTCCGCAGTCACACAAATATTTGACCATGGCGTTGCTTGGTCATACGCTTGGCAATCAAGAACTTTTAAGATGTCCGGCAAAAACTAACTCTGGCTCGAGTTGAAACTTATTGGCTGGTCGATCTGTCGTTACAAATCCCAGAGAAGAAACTGAAGCAAAAACTTCAGTCACGCTACAAAGTTGTTGTTGTTGTTATTTTCTTTTGACTGGGACAATCGCCATCGTTGCGTGGACTGAAAAGTTTACCATGAAGGAAGACAAAATAAAAGAAGGAAGACCAAATAATGAAGGAAGACCAAATAATTTTCAGAAACTATTGCAGTCCACCCTTTACATATATATTTTTGTGAATTTGTCAAATATCTGCTGCCCTTTTTCAATTTCAGAGCCAATTCGTCTTGTAATCCTTGGTGGTTTGATTGCCTACTCGTCATTGAATATTATGAATAGATTCGCCTTGCTATTATCGGCAATTTCGTTCATGGGGTTATTGTGGTTTGAGTTGGACAAACAACCTCTCTATCCTCATCACCAAGTACACACTCCGAAAAAATACACCCGGAAAATGGCAACAGAATAATTTTAGGACTTAACATTTGCTAATTGCCAAACAGCAACGACAGCAAAGTACTTGGACATTTGCTGATTGGTCAAACTTTTCAAACTAAAGATTGGCCTGTAAATTAATTTATAACAGACCAAAGGACAACACAAATTGTAATTCAAAAAAGCCCTTGAGTAAAAACTTTGTCTTCCAGCTCTTGGCACCTTTGAAGGCATTCAATGAATGTATGAACGTCAACTGGTTGTCCCTTTGCATTGTAGCTTGCCCGACACACATCTCCTATTCAACGTTAAGTGTGTTATTGCTTAAAACACCAGATGCGAGAATGCAACAACAAAGAGCTGTCTAAAATTAACCACATAAAGGCTTTTCTTACTACTGTCGAGGTGACAACGACAAGTGTCGTTGTCGCCAACACCAACCAACTCCAAAAGGATTTCCACTGTTCTGCCGGATGCATCTCGGAGAAAGCGGGCACTGCTAAGTGGTTTGTTGTAACGAACACCTGTGACTCCATGTGAAATATAGTCTAGTGCCAGAAGGGGTAAAAGGGGTCCAGTCACATATGTACGAAAAGCAGACAGACAATAATGCTTCAATTAAGCTGATGGTAGCAGCTTAGTACTGCGACACTTAAAACTTTAATACAGGCATGGGCAGATCGTAAAAAAATCGGTTCTCACGCATTTGTCTTTGTGTGTGTGCCAATGGTTTTTCAGTTGGTTCAGTTGAATGTGTGTGAGAGAATAGTGATATTTACTCCCGCGAGAGAGCACGCGTGCGATGGTTCGCCCGACACTGCTTTAATATGTCGACAATTGACAGTTGGCAGCTACAAATACATACGTAAGATCATTGTTCGAAAATGGAAAACAAATAAAATGCTGATTTTTTATTTAAAATTCCTTTCAATTCGAAAACATCAGCGCCTAAGTACATTATTACCCATCAGTCTCATCTTCATGTTTGGGTCCCAGTCAATGAGTTAGCAATTTGCCTCTTACAGGGTAGTGTGTGCAATGAACCATCGGTTGGAATTAAATTTCGGCTGATGTGAACACTTGAGTAACTGAGAATTTTTCCGCAAAAAGTGTGAATGAGTCAGTAATACACGAGAGGCCCCTGAAAATAAAATGTCAATAAATAATGTTTGACGAACACTTTACAGTGTACACTACCAACCGGGGAAACATCATTAATTATTATTGGCAAAACTCTGGGGTGTCTTACATCCGAAATGTTTGATGGTCCGACAGGTGAGGTCACAAATCTATAATAATATTTATGGTGATTTTGTGTTGCCTATCAAAAATTCATTTCGATTGTGTGCCAATGGACTCCTCTTGGAGCCTCACCAATGCCTCCCGAGTTTGCCATTAGCATTGCCCATCAAAACATTCACAAATCACTCAATTTATTATGAATTTTCCTTCTTCAGGTTGTTGTATGTGGTAGTTATGATTTCAGACGCTTAAATCACTATTATCTTCTTCACACCCCTCATCACACCCATCATTATCATCTTCGTCATCACTTTGCGTTTTAGTCAAGTTATTCCGTGTCATCGTCTCATCTTCTTCGTTGGCCCATCAATTCGTTTTCTGTGAAGACGGTAATAAATTGTTTCCCAGTTGTTGTGCTTCATTTTGGCTCGTTTTGATGTGCGGAATGCTGAAGTTGCCTTTGTGTGGGAGGCAACTACTGTGTATGCCCTGTTCAGCAGCTTCTTCTTCTCTACCTCTCTCTGGTATTCCTTGGTCTGCCATGAGAAATGCAGACCATAAATCATCTTTTTATGTGTTTCCTTCGAGGATGACTGGGAAGGTCTTTAATTCCCTATTTTCATAAAACCAACGGTTTTTTGCATTGACCGAGATTTCACTCTTTTGAATGCCCATTGTCGTGATATTTGCGTCAGTTGTAGGAGATCTGAGTTGGGGGGCGTACACTTAAAACTCAGACTTTGATTTGAAATGTAGTTAGAAAAACATTTCAACTTCATGATCAGATTATTTTGGTATCTAATGAAATGAAATCCTTCCGATCGGTTTAAAGCACGCCGAAATGTGTATGTTTGTGTGTGTGATTGCTGATACTCTCTGAATTAGTGGAAATGAAAAATCTCTCTGTGTTTCTAGTGCACAACTCAGCACAATGCAAGTTTAAATATTTCATGATTTCCAAATACACTGAAAACTAAGCGATTTATTTTCGGATGCACAGCTACAAACACATGCGTAGGGATTCACTGTGTTTCGCTTAGCTGTGTGGCTTAGCGATGCTTTGTGCCATCGCTGCTGCTTTCTTTCAACCAAAGAAAAATGAAATGCATTATCCTTCGCTGCCAGAACAAAAAAAAACAACAGCTCTGAGCACAGTTGCAGCATAGTTTACTTACGATACACGTGCACTTCATACGTCGTTCTTTTGTTGCAAACGAGCTTAGCTCGCCGGATAGAGGGAATGACAGAAAAGGCGATTTTCCCAAATAAGAAAATGAAACTCGCCGAACAATACCTTGAGACACTGATAACGAACAGGCAGGACTCTCAGATTGCCACGCTTTAGTTCTGCCTTTGCATAGAGTACAACAACATGGCAGCGTGATGACACACTTCGGCAGGGTTCCCTGTGTTCTTCGACGTAGATTTCATTCCATTTCTTCTGCACAGCCAAAAAAGAAAACGAAACAAAAATACTAAACGACCTCATGATGAATTGCTGAAATTATTTGCACTTATTTGCCTCCGACCAGGCCAGGTGAAGAAAGCTGAAAAAACTGCAATCCGAAAATCCTTGAGGAGAACGACATGGATGAAAGAAACTTCAAGTCGGAGGAAAAAACAGTACTGACGAAAAAGTTTGCACAATAAATTGTGGAAAACGTCACACACGCACTCAGGAAGATAAACACGCACACCCTTGCCAAAAATCCCTTCAACCCAATGACGATAAGCAGAACAATGAATGGTGCAACCGTAGTTTGAAATTTGAAAATGCGAAAAACTAATGCCAGTCGTATTTTTAAGTAATCTTAGAGGAATGTGCCGAATATTGGTCATTGAATTTTCAACATTAAATTTGAAACATCGTCATCGTCGTCATGATTTTGGGGGCATTCACAACTTAATCCGGCTTCTATATCCTTCCCGGACGGAAACGGTGTAATTTTGACTATTTCTTAGCTAACGGAACGAAAGCTAATGAAGTTATAGTTGGTCGGTTATTCGCAAGAGCTATTGCCGGCGAAGGACACTCAGTTTGCACTGGGGTATCCAGAGTGTACTCGTATGTGTTGTTTTACACATACACGCACACACAAATCCATTCGAAATTGTATTAACTGTGTGTTTGTGGACTGGCACACAAAGGGGGGTAAAATGTGCATCCACATGTTTAGCAAAACTTTTTCCAGAGGCATAAAGTTGCCGTTCTTGCTGTTGTTGTTTTTGTTGTTGTTTTCGTTGCTGTTGCCATTGTTGTTACTTATGATGACGATGCTACTGTGTTGTGCTGTGTTGTCGTCATAAAATTGTTCGTTAATATATATTGTAGTGTATTTTATTACTTTTGCTATTTGGCCTTTTGTCCTGCAGCTATAAACTAATTGCCATGTTTGTTTTTGCTTTTTGCCTTTGGCAGTTGTGTTTCCCCCATTTGTTGTTGTTCTACACTTAATATTTAAGTTTTTTTCATACTTCAGTTGATTGCTGTTGCTGGTTCTCCGCTGGCGTAATCGGGACGAGGTATAAGAATCTCCGATTTAGTTTGTGTGTGGCACTTGTAAAGTGGTTTTTGTTGTTGCCACTCGCAATTGTTGTTGTTGGTTGGTTGCTATCTTTGGACTTTCATTGTAATTGTACAAAACGAACAAGTAAAAACAATAGAGTACTCCGAAAAAACAGCAACAGCAACAACACAACGGCAGCTGAACAGAAAAACAAACTTTTCCATTATGACAAGCAAAAGTTTTTCTCGCATCAACACACGAGGATCGACCTATGGCGCCAATCGAGTGGGCACAACAAAATGTTGGTATGGGAGCCGGGACTAAGATTTCCGGGAATATTGGGCATGTTGCTATTCTTATTGTATTTATGATTGAAAAAATTTTGAAAAAATAAACGGTCGTGCAAGTTAAGGATCCACGCAATCTCCATATAGCTGAATACACTTCCAAAGTTATTTCAGTTTGTGTGTCCTTCACAAAGGACACCAGACGCAATCAATCAGACAATTTATTATGTTGTTAGGAAACCCCTTCGACAGCGATTCTCGTACTTGTGGATAGCCTGCATGCATTTAAATTTGAGCTGTACAAACTTTTTGCATATTTGTCTTCATGCTGGAAAATGGAAAAGCAAATGTCCACATTTATTGAAATTCTCTGAACGGAATGTCATGACTGTTACTTCTTTCCAACAGAAAGTAAAAAAAATACTCGACAGGCTGAAAGTTTAATTTGTTTGTTCCATTTCGGAAAATGGATGTCATACAAAGCGTTTACGAAAAGCGTTAAGAGAAATCAATTAATTGGAACCAAACAGTTCGGCTTCATAAAAAGTTGAATACCCAGAACATAGAAATCACATTTACCACAACTGTCAAAGGCAACGGTGGTCCGTCAGAGACAGCAACGTAGCTGACATATTTCCCGACGTACACTACATATGTCAGTAACGTCGGAATCCTATCCAGAACCATTAGGTTTCAGACGAAGGATGTATTTCCATTAGTGAATATGGAAATTACATTTCGTTACCAAATATTGGTACGGAACGTAAAAAGGAAACAAGGAAGAATTAATTTATCGAATGTATGATTTAATAATGGACGAAATAAAGAAGAGCAAACTATCACCACTTTAAGAATTAGAGAAGATAAAATTAAAATAAAACATTTTCTTTCAATTACTAATTACGAAAAAATAACATAGTTAGCTTTGACAAAAATCATCAACAAATTATACTAAAATGTACAGAAAGAGTATCACAAGGTTTATTTATAAGGTTAACCGGTGAGGCCAGCTGAAGTCTTCATAGACTGGCCAAATTTATTGTTTGAAGAACAAATAGATAAAAATATATTTTTGAAGCAAAATATACGTGCACAATTCTATCATTATGTTTTTATTTAACAGGCCATGGTATATCCGAAGTTGTGCAAAATAAAATATTTATTAAAGTGATATCAGTGCTGTACCTACTTTTTGTGGAGTACTTTCTTTATTGTTCGCGTTAAAAATATAACATAAATAATATGTTTAAAACAATATATTCACTTTATTTTATATAAATGTAAATGTGTAGATGTGTACTTTATATAAATGTAGATGTGTGTTCACTATAAAATTGAAAAAATATATATATGAAAGTCTATTAAATTTACAATCATATCGCATCCATCCCTTTCCTATAGTTGAGCTTTTGCCAGTTGTATATGTAGCACATATGAAAATACTGGAAATCGGCTACTATTCTATGTATAAAGATTTACTGCTTCAGACCTTCGCAGCAGGCAGATCGAGTAAATTGAATACGGAAGGACATTTAATAAATAATAATTTCTAATTTAATGTGTGTTCAATTATCCTGCTGGGCCATTTTTTAAAACATAATTTCTGATATGGAAATTGGCACGTGTTTTGTTTTGGTTATTGCAGTTAACTAGAGCCATGGGCATACACACACATATATACAAAACGTGTTTATTTTGAGAAAAAAATGTAATCAGTCGGTAGATATACCCTACCTTGCAATAATTAAATTCAGCCATACTTTATCGGCAAATTTTTATTTTGAATTTTTAGTATCCGATTTAGTCCTAAATCTGTTGACGAATAAACCACAAATCTTCATTGAAACGAGAAATGTTGTTTTAGTATTCGTTGATACAAAAAGTGTTAAGTTCATTCATTCATTCATTCATTCGAAGCTCAAAACATTTTCAATGGTAGACATTTCATTTGCTCTCCATGTGTGTCTTGCCAAGATAGTCTCGAATTGAATCAGATGAAAAGAGACCACCATGGAGATGGGTGTATGTGTGCGCAAAGCTAGCACTCACACATTCACGCAAATTCAAAATTAAAGCACAATTTGATGGCAAACATTTTAACTTAATTGCTTTTCCACATTCTTGACACCGAACCATAAACATATCTCTCCGCGTCTCTGTGCAAGGCAGGACAAGAATTTCGTAACCAAATGAAAACAGTTGAGATTTTCCTGTCTACCTCCCTCTTTTTTGTCCCTATAGTGTGGCAGCATTGCTATATGACATTGGCTTACCTTGTCTGAAGATTCCAATTCGAATGTTCTCCAAGTTTCACAGTTGGGCGGTAGCATTTGGGACCAGGATGGCTGGGGCTGTTTGTGTGAAATTCCTTTGTTGGAATTGCAACTTTGAAGCAACTGGTTAAATCTGAAACCGTAAGAAGAAGAAGAAGAAAAACACATTGTTAATAAATTAGAAATGGCAAAAAATATTGATGGGTACACTTCTTTGAGTGTGTGCTGCGCTATAGGTGGCGTGAACTGTAGCTCGACGCTGGAGCATTTGCTTAATCATTGCATATTTTATGTTGGCGAAATTAAAAAAGTTTTATTCTCAAACATATTTCGCATTTTCCAGCAGAAAAGTGTGGGTGTTGTTCGGATGGGTGATGTGATTCCATGTTGAAAAGTTGAACATGGTGAAACTCTCCTCCCCCACTAACACAGTCACAATTATGGGCAACATGTTTCCATTTGCAAAGTAGGGTTCAGTGGGCCAATTCAAATGTAGGGCAAATTGACTTTGTTTCGAATGTTATAATTATCTGCGCTTTTCTATTCTACTTCCTTTTAGTTCATAGAGGGATCTCTCGGACCAAACAATTATATCGCATGGAGGAAATCAAATGTCTATGCTCTGAAGTCGCATGCATAGTGGCCTCTATTCCACATTTGACCGGGCAAGCCAACTCACAAATTAAATGAAATACAATTCTAAAATGTTTACAACCCTTCAACCTGACCATTAAACCCTCTTCGCAATGACTGAACCTAGCCAAACAGTTGCATGGACATTTGATATGGCGTAGAACAAAAATATATTCAAACCACATTTTATGGCGCATTACCAGTCGAAATGACTTTTGCTGGCTCCACTCTGGCCAAACCGGTGTTGTTCCTGCCCTGTTGATTGTGAGTGGGGGGCTCAGCCGGGGGTTTGTGGCTTCAACAATGTTTGTATTTAAATTAAGCTTTGACAGTATGAAACCACAAATTAGACCACAAAATGCTTATAATTTGAGGATTTCACACACACGCACACACTCACTAATCTACGAAGATGCTATTTTTCGACTAACTTTTATTGTTGTCGAGTTTTTTCATTGTTGTGGCGGCGAAACTGTTGTACATGGTAAACAGAGAATCTCCGGGGTACGAGAATTGGGAAATACGCAGACGTAAAACACATTTGGGAATATTTAAATACTTTCGAAACTAATATTTGCATAATAAACGAAAAAGCGGTAAACGACATCGTGTTCTAGGTGTGGCTAACAATGTCTGTGGTCTTGGGTAGGCAGGGATCCACGGCGGTCTAGGCGACAGGATAGTTGGTAGTTGCCGGTGTGGTGTGAGTTGGATCGAATGTCAGCTTTTACTTTTCACACAACTTGATTTAGGTGCGACAGAAATTAAAATTGCGGTGGCATGTCGTAATGAATTCCGCCAACAAGTTAAACACACTTTTCAAAAAGTCACTGCCAAAACTAAGTTCAGCAGTTTGGTGGCACAGAGATCAAAATATATGTGTGTACATGGAAACGTACTTCAAAGTTGCTAGGAAAAAGAAGAGTTCGGCATCAAGTTTAACATTGCATGCGGCAGTAGCCGCAGTCAGCGATGATTTAATTTCATTTGTCAACGCTCAACATTATAGACCCAAGCGGAAAATGCCTCAGATGGAAATGGGAAACTTATGATTTAATAATTAGTAAACTTTGTTTTCCTTTACACGGCAGTAGTCGTACACCAGCAGCGGAAGCAGAAGCATATGTTGCGATTCACATGCTCACACCCCTTCTCACGGGTGAAGGCACACACTCGCACACATCCTGGCGCAATTAGTTGTCTATGTTATATTTAATTACCTCTCGCTACATCGACAACAATAATAGGAACAGCAACAACGTCAACGAGCATTCCACCCCATCCTCTGCTAGGAAACATCCACAAAAGTTTTGTAATAATTTATGTTTCGGTTAATGAAAATACGAACAAAGCGACCAAAGCAAGCCGACTGGCTGGCCCGCTGGCAGACGGCAATCGAAGGAGGAAACAACGCAGCGATTCAAATTTCATAAAATCAACCGAACAAAAATTATGTTGTTGTACATCCCAATTAAAGTGAGCTGGGAAGAGCCATATCCAGCCGCAATGTAAAGAGAGTACGAGGTTGATGTGGCAATCATCGAATGGAAACTAAAACAAAAAACCAAAAGCGATGGTCATTTGGTAATTTTGCATTCTATTGCCGATTAGAGAAATGAGAAATGGGGTACAAAAATTCAAAACCATTACAGACGTAGTCCCTTCCATTCTAAAGTAGTACTAGCTGACGGAGTTCAAACACTTCCGCATCAGCCTCCATACACATTTCTTTCTACGAGGTGAAAAATAATATCAAACACAAACGCACATGCACACACACACATACGATGCTGTTGGACTACTGTGGGATATTTTGCACATCCGTTTTCTCCAGTGAATCCCAACCTTCCAAACCACCTAAGTAGCTTTCGGAATAGTGTGGGCAAAGTAAGGTTAATACAGAACCCCATCAACGTAGCACACCGGCACCGGCACAGACACACACTCACGCGAACCACTTTCTCTCTCACCCCTGCACACATAATTAACAAACACAAATAAAATAGTTAATGTTATGTCTGCGAACAATCCCACACCCATATAGAAAACCGCAGCGAAAACCACGACCCAAATAAATTTCCAGCATCCTGCCGAATGCTGGAAACCACTTAAGTTAATGTCGAGTGAATGAGCAGCAAGTCTATTAAATATGCACAGCAAATGGGATCTGGGATTTGAAGGTTTAATGATTATTAACTCATAATCATAAACATCACGATGAAAGGCCTACAAAGTCCATAAAATTGCAAAGATTTTGCAATTCTGGGAGATCGCATCGCCCTCTTCTATGTGTCTTTAAGAAACGAGTTCAATATTATCGACTGAAATGCTAAATGCGAGAGATATTGTTACGGAATCTGATTGGAATCTGATCGATAATTAACACAACAGTGCAAAAGTCCTTCCATCCCGACTAAGTGCAATGTCCTTGATGTCTGTCTGATGTCCGATTGAGAGCTTTGCCCACAAGAAACACTTGCATATGTTTGAATGTGTGTGACCATTTCGATAATTTCAGTTGACAGAACAAATCAAACTGAGCTCCATAGCCGACTAAGTGGAGGGTCAAAAGGGTTTATTAGCAACGATTTCTATTTAATTGATTAATTTCATTTCACAACTGGGCGGAGGATTTGCAATGTATCATGGCATCTATAGGAACTACCAAGTGGAATCCGCTATACACAACTATAGGCCAAAGAATGGTACTTGCTGTAAATTCCAAGAATTGATTTAGCCTTAGAGTGCCTAACGAAGGGACGAACAAAGATTGATTTTCATTTATAGTTTGATGCCAACGTCCTGCAAAACTGTTGGCAATGCAAGTTACTTCCAGACTCTGACAAGGACGAACATGGTTTATTTAAAATTATTATTTATTCAAGAAGCAAACATACAGAGCTCTGGCCATTGGCTGTGAAATAATTTCTCAATATTCATTTGGGCTTCTCCTTGACGATCTCCAGACTTACCATTTCCTTGTACAATACCTTGCCAATTGTTGTGGGATTATTGGTGACTACAACATTGGCACTCTCCAGGGCATTAATTTTGTCCTGAGCTCCACCCTTGCCGCCAGATATTATGGCACCAGCATGTCCCATTCGCCTGCCCGGGGGCGCTGTGAGACCAGCAATGAATGCGGCCACCGGTTTCGGTGGGTCGCCACAATTGTTTTCCATCAGAAATTCGGCTGCCTTCTCTTCGGCGTCACCACCAATTTCGCCTATCATCACAATTCCCTTGCACTCGGGATCTTCAAGGAACAACTCCAAACAATCAATGAAATTCGTGCCATTAAAGGGATCACCACCCAGCCCCACGCATAGTGTTTGGCCCAAACCGTAGAATGTGGTTTGGTTGACTGCCTCATATGTGAGGGTTCCAGAGCGTGACACTACACCCACCATACCTCGCTTATGGATGTTACCCGGCATAATGCCAATTTTGCACTTCTCTGGAGCAATAATACCCGGACAATTGGGACCCACCAAACGGGACTTGTTTTGCTGCAGCAAAGCTGCCTTCACTTTTACCATATCGTGCTGGGGTATGCCTTCAGTTATGCACACAATTAGCGGAATCTCTGCCTCAATTGACTCCATTATGGCGGCAGCTGCTCCCGGTGGCGGAACATAAATGACGGAAGCATGAGGTTGAGTTTCCTGTTTCGCTTCCTCTACGCACTCAAAGACAGGCAAGTCCAGATGCTTTGTTCCGGCCTTTTTTGGCGAAACGCCGCCTACAACTTTCGTACCATATTTCAGAGCCTCTTTACAATGAAATGTAGCTTGTTTTCCTGTGAAGCCCTGACAGATAACTTTTGACTCCTTGCAGAGTATCAGATTTCTCAAGGTATCGTGATATGGGTCGCAACACATGAAACGTCTCGGTGTACGAGTTAATCGACAACTTGCAACGGATGTGACCTCCTTTGAAATTAACCGGCCAATCGTACTAAAGAACGCCATAGTTTATTAAAAAAATGCACAAGAAAATTATTTCCAGGATGGCAATTCAAAATTAAATTTGAAATATGACTTTGGTTTTTTCCGGATTGCTTTGCTATTAACAAGGTTACAAGGTAGATCCAACGGGTATCGGAAAGCTTAAAATTCAAAACAACCTCAACCAAAAATGCTTGTTCTGGACTGCTATTGTCAGCATTGACTTTAGAAAAACATTTAATCGCTATCGTGAACATTTCTGTTTTCTCAGAGGTACACACGAAAATCACATTTCATGGCTGAATCGCAAATCTGCTTTGCATCACATCTTCCCTATGCTTCGAACGTAAATTAACAACTTCGGTTGTGGAAACCCCGTTTGTAGAACATTACAGCGTGGAATCATTCGATATAACTCCGTTCTCGAATATTATATTCTCAACAATGAAGTTGTTGAGCATTTTGCTCAACCAGTGCCAGGTTTTGTAATTTATCATCCTATCAGAATTTCTAAAAAAAAGTAGTCGTCTCGATTAAAACATTTTAATTGTTACCTCTATCCTCTAATTACCCCGGTTTAATTCTGTAATTTAAATTGCTTCTCTTAATGCTATGTTTAATTGTGGTTGTTGTATTTTCCAGGAAACTACTAAAAACACAAACTATTTAAAAACCGAAATGCACAGTGGCGGCATGTACGTGCTATGTACGTACGGCATGAATTTCCATCCCAATATAAGAAGTTGCCGATAATGCAACTCATTTAGGCCGATTCTCAAGATGTGACCCCCAAAGTCACAATGTGAACGCAGACCCTTTGCTTTTCAATTGCAACATCTAAATACAAGTGCAGCGTAACATGTGTACGTGGAAGCGGAAGTCTCCAAATATCCGGATATGGACGATGTTGTGTTGCCAATGGGAAGTGTATGGAAATAGTTTATGATGCTCACATTGGGAAATGACGTAACAATGTGTACAAACAACCAACCAAAATTCCGTGAATATACCGTAATATACATATATGAACGAACATATATGTATGTATATAGTTTGTCAACCGCAATGGTGCAATTGAATTGTTATTGTAAATCGAATTTTCAAAAGAAAGGAACCATACTTCTTTCGGAATAACGTTAAGGCGAACGAAGACAATGGAAGGCTCCACCTTTCTTTACAAACTACCTGGCATTGAATGCTTGTCATTGGATTATATTCGGACACTAGTGTAACAGAATGCGGTCATTTAGTCGATACAGTTTTATAGGGAAACTAGTAAAAGGCACAAATGCAAAAATTGCTTCCAGAGTACATGATGATTCGAAAAGCTCTGGAGCGGAAAACTAGTAACAATGTCAAAATTAGGCCACAATCTCTTAAAAACAACGCAACTTCCTTATATTCGTAATCCTTCAGTTATAAATTGTTTTATTCTTCTAAAGGACATTTGTATGAAATGCGATATCAAATACATACGACGTCCATATCTGACAACGTGTCAATTGCTTCCTGCATTCGATGAATGCCATAAGCACGTACATACACACTTTTAGCGTTAAACAAACAAGAAGGAAACAAAAGCAACACAAGTAAATTTCGTATGTCACGCTTTTGGATTGACAAGCCCAAAATTATTCGGAAATAGAAAATCAACACATCGTCCTGCACCTCCTGCCTGTTTCCGTTTGAGCTCCTCTTTCAACACTGTCGTCTTTTGTGAATCACACGGGCCAAGGCATTCGTTTGGAAGTTTTTTCGATCTGCAGGTTGGTCTATTTAGATTTTGCATCCTGCACTGTTTAATTCTTTGGCAATTGTTCGACTCCAGTCGTTGTAGCAACACAAAATCGGACCGAATTGAAATCAAACCTGTGTAAACATTTGCCTTTTCCAATTGTAAATGCAGTGCAGTGCAATGGAAAACGTATTGTAATCGAAATTGTATCCGTTTTTCGTTCACAGGTGGACAGGGAGGTAGGTAGATGAATTGGCGTATATCGATACAATCCGTTCGTCGTCCGTCGTAAGCACTTTTATTCACTCAACCACCAGCCAGCTAGTCACCTATGCTGCCAAAGTTATTCTGTTCTTGTACAACATGACCAAAGTCGATTGTATTTGGTAGTGGATCAAGCAATACTTGGAAATTTACATGAAATGTATCGGTAAGGGCAGTAGGGTTGCCATTTTCCAATTTAAGTTTGTCAATAAATATTTTAATGGACCACGGGCATCACAACAAAATCTCGATAGGCAGATGTTCGGGTATGCCTTCCATTTTTATACGAATTAAGACTTGTAATAATGTATCACGATGTCCAAGACGCTAAACGTTTGACTTGGTAAAGACTTGTGACGAATTTCTTGGTTTAAAATATAGAGAAAACCTCCTTGGCAACACTGTGTTGTTTGAAAGATAAATTGCATTAAAGACACGCTGGCTGTAGAAATTTAAATTCAACACTCCTCCGAAAACGATACCAAAAAGATAACATAAAGACACTCGTAACTCCCTTCAGTCGTTCAGCCAGTCTTAGCCAGAAAATCAATAAATATTCAATGAGAATGGTAAAAGCAGGACAAGTGCGTACGCAATTTTTGTACTATAAATAGGAAAGTGGTCATTCGATGCCGTCTCTGATGACCTACACGGTCACCACCATAATCTAATAAATATATTGATAGCAGATCAAACAAGGATCATATATCCTGATTGCAAATGCCCATGTTGACCCGACGCCCACAAACCAGTCCCAAATAAAGGGATGCCGATACGTCCAGTGCATTATGTCGCATCCCACTGCAATGTCTGGCTGCGACATCAGTAGGGTATTCTCTATTAAGATTATTTCTCAAAAGGTTTAAAGCAAACTTTGAATTCTGGAAGTACTTGGTTGGTTCGTTCACAGTTACATTGAAGACTGCACCATGCCGTACATCAGCATCAACAGACTGGATAGTGTGTCAGAATATATGCAGATTCGTGCATGTTTGCCGGATGTGTTCCGAAGAAGGGAAAACTTAAGTTCGTTAAGCTTAACAGGCGAACTGCACAGCTAAAAAGGATAACAACACAAAATAGTTTAGAAAAGGGCAGCTTCCTGAATCCTGTATATGTTTACATCGATAGACATATTGGCTACAATATCACAGCGAAAACATTGCAGTGCATGTACTTCGTTGGGGGGGGGCAAATAAATTCATCTATCTAATAGAACACCTCTCAAACCCGTTGTTGCACCAACTCCATGCTATGGACGTTAGTTCGCTTGTAGCGCCACTGCCTTCCACTGAGTCTGCTTTGCTTCTTATTTCCTCCTTTTAATGTTTAGTGTATCGTTGTTGCACTTAATTATGTAAAATGTTGTGTAAATTCAATTACAGTACCACAACAGACAATGAGCTGCTTCTTGCCACGATTGTCGAGGGGAAAACAGTACCAGTTGCCGTTGTCCCAGAAATGAAAAACAAAACATAGATGGGGTAGAAATGCAAAGAAGTCACCAATGGAGCACTCGAAAACAAAATTAGTATGACTAGCAGCCAGCTTCACTAAGACGATCGAAAGTCTACACCTTTTTCACATGTTATTCGAAACATATCAAATGTAATTCGAGAATTCCATTTGTAATTCACAACATACAATTTGCAATGTTACGAATTGCAAATTGTATCTCTTATATATAAAAATGAAATGATGTTGCGTTGTAAACCTTCCGGTTAACAATGCGAATCATTTCAGACATTTTGAGATTTTTTGGGCGAGAAGCGTATCATTCTTTAAGGCTTTGTCAATTATTAAAAATTTTCAAAAAAAATGGAATTGGCATTATATTGAAAATATTTTATGTGAGAATACAACAAATAATTGAAAAGTATATCATTGAATGTACACGCGATCATTGCATGTACACGTTTTCCATAGAATTCACAAATGCTATGATGGAAACTCTAACTCTAAAACTAATATACGAGATATTTTATTTGCTACAATTTATCATTAAGCTCAGCTGGAAAGAGAACAACGAACCAAAAATCAGCCATATTAGAAAAAATAGCCAAACCATGTTACCTAATTTGAAGGTTATGCCAAAACCTCCGTCCGATGTTAATTATTCGTATTGAACATGCCAACTACCGCCAACACTCAGACAAAACTTGGACCTAAATAGATAATTATTCACAAAACATTATATGGGTGCTAAAATTACAGCCACATACCGAAAATTGAGGGGTTACCCGGATACTTGGACCAATACTGATAATTTTAAGTAGAGAGATTTACTGCTCAATAAGTACACCCTATGTTGAATTAATAGCAATTCTGTTGAAACCCGTGGCCAAGATCTTCAAAATACGGTATGTTTAGGGCCGAGAATTTCATTTGTAATTTATAGAATACCTTTCGAAATTCATAGAACTCCATTTAAAATTCATATACTTCCATTTGAATTTCCAAGGAATGCATTTGAAATTCATAAAACTCCATTTGAAATTCAAATAATTCCATTTGAAACTCTTAACATTTGATTTGAAATACATTCATAAAATTCCATTTGAAATTCAAATAATTCCATTTGAAATTCTTAACATTTGATTTGAAAAACATTTCATTTGTTTTTCATAATTTTTTTATTTAATTCGAAAAAATATTAATGGTAACATACAAGGAATATATATGAATTTGAAACGAATTGTTACGAATTACAACTGAAATATTTTGAATTACAAGTGAAACGTAATAAATTTCAAGTCGAATTCTTTGAATTTCAAATGGATTTCTTTGAATTTCAAATGAAACTTTACGAATATCAATTGTTAATATACCAATTACAATTGCATTTTTTTAAATTTCAAATTGATTTTTTGAATTTCATATAAAAAGTTTAAAATTACAAATTTACAAATAATTCAAAAAGATGTAGTTGAATTCGAAATTAAACTTCTATTTTTACAACTACACAATGGAAAATTGATCCAATGAAGATATATTCATCGAAGGTTCGTAGTTGAAATTAAACATATTTTTCCTTCATGACAAATTAAGAGTCCATGTCACCTAACTTGTCTTGCATTGCTGAAAGAAAAAATATGAAATCAAAACCGAAACAGCCTGAATCGGACATACTATGAAAGCTGAATGTTGTCAAAAGTAAAATTATGGAAAAATTAGAGTCATATGTCTGCATGAGACTACCTTGTGCAATTATACCATGGACGTTTCATACTTCAATCAAGGTGTATTTAATAAGGTGTATGCATCAGCTACAACAACGAACATATTACAAAAACAACACTGTTGTTATAGAAAATAAATTGTCATGTTGACAATTAGTTTTTGATAAAAATAATAAAAGAAAAACAATTATCCATTTATGTTTATTAATTATTGTCAAGAACTATTCTTTGATGAATAATTAATGAATTTGGATATTCTTGGATTTTTGCAATTTTAGGTTAGGGAGTAAAATTTAAGACCCGGTCACGAATTATTTTGAAAAGTTTCCAACGTGTAGCCCTTAGTTCCTGGCGATGTTGCTTATTACAATTACAATTTTTTTCGCCTCCTTAATGAAAGTTTGGTGGACATAAATCCCCGGCCACGGACTAAATCAAGGAAATTGTGTTGCCCTTGTGCAATCTGTCTATAGTATATCAAAGACTTGATTTTTGGATATACCGATGGGCAGATTCCAATATAGGCTACGTATGTGTAGCTAGGATATATGAACAGATTTCAACATGGGATACAAAACATAAACTATTTGGATAAAATCAGCGAACAGTTTTAAAACTGATTTAAGCCTAGGTTTCCTTTTCGTCCGTCTCTATGAACATATTTTTTATCAAAACTCTCAATTTAAAGACAATTTTGTAAACCGTAATTAATTGTTGAAAATGTTTTTGACAATTTACTTTACAAACAATAAAGAAAAAAGTTAAAAACCATATGATTGTCACTTAGGGTCGTACCTAAATTCATGCGTGTGCGTACGATTTCATTCACCTCAAAAGTTAAATACATGTATTTCAATGAATGTTACCCAAATACGCATTGCGTATAAAATTATAAAGTTGAAAATTTTCAACATTGACAATGCGTATTTTGAATTTTTTGTTTTTTGAAAAACAAATATATTAAAAAATGTATTTTTCTATACATGTAAACATTTTTTAGTGTATTATGAAAATGTTTTCATCCATTTTCGCCGTTTTCATTGACACACAATCAAATAAGGTCCTTGCGTATTTGGGTAATACGGACGTTCAACAAAACCTATAAAGGTGAGTATATTTGTACGGAGCGCAATAAATTAGGTACGGCCCTTACACCTTATTTAATACACCTTGACTTCAATGAATTTTATTTTTGTTGATTTGACAACTTTGACAGAACGTATATTTCATTTTTTCTTTTGTTGAAAATAAAAACCAAACATTCAGAAAATATGAAATTTCGAATGGGAATATAAATATTTGGTTTGATTTCATAAATTTTCAATTTTATTTTGCGGTTTGTATTATTAGCTTGAAGATATGGATTCGACGTATTTGGCTAATACGGCATACACAACATTTTGCCATAGTGGGGAAGTTGAATATGTTTGTACGCCCCGTCGGATAATAGTTAAGGGCTAAACAGAATGTTCGCGTTGAGCGTTTTTTGTTATCGCGTTAACGCACGCAAAAAGTTAAAATATATTTAACTCCGAAGAGCAGCTCACAACAAATTCGAGCGTTTGTGTTATCGTTTCCTTGTGGTTGTTGTATTTTCGATAACACATAACGCAACGGATGGCTCAACGCGAGCATTCTGCTTAGCCCTTTAACGTTGTTAAGTTCTTGTCAAGAAACATCAAATAATAATTTACAAACAAACACACCTATTTCTCTGAGTGTTTTGGAACCATGGATAAGCGCATTAGTGCAACGTTTTCAAAATTGTTTTTAAGTTGACGTTTAATAAGTTTTAAACGCTTATTATGTTTACATTCGCTGACATTATCTTTTAGGGCTTTTTTAGTCTCTGCTTTACTCTCATTTATTTCATTGTCATAAAGCCAAGCAAAAACACATCCCGTTCGCAGTGGCAAAGCGTGACAGCAAAGTGTGCGAAATATAATAAATGCCCCATCTTCCTTTCAACGACGGACACATTTGGGACAATGTCTTGAGGTTGCTGCTGCCACACATAACCATACACTCGTTACGCTGCAAGAAGGATAATGATGCTGGTGCCGCTTTAAAGGTTTGAGTCTAACCGAGGACCAACAAATCCTGCTTGAACGTCATCGTAAAGTGTAAAGCTACGAAAGAATTTTATATTGTCCTCCTATGCAACTGTTATTTGTATTCTTTGTTTAGGGATCCTTTCTGGCGGTTGGAAAGCAACCAGCAATTGCATCTGCGACTAATGTGTTCAATTAGCCTAATTACTTTTTGGCAACGGAAGAATATGCAACATTCCGCAATATCTCTAGCCTGGTTATAGTTAATGATGGATATGTTTGAATGTTGACAACACTTCCAACGACCAATATGTCCCAAAGTGGAACTATTTTAAATGTGTAAAATAGGCTTGAAATGCCAATGATGTCTGTCACCCTCCCGCAAACAAAAAATTTGAAGGAATTGCAAACTTTTATTGAATTTTAATTATGAGGCACTAACGAGACAAGCATAGGTACTATCGCATACCATAGTGACATTTTTTGAGTGGGTGAAGTATTCTTCTCCGATTGGGATATCGCCTTGGTAGTTTCCAGTTCCGCTTGGCATATGGTTTCCCTGCGAACATACCTGAATAAGGACTCCACCAAACCGGCTGGTGTGGCTTCATTACAGGTCTCCATGTAGCGAATTAAACATTTTTCGAAGCGTTGCATATCTATGCACTGCTCGGGACCCATCACAAGCTCTGGCAATTCCGAGGGAATCGATTCGGGAATGTAGGAGGAAAATGTTGCATTCATACACTTCGCTATGTTTTCCTTATTGTACTCCACACATTTTGGACCATCCTCGGCGATAAACAAAGCGATGGCTTCGCCATTGCGGTGACAGGCGAAATCCAACAACGAATCAACGATGCGCATCATCTCAGCGTTCTGCGAACGTTCGCGAGGTGTCAAGCACATCACCAGTTGGTCATTGAATTCAGTTAAGCACTGCTTGGCCAGGGGCATCTTCTTGCAGTACTTAGCAAGGACCACGTCCAGGTCACCGATGGGACTAGCCGCTTCGATTTCCTGCATAACAACGGTGATGTTGACGACATCATTGGCACAGTCGATCAGCTTATGAGCCGCTCTCTCTATATTCTCGTATTGATATTCCGGCGGCGTGGTGCCATTCAACAACACCTTTTTACATTTTTTGTACAGAAGATCTCTGGCGTTGTCGAGTGTAAAGTTAGATTTGCCAACGTGTGCCGGCAAATAGTCACTCAATTCCTTCTGAAGTCGTGTATACTGGCCATGTATGCCGCCATCAAGGGTCATTGCGACCAATAACACAGCCAGGCTAAGATTTGCCATTTCTTCTTGTCGAATTCTCTCTAGTGGACGCTTTCAATGTTCGAATCAAACTATTTTCACGAATTAATTAAATTCCATTAGCCATAGACGCTTTGATAGTGAACCTTATCGACGGGTACGCTACACATGCCACAAGCACGTTTCGACTAAGACAAAAGCATGGCCAGAAAATCACATTACAAGCTTATAGCTTACACATATGTCGAACACACCCATCAAAAGAATCTTATCGCAAAATTCGCCTTCTTTTACTCATCCGCCGATTATCCGTTTGTATAAAAATGAAACGATAGACCGTTAAATGGGGACATGATAAGAAGGTGCGGTGCGATTATGGAATGGCATGGCATATATGAATATATCGATCGTGTATAAGTCTGCTTTTCCACAGGCAAATTTTTATTTGGCAAATTCTGAGTTTGTAGGCGGGAGGGATGCGAGGAAGAAAAACAAAAGTTTGCCCGTTCAGAATTTGCGGTACACACAAATTCTGCTTTGCTCTGTTCGTTGAAAACAATTTTATTGACATTTCCTTTTTAACCTATTCGTTTTACTTACACACAGCCGGCTTTTGTTTACAAACCTGTTGCTTTAATTTGTGCAAGTGAAGTTTAATTTTTGCAATTTATATAATAAAATATATATAAAAAAATAAATAATATATTAAAAAATTCTTTAAAATGCAAACACTTTTGACGTTTCTTCCCCTTCTTTTGTATTTTGATTCGCAAATTTGGCGAAGAAAAATTTGCTAGTGGAAAAGCAAGCGAAAATTTCAAAAGAGAAAACAAAAAATTTGCCAAATAAAAATCTGCGTTTCAAATTGAAAATCTACGAAACCACGTTTTTCTCTACATTTACCGTTATAGAACTAATTTTCGAAGTGGCCCAGAAAAACCAAAGGTATTTTCGTGGTCCAGGGACTCCAACTAAACAGAATTGATACATTAGAACCCCTGAATAATTTTCGTTTCGCACAGTGTAATGTTACAAAACAGCTTAACCCGCCAATGCATTTACGAATCCTATAGAAATATATTTGAAAAATGACACTAGAAACACAGCAGATCTAAAACGCGTCAATTCAATACATTCATGTTTTATTTCGTTTTATGTTTAAAGGGTTGCCCAATAAATATATTAATTTTTAACATTTTCGCAAAAATATATTCAATGTGTGTAAAGCGCATGAAGTGTACACTTTTGTGATGTAATTTAGACACCTAATCTAATTTTATTTTTATTTCCAAAAAATTGGGGTTTGTAGTACCTTTTAAAGTACTTATACCATGACTGCTGCAGTGATTTTATTGCAAACTAAATAATTTCAATATTTTGTTTTCAATTTTTACATTCCCCAATAGGAATGCAAGTGCCGCTTTGATCACGAGCGTAGCCTTTATTACAGTAGCATCCATCTGGGCATCTAATATGTCGGATTAAACAGGGCTTATTAAGAGTAGCACAAAGCCTTTGGCATGAGTCTCCACATGGTGTATAGAATTCATTAGGTGGGCAACGGACGCGATCGGAAGCTAGACGTTAAACAAGACTTTTAACATTGAAATCCGAACACAATGATCGTTTTAAGTTCATTTAGAATAAAAACCTTCAATGACAGCTGCAGACACCAGTAGCCATATCGAAACCACGACGCAACGTCTAAGAGGACCAGTTTTAAACATTATAATTGGCACAACGATACAAAACAACTGATACTCTTCACTGATACACGGTCTCTTTTTATTTATTTATTTGTTTTTAGAATTGCAAATATCAGCAATGTGTCACGACGAGCTGGCTGAGTTCACGACGTTGTAAATCCCCCGACTTGCGTGTTACATAGAAACTATTCGGCGTTTAAGAAGATTAAACTTCAGTTTTATTATCGGTAATATGAGTAAATATGAATATAAATTCTCAGCCCAGCTAATATAAAATAAACAAAAATTACTGTCTATTGATAGCATTTATTTCACCTCCAAGGTAGTGTTGAAAAGCTCTTTGTTGCTTATAAGTTTGTTCGTCAAACTCGAGATGACATCATAGACGAAGACATAAAAGTATATAGATACGAAAACTCACTCGTCGACAAATTCCAATAGATAGTCTTTTCTCTGTTGTTATGATCTCCTAACAACGAGCATAAATCTGAAAATGAAAAATATATAAAATCCTATTTACATGTCATCATACACACATTTTCGTTTATTGGCGTTTTTATTCTTAACATGTCTCCTCTGTTAGGCAAAAATCTCCTACATGTTCATCCGTTATACCGACGGCGTTGACTGTAACATAGAAGTGAAATACCAAAAACTTTGTCAAATTACATTTTGAAAAGGGCATTCTTATTTGAAAGTCTGTTCTTCAAATTCGAAATGACACGAATATTTCATTCCCAACACTCCGATGACGAATCAAGCTTTTCATTTGTCGGTGCATGTCTCAGCTATGTTAGCATGACTCAGACAGGGTGACACAACAATTCTATAATTGTTAGCCTTCTAATTTCTGAGATTATCGGGACACTTCACCCTTCACTTCAGCTGTTGAATTGCTGAATGATTTCAGATGTTGGCTAAATTTTTGTAACTTTATCATACCACGCAGACATTTCTTTAGGCATTAGACAACGACATGGCTTAATTATGCAGTGGAACAGCGATAAGAAATAAATATTATTTCTCTAGAAAAATTCAAGCCAAGTTTTGGTGAGCGCATGCGTATATATGGCATAATGTTGCTTTGTAGATGTGCTGGACTCCACTAAATTCTGTGCATTTCTCTTAAGTCACACCGAATAGATCTCTCGGTTGATTTGCTCTCCAGTCTGCCAAGCAAATGCTCGCCGAGCACCGGTGTGCATATGCCATATGGCCAATTTGAAGCTCAACTCACTTCTGTGTTTTCGTAAGCATTCAGTTTTCAACGGGAGCGCGAGCGAGAAACAAGCAACTGAAAGAATACGCGGAAAACGGCCGAACCTCGTCGTTTTACTTGTGTGTATATGCATTTATATGTATTTGTGTGTTTTATACCACAATGGATACATATCAGATTCGCTGCAAGTGATTCTTTTAGTGCAAACATAATTATTTAAGGAAATACTCCGGCAAAAGTGTGCAGAAATTTGAAAAATCCAACGAGATAATATTGAGAAGAAAATAAAAGGTTAGATCAGAATCGATGCTAAAGTGAATGCGTCCTCTCAGAATATACAAGTGGACATTGTGAAAAACATTGTGCATGATCCGTGGGAGAGGGGCAGAGATTCGTTCATTTGCCGCAGATACGTGCGACAGAACAATGGGAAATGAAAAACGTTGGCATTTTCCAAATGCAATTCCATTAATTAATTTTGAAAAAAGAAAGAAAAATTACATTGTCACGGGAAAATACACGATACACAAGCACGAATGTGCTGTGCGAAACGTTGTGCTTGATCAGTTCTTATTGTTGTTGTTGTTGTTGTGGTTGTGGTTGTTTCATGTTGATGGCTTTACGACATTCCTCAGTGTTAGCAGCCGAAAAGTTGTCCGACTAGTTTGGTCTTTTTGCCAGCTTTGCTGTTGTTGTGGTTTTGTTTTGCTGTTTTTTGTTGTGTTTTGAAGGAGATCCAATCAAACGTACAAACACACAGACACAATCCCACCTCAACATATCCAAGCATATTCGGGTTTTGTTTGCTTGTCCGTCCGTCTATTTGGCTTCTCCAGGTTTAATGATCATTGCGCATACACAGATGCTGAAGATGTGATCAGGTTTGCGCTCAAAGTTGATACACGTTTATGAGTATGTGTGGTGTTGTCGTCTATTAAACTTGGCGAAGAAACAAAGAAGAAGAACAACAACAATAATATTCGATAGTCGTTCGTTTTCTTTGCGTTTGCGGTCAGTTTGCCCAATTTGTGCATCCACCTGTAATTAACAATGACCCGTTTGAGCCAAGCGCGGTACAAAAAGAAAAATATGATTTGTTTGCGGTAGCGAAAAGTCGATTGAGTCTCTGACCAAACAAAATAGCAAACATTGCGGGAACGTGTTTGTTGCTTAAGTCTTTCGTTTTGCATTTGTTGCGTGCCATTCCAACTGGTGGCTCCATATCACAATGACTTACACACATCGCCGTGTATATGTATATATTTATGTGTGCGTGTATGCTTGTGCGAATTTCTGTGAGATAAAGTTAACACAAAACGCTGCAGATGTTTGTTTAATACCAGGTTACGTTCGTACCAACAACAACAACAACAACAAAATACCAAAAATATTCCATATAGAAAAGAAACCTTCAAAATAGTTCTAATTTCAAAATCAGTGATTGAAAAAGAAGTTATAAACAATCGAATTTGATTTTCACGACGTTAATTAATTTTTAACTGAAATGTGGATAAATAAACAAACCAACATACTGTACATTGCATCAGCCAGCGACGTATCACAGATTAATGCTGACATTTTTCAGTGATACGTACTGGCGTTAATGATACGGAAGTGTCCAGCAGCAAGCCGGACGTGATATCGCACTAGGGCGCATAAATATTACGACACTATATTCACAGTCCGGAACATGTATATGTTCCAGTATATTTTTTTATACATCTGCTGACCAGAAATCTTTTAAATCATTGTCAGTAAAAGTTCTTGCAAATGTACATTTGATTGGAAAGATGAAATAAAAAATAAAACTAACGAATGTGAGGTATCAAAAAAGTGTGCTCGTCAGCGTCTTAGGTAAAACATGTACTTCGCTCGTCGAAACGGAACAAGTATCGACATAGAAATAGAAATTCTAATTTAGGATACCTAGATTAAAGGGCATTTTGTTGACAACTACCCACAAACAGATCGTACCCTCCTTAAATACAAGTATGTACATCTAGGCCGGTTGTGTGGCATTTTGTTCGCTCATAATGATATTCTCATTTACATGGCATTGGTGCAACTCGGCACTTGCAAATCAATCTCTTTTCGCAGACGCTGCTCGCCTTTAGCGTCCGATTTCAGGTGTTTCATTGAAGCTGTCATCGAACAAATGACGGCGCCACTAAACCTGTATCTCTAATGCACCACAGCTACGTTCAATGAATGGGTTCATGCAAACCACAAATCAATGATAGAGCAGAAATATGAGAAAGATAGTGACGGATTTGAGTTCGCAAAAAATATCAAGTGTGCGCATATTACTACAGTTTTAAATCGTTGTGTACAGTAAGAGAGAAATCGTTCCATAGATCTTTGAAAATACCGCCTCCTTCGTTTCTTATAACGATAATAATTTTGAGAAATGTTTTGTTTATGGTCCACCGACTGTGATGATTTATTTCATTCAAATCTGATTAAAGAAATGGCTTGATAAAGATGAGCAAATTCCAACTTTGCAATTTATATTTATTTTATAATGTCCCTAAAATGTTTATGTTTAATATAATTAAAAATGTTTGTGAGGCCCAAAACAATTTTAACGCCTCCCACTGTGGGCTAGGAATCCATTTTTGGATAAAATTAAAATCTGGCGAAATTGAGCTTTACACCAGTAGAATTACAAATAACATGAGGTAATTTTTTTGGGATTTTGAGAAAAAAAAAGTGACAAACAGAAACACATAAATGTGCTTTTTTAAAAAACTTGGAAATTCAATAATGACATATCGGCTATAACGAATTTCCGCGCTTTATATCCCACACAAAAATATATCGCTTATATTGGTTGTAACGACATGTGTTTGCAAGATATTTGAATCTTCCTATTATCAATTTATGGTTGATATTATTAATATCTACCATAAATTGAATTTGACAACCATTTAATACCAAATTTCATGATTCTAACTCTAAAGGTTGACCCAAATCCAAATTTTACCAAATTTAGTTCCATTTAGCACACCTTATTCCCATAAGTACCCTCCTAAACCATCCAACAAAACTTCCTGCATACCCCGATCCTACACAATGATTCCAAATTCAAATTTCAAAATTGTACCAAATTTAGAACACAGTAGAACAAATTTCAAAAACAGTAGAACGAATTTCAAAAACCTCCTCCTTATTTTCAAAACTTCCTACATACGCCAATCCTACACCTCCACAGTGATCCTACATCAAATTTTGAAGATTCCAACTCTATCGGTTCACCCACAATTTAAATTGTAACAAATTTAGTACGCAGTAGTACCAATTTCCACACTGATCCTGGATTCAAGTTTTAGGATTCCAACTCTATAGGTTCATCCACAATTCAAATTGTACTAAATTTAGTACGTAGTAGTACCAATTTCCAAACCTTCTTGCATACCCCAATCCTACACCTCCACAGTGTTCCTAAATTAAAATGTCAACATACGAACTCTATCGTTTCGTCCACAAATCAGATCGTACTAAATTTAGTACATAGTAGTACCAATTTCCAAACCTTCCTACATACCCCAATCCTACACCTCCACAGTGATCCTAAATTAAAATTTCAGGATTCCAACCCTATCGCTTCACCCACAATTTAAATTGTACCAAACACTTAGTACAGATTTCTAAAACTTCCTACATACCCCAACTCTACACCCCACAATGATCCCAAATCCAAGTTTCAGGATTCCAACTCTATCGGTTCACTCACAATTCAAATTGTACAAAATTTAGTACACATTACTACAAATTTCTAAAACTTTTATATATCTTAATCTTACACCTCAACAAATTGTACCAAATTTATTACCATTTAGTACCCATAAGTATTAATTTCTTAAATAGAATCCTGACCCCCTGCAGTGATCCTGACACCAAATTTCATTGTTCCATTTTCGTACTTTTCGGATAGTTATAGTTCGAGTTTCCAACAACCCTTTGGTACATCTATCCTACACTCCAGCAACGACCACCAAACCAAATTTCAGAGTTCTAGCTCCACCGGTTCGCCAAATATAAATGGCATCACATTTAGTACGTTTTAGTACTTTTCGTACCGTTCTAGTACGAATTTCCAAAAACCCAGCCTTATCTGTCATATTTGGACCAAGAGTGACCCTCACCCAAAATTTCAAGATTCTAGCTTCAGCCGTTTCTTCTGGGCGTTGATGAATCGCAGTCAATCACTCTTTTATTTGTATAGATAAAATAAAAATAAATTAAATACCGACACACACATCTGTTCGAAGATAGTTTTAGGGTTTATTACTTTGTTCTTAAGTGCTAGAATTCTATGAAACTTTTATTCCAAAACAACAACAACAAAACAATAACAAAAAATTTTTGTAAATTATTTTTCTTTCCTTTTAAATCTTGAGGGTCACTCAAATTTTGTAGGGACATTCTTGAATTAGTGTAGATTCGAATTAAGTCAAACAAATTTGACACCGAGAATGGGGGGTCCTCTTAATTTAACACATTAAAGGAGTTTTTTTTTTCAAATATTTTCAAAAAATGCAGTAAAGTAAAAATCGTACAATGTTACATTTTATCTTTGCTTTTTAGCTAACACGTTTCATAACCGATTCTGGAATATCGTATAACGAATAATGAACATTTGACATTTTTACTCACCTCAAACGGCAGAATATATAATATGCCCAAATTCAACTTTCTTAATGCGAAAGAATGGTATTCCGGACAATTCGATAACGTCTTGGGGTATAGATCAGCAATTCATTTCATAAATGTATATCAAATAGTTTATAGACGATATTATTAAAACTCTTTAATTCAGCCTTTATATTTCCCTTTATAACTGCAATGCAATGACTTTTTTACTTCGAAAGTCCTTTTATCCAACGTCAAAATCACGTGAGTGGCAGTGCAACGACCTCACGACAAAGAGTTCATAATACAGTGAACACCAATATCGTGTATGCTCTCTTTCTCACAACGATGGTTGAACAATTCTATTTGGAAAACGACAGAAAATATCTTTGCGAATTTGTTTGCAAGAATAGTTTTTCCTTATATATTGAACAAAATTTATAAACAAAATAAAACTTGTCACTTGTTATTTATTTTATTTAGATATCACATATTTTTTTTTTCAATTTTACAACGCGAGCCGGTTGAAATTTACACGCAGACGCGACGAAATCAATAGGACAACTGATCGTGAGGTATACATTAGAAAACAAAACAAGCAAGAAAGGAAATAATAGGAAAGGAGTGTCTAAGTACAAAGCAATTTAATTCATGAATTTATTTGCAAGCTCAAATATGATAGAAGTTGTAGTTTGCATTTTATTCAATAATTAATTACGACGATTCTGTACATTTCTGGCGCGACCCGGTTTAAACGTACTCGCAGACACGATAATCACACTCAAATCATCGGATAGTCATCACAACAACATCAACATTGTCAACTGCCACAGAGTAATTTTCACAATTCAATGATGGTTTTCGATATAGGTCAGCAATACTCTTCATGAATTCATATGATTGAATGATTATTTGCATTTTAATCTCTTTCAATTTAGCATTCATTGTTCTCTTTACAATTGCAATGCAATGACTCTCTTACATTGGGGCACTTTAACAACAACAATGACCCAACGGCATTGCGAAGAAGGCAACGCAGTACACTGGCCGATAACGCGTGTGTACTTTTCTCCTTACATTTATGGTGTATAGAAAGGGACGGAAAATTACTTCATTTATTGGTTTGTAAGCACAGTTTCTTTTGGTTAATTAAACAAATCTATTTGTGGTTGTAAATAAACACATATCATATATCACTTAAAACAACACAGATCACTTTTTTTATTCCATAATTAATTATAACAATTGAAACATTTCGCGATGAAACGACCCGGTCGAAACTGACACGCAGACGCGACGATGGCAAGAGGACAACTAATCGTAAAATGTAAATTAACAAAAATAAAACGAAGAGGAAAGCATAAAGAAGGAGAGTCTTGTGCCGTTATTACACGCATTTTTCTTTTTTCGGTTAAAAAGCTCAAGTTGATAGATGTCATGCTCAGAATGATAGAATTAATATTAAAAACATTTTTAGTACGCATTTGGCGATGGTGATCTAAAATTATACCATATGCTATATTTTTTAATTTAAACTCAAACATTTGCAGATATTTTAAAATAACAAGAACATGTTAGTTCGTGTTTTATTTTTTTAATTGTTTTTATGTTTTTTATATCACTTAAAATAACACAGATCACTTTTTTTATTCCATAATTTATTATAACAATTGAAACATTTCGCGATGAAAGGTCCCGGTCGAAATTGAAATGTAGACGCGACGATGTCAAGAGGACAACTGATCGTAAGATGCAAATTAACAGAAATAAAACGAAGAGGAAAGCATAAAGAAGGATAGTCTTATCCCGTTATTACACGCATTTTTCTTCTTTGGGTGAAAAAGCTCAAGAGTGATAGAAATAATATTAAAAACATTTTTAGTACACATTTGGCGATGGCGACCTAAAATTAAAACATATGATATATTTTTAATTTAAACTCAAACATTTACATATATTTTAAAATAACAAGAATCCAATCAGAAGTTAATATATTTTTTTAAATATTATCACGCAGACCCAACGAAATCAATAGGACAACTGATCGTAAGGTTCAAATTAGAAAAAAAACACAAACAAACAAGGAAAGCACAAAGAAGAAGAGTCTCAGACTTGTATAATGGGATGGTATTTCAAAGAAATGTTATAATGTACGTTGTTTCATAAGTCTTACGGCGGAAGGCTCATTAAAAACTTATTATTATTGCCGCATCCATGTCTGGCACATTTCTAGAGGTCTGCAATCTATCTGCATCAATAAAAATTGAAACACAATTCTAGGTTCAAACTTAAAAAGGAATGAATAATGCTAGGAAATGAAACGCTTCTTCATGTTAATAGATATGAACTAATGTATGTATATTTCATTTCTTTTTCTTTATAGTTAAAAGACTACAATTGAAGTCGTGAGAAGCCAGACGAAATGAAGATTTAATATTTGCAGAAGGCACTAACCCGCTTCAAATTCAATGTAGAAAAATGACAAATTATGAAAATGTATTAAATCTGCCAATAAATTTCAATGGCAATGACCTAAATTCTGAATTAGCCAATCCCAGTGCAGCACATGATGGTGTGAAAATGTCCCAAAGAGATTTCTCAGAGGTAAGTAAAAAATAAAAATGCCAAACATATGTATGTATAGAAATGAGTTATTTATGGTACGACTTATAAACAAATTCCACACAAAATGACTGAATCTAAAATCTTAATGCATGTATAAGATTTCAGATTCTGTCATTTTGTGTTTCCATTATTTTTAATCCTTGCCTCATCGAAAACATTAGGGCTGGGCTCAAGTATACCGATCTGTTGTTCGATATCATTAACAAGACTTCAAATTAATCCGGACACAATTTGTATTATTATTGCTGTTAATGCCTACATCAAGGCCTCTTAAGAAGGTCTACCGGGAGGCGAATTCATGAATTCGTCTTCCCTTGTTATCAAGCCTTTTTATCTCCAGAAATCGATTAGATCCCGACAATGCGATTAGAACGTAATTATAATATTTTGCACGTATGTGCATACAAATGTACATCTGTATATTTTTATTTTTTCTTCAAACAATACAGGCATTACCGGTTAACCTTATACCTTATAAATAAACATGGGCTTATCTTATCACAATAGTTGAATACCGAACAACGCAGGTCAAGATTATTTCAAACAATTAAAAACAAATCGCTGCGAAAAAGACTGCAATTTGTTGAAGCCATTTCGGCTTGGCCGTCCCATGTTATTTATTCCTATGCCGATTACTGTCTACCCAACAACCATGAATATGACCCAACAACCATGAATATGCCTGATAAGTGGCGGAGACGAAGGATCACAACAGCAAACAAGCGGAATTTTGGCAAAAGTGATATATGTTCACAAGCATACTGATTTCTTAAATGCTGTATGCACGATATTAATATGTTTGGCAGGGAGAAATGTTGACGAACTATCTAGATCCGATATCGACTTTTCGCTGATTAAGAATATTAAAAAATGTCACAGGACTGCATTTAGTTCGGTGTCGTAGCATAACAAGGAGTTACAAAAAAATTAACATTCCACAGACCCTATGACGAACTTCTTGAAAGTTCGCCTTGGAATCTCCATTTCTAACATACATATGTATCAATCAAAATTGTTTACAGTTTAACAATTTATCTTAACAACTTAATTTGTTAACTGATAAAGCCGACTTTACGCCATTCGAAATAAAATTAATGACCCATTTCGATTATTAAAGATTGTTCAATTGTTTCAATTATCGGTATGTCAGATATTGATGGTATCTTTACAATCGCCAGCAATGCTTTAATTTCCAGTCGGAATGTTTCCCTAATGAATGTTGTGGGCTTGAGTGCGTAGATTCCGTGACGACACAACTACACAGCATTATTTGTAGTACAATATTTTATTTGTAACTTCAACATTGGTCATAATCACATACACATACCAAATATGGGCACTTCTGCTGTCACTACAATTCACCCTTAATACGTTCTTGTAGTATTAAGAGTACTATCAGTGGTAAACAAATTGAATGCCTCCGGTTTTTAACTTTTACATAAATAAGAAATATCAATCATTATTATAGCAATTTCAAAATTGGGTCTGTGCTTCGACAAATGTTGTCTTTCTTTGTACTTTTTGCCGCAACGTATCTAAGTACAATTAATGAAAAGAAATTCTTCGACGTTGGTTTACCTTTTTCCGGAAATGTCCATATCTATAAAGAAATCTTCTTGGTCCGTTTACCGCAATCTAACTCTACACATCGCCCTAAGCATTGCTTTAAAAAAATTACCTAACGGGTATCCAAAGTCAACAATCCGAGCATGGCTAAAATTGTTGGCTCCTTATTGTTGTTCAAATAGCCGATACAATGCAATTGACAATCTAAAATGCTGTTAAAGAGCCATTCTGAAATCAAATAACAAATAAAGGAAGGTCCTACATCGTAGCCTGTACAATTGCAAGCGGCTGCTCTGTTAACACAGTCGGCTCGTGAAGATCCAACTACAAGCTAAGCAACTATAAAGCGATGTCGTCACAAGAATGTGCCAAATTCTCAGGAATTGAACTTTTTGGCCAAAATCGTCCAGAAGTTGTCATGGGAAAACTCTGTCCGCGGTGACAGACCTACAATAGCAGCTACCGACACAAATCAACAGGAAGAAGGTAGAAAAAGTGAACGAGTTCACGTTGAAATCTTTACGATCAACTCACGTCTGCCACGTCTCCCTAGAAGTGGCAGTGCCGCATACAACACTAAAGCCCAACAAAATCAAAATCCACAGCTCGAGAACACACAAAAAAGTAATACCAAGGTGGTGGCTATTTCGACAACGAGATCGGAAAGTCCCAAAAAGACTAGCAGAGGGAATCCAAGTAAAAGGCTAAACATCAGTGCCAAGGCTTAGGGCGAAGCACTGGTCAGTAGCAGTGATAAAATGTCTGGCCAACAGAAAAATAAACCAAAAAAGCGACAAGCAATTCAAGTGTCACGTTTGTCAAATAACAGTTCTGGTCAAACTCAACTCTATTCAGTGCCCAAGACGAAGAATACAAATTCATTTTTACATTTTTCTTTCACATGTGCCGCAGCGTTTGCAAAAGCCGTAAAGGGAGAATCACGAGAAACAAGAAATCAAACCTTAATTAACGAAATTAAATAGGCAAAAAAGTGCCACCAGGTCGGAGTTAAGACTAAATATGTCAACGCGTTACAGAACCAAAAAAATGTATCGGATAGTATTCAGATTGACTTCAGGCACATTTCGATCGGATGGTTTTGTTTTACACTCAATTCTTTCCTTCGGGAGGTATGGAGGAGATGCCTAAATGCCTGCCGATATATTTCATTATTGTCAGGTTCGAGTTGTTTATCACGATATATTTGGAAGGCAGAATAATTATAAGAGATGGCTAAATCGTCTTAGAATTCCACACTTTGTAGAATATTCAGATTGACTTCAGGCACATTTCGATCGGATTGTTTTCTTTTACACTCAATTCTTTCCTTCAGGAGGTATGGAGGAGATGCCTAAATGCCTGCCCATATATTTCATTATTGTCAGGTTCGAGTTGTTTATCACGATATCTTTAGAAGGAAGAATAATTATAACAGATGGCTAAGTCGTCTTAGAATTCCACACTTTGTAGAGTGAACACTGATTATTCCGAGTAATGACTACCCCCTATACTATGGCAGAATACGCCTATATGGGGACAACACCAACACACGGAATAAATAAGCAAACTATTTTAATATAAACCAGTAAGGAAAGTTCAAAAGTCGGACGGGGCCGACTTTATGATACCCTTCACCACTTTGGTTACATGCAAAGATGTTAATATCTACAAAATCCTGTAGATAGAACAGACATAGAATATTTGGAGGACCATTGAGATGGAATCGGGCGAAATTAAATAGATATTTGAACCAATTGAACCGATTAAAAAAAAACTTCGCAGACATCAAACAGGACTCGTCTGAACCGATTTCAAGAAAACTTATCACACATCATTTTTTCTTCAATTGCATTCGCTATGCAAAATTGTGATCAATCGGACAAATATTGAGAGTTTGGTGTGTCATTCACAAAAAATCGGACGAAACTATATATGGGAGCTATGTCTAAATCCGAACCGATTTTAAAAAAACTTCACAGACATCAGACTGGACCCAATTCAGTACTCTGTGCAGAATTTTGTCCCAATCGGACAAATATTGGGAGTTTGGTGCATCATTTACCTAAAATCGGACGAAACTATATATGGGAGCTATATCTAAATCTGAACCGATTTTAACAAAACTTTGTGACAAATATTGGGAGTTTGGAGCAACATACACGTAAAATCGGACAAAACCATATATGGAAGATATATCTAAACCTGAACCGATTCCACCAAAACTTCACAGAAATCAGTCTGGACCCAATTCAGTACTCTGTACAGAATTTTGTCCAAATCGGAAAAATATTAGAAGTTTGGTGCATCATTCTCATAAAATCGGACAAAACCATATATGGAAGATATATCTAAATCTGAACCGATTCAACCAAAACTTCATAGACATCAGTCTGAACCCAATTCAGTACTCTGTGCAGAATTTTGTCCCAACCTGACAAATATTGGGAGTTTGGTGCAACATTCACATAAAATCGGACAAAACCATATATGGAAGATATATCTAAATCTGAACCGACTCCGCCAAAACTTCGCAGAAATCAGTCTGGACCAAATTCAGTACTCTGTACAGAATTTTGTCCCAATCGGACAACTATTGGGAGTTTGGTGCATCATTCTCATAAAATCGGACAAAACTATATATGGGAGCTATATCTAAATCTGAACCGATTTAACAAAACTTCGCAGACATTAGTCTGGACCTAATTCAAAATGTTGTCCCAATCTGACAAATATTTGGACTTTGGTGCAACATTCACATAAAATCGGACGAAACTATATATGGTAGCTGTATCTAAACCTGAACCGATTCCACCAAAACTTCATAGACATCAGTCTGAACCCAATTCAGTACTCTGTACAGAATTTTGTCCAAATCGGACAAATATTGGGAGTTTGGTGCATCATTCTCATAAAATCGGACAAAACTATATATGGGAGCTATATCTAAATCTGAACCGATTTTAACAAAACTTCGCAGACACAAGTCTGCACCTAATTCAGTACTCTGTGCAAATTTTGTTCCCAATTAGACATCAGTTTAGACCCATATTGGGAGTTTGGTGCATCTTTCACATAAAATCGGAAAACAAATATATATGGGAGCTATATCTAAATCTGAACTGATTTTAACAAAACTTCGCAGACATTAGTCTGGACCTAATTCAAAATTTTGTCCCAATCTGACAAATGTTGGGACTTTGGTGCAACATTCACATAAAATCGGACGAAACTATATACGGGGACTATATCGAAATATGAAAGGATTTTAACAAAACTTCGCAGACATCAATCTGGACCCAATTGAGTACTCTGTGCAGAATTTTGTCCCAATCTGACAAATATTGGGAGTTTGGTGCATCATTCTCATAAAATCGGACAAAACTATATATGGGAGCTATATCTAAATCTGAACCGATTTTAACAAAACTTCGCAGACACAAGTCTGCACCTAATTCAGTACTCTGTGCAAATTTTGTTCCCAATTAGACATCAGTTTAGACCCATATTGGGAGTTTGGTGCATCTTTCACATAAAATCGGAAAACAACTATATATGGGAGCTATATCTAAATCTGAACCGATTTTAACAAAACTTCGCAGACACAAGTCTGCACCTAATTCAGTACTCTGTGCAAATTTTGTTCCCAATTAGACATCAGTTTAGACCCATATTGGGAGTTTGGTGCATCTTTCACATAAAATCGGAAAACAACTATATATGGGAGCTAAATCTAAATCTGAACCGATTTTAACAAAACTTCGCAGACACAAGTCTGCACCTAATTCAGTACTCTGTGCAAATTTTGTTCCCAATTAGACATCAGTTTAGACCCATATTGGGAGTTTGGTGCATCTTTCACATAAAATCGGAAAACAACTATATATGGGAGCTATATCTAAATCTGAACCGATTTTAACAAAACTTCGCAGACACAAGTCTGCACCTAATTCAGTACTCTGTGCAAATTTTGTTCCCAATTAGACATCAGTTTAGACCCATATTGGGAGTTTGGTGCATCTTTCACATAAAATCGGAAAACAACTATATATGGGAGCTATATCTAAATCTGAACCGATTTTAACAAAACTTCGCAGACATTAGTCTGGACCTAATTCAGTACTCTGTGCAAATTTTGTTCCCAATTAGACATCAGTTTAGACCCATATTGGGAGTTTGGTGCATCTTTCACATAAAATCGGAAAACAACTATATATGGGAGCTATATCTAAATCTGAACCGATTTTAACAAAACTTCGCAGACATTAGTCTGGACCTAATTCAAAATTTTGTCCCAATCTGACAAATATTGGGACTTTGGTGCAACATTCACATAAAATCGGACGAAACTATATACGGGGACTATATCGAAATATGAAAGGATTTTAACAAAACTTCGCAGACATCAATCTGGACCCAATTCAGTACTCTGTGCAGAATTTTGTCCCAATCTGACAAATATTGGGAGTTTGGTGCATCATTCACATAAAATCGGACAAAACTATGTATGGAAGCTATATCTACATCAGAACCGATTTTAACAAAACTTCGCAGACACAAGTCTGCACCTAATTCAGTACTCTGTGCAAATTTTGTTCCCAATTAGACATCAGTTTAGACCCATATTGGGAGTTTGGTGCATCTTTCACATAAAATCGGAAAACAACTATATATGGGAGCTATATCTAAATCTGAACCGATTTTAACAAAACTTCGCAGACATTAGTCTGGACCTAATTCAAAATTTTGTCCCAATCTGACAAATATTGTGTGTTTGGTGCATCATTCACATAAAATGGGACGAAACTTTATATTGGAGCTATATTTAAATCTGAACCGAGTGCAAAAAAACACGTACATAAGTATGGACTTGATTCAGTGCGCTGTCCAAATTTTGTCCCAATCGGACAAATATTGGTAGTTTGGTGCATCATTTACATAAAATCGGACGAAACTATATATGGGACCTATATCTAAATCTGAACCGATTTTAACAAAACTTCGCAGACATCAGTCTGGACCCAATTCAGTACTCTGTGCCGATTTTAACAGAACTTCACAGGCGTCAATCTGGACCTAATTCAGTACTCTGTGCAAAATTTTGCCCCAATCTGACAAATATTAGGACTTTGGTGCAACATTCTTATGCAGTACTCTGTGAAAATTTTGGCGATCTATCTCAATTCGCTTACACGCTATTGTGATTAAAACAGACAGACGTCATAGAATTTTACGCTGATCAAGAATATATATATGCTTTATAGAGTCGGAAATGATTATTTCGATGTGTTACAAACGGAAAAACGAAATTAATGTACCCTCCATACTAAGGGGAGGGTATAATGAAATTTAAGACAATAACCATTAGGCCACTACGAAGGTTCAAATTTTCAACAAAGTCGATTATTAATCAGATATTTTGTGGCCAGATTCCAAATAGTGAGTGTGTTGGTGTTGTTTTCCATCCTATGTTCAGAGAGGTTACTTCTCCAAGGAAAAACACTGTTTAATGTCAACGAAGGGATTTCAATTTTGGACATTTGCTGTTCGGTCAATTTGCTGCCGTGTACTATACAAACTGAACACAATACGCAGATGCGAACAAGCAGAAGGTACCAACAATCCCTTTGTTATAAACCGCTGTCATGTCACATAAATCGCTGCCTGTAAATGTCCGACCAGACAAGCTCGAAACGTTCGTCTGTTGTCCCATTGCCATTGTTGCGGGTATTTCCGTGCTTGTGTGTGTTCAGTCCTTTTGTTGCCGACGTCCCTGTACTGATCGTTCAATGATACCAAATCAAGAGAACAAACATGTGTGCTTGTTTGTGCGGCTATGTACTTCTAGAGGCTAAGCAATGTGTTCCAAAGGGTTAATCTGTTTTCCGCGGCTTTAATTTTTTTTGTTTTCATTTCTCTTCGCCTAAATGAATATGTTGTACAGAACGCGAAGAACTGAATGCAGGCGCCACACCTTGATAGGTTTTTTATCACGTCTCAAGGACATATCCGAACAAAGAAAATCAGCACGATTTGTTATAGAAGAGATTCTCAAATATATCTATCTTTTGGATAGCCGACTCTTGTCCGAATGTAAGTAATGTGTCGGTTGTCGCTCAAGCTTTGCACTCGGGAAACCAACTTTGTTTGAGACACATTATTATTATCTGTGGGCCTGTTATACGATTATTGTATTGATATTCCAAGCAGATGTGACTTCTGTGCAGGTACTATTTTTTGTAGGCGCTCGCTCAGATGCCACTGCCACCAATAAGCAATTCGATTAGATACGAAAACCGACGACGGCATGAAATGCTGTTGTGAACGGTACTAGGCAGACAAAGAATTCCGTTTTGATATTTTGAACGACAAAGGGAACAATAAAAAAAAACTTCGAAGCTCCACCGTTCGGTTCCTTGTATTGGCACACGCGCTTGCCAGTACATGCTCGTTTGTGCATGTTTGATGTTAAATTCTTTGGCCACTTTTAGCAGTACCATGTTGTCGGAAAACGGAAAGAAACGTTGACGTAGACTTTGCAGACACAAAAAAGACAACTGGACGAGGGGACATTGCCAATGTCAAGAATCTAACAAAGTATACATACGCCACCGCTTTGTATATGTATACTTGATACACTGACTGCATTGCCATTGTTGCGGGTATTTCCGTGCTTGTGTGTGTTCAGTCCTTTTGTTGCCGACGTCCCTGTACTGATCGTTCAATGATACCAAATCAAGAGAACAAACATGTGTGCTTGTTTGTGCGGCTATGTTCTTCTAGAGGCTAAGCAATGTGTTCCAAAGGGTTAGTCTGTTTTCCGCGGCTTTAATTTTTTTGTTTTCATTTCTCTTCGCCTAAATGAATATGTTGTGCAGAACGCGAAGAACTGAATGCAGGCGCCACACCTTGATAGGTTTTTTATCACGTCTCAAGGACATATCCGAACAAAGAAAATCAGCACGATTTGTTATAGAAGAGATTCTCAAATATATCTATCTTTTGGATAGCCGACTCTTGTCCGAATGTAAGTAATGTGTCGGTTGTCGCTCAAGCTTTGCACTCGGGAAACCAACTTTGTTTGAGACACATTATTATTATCTGTGGGCCTGTTATACGATTATTGTATTGATATTCCAAGCAGATGTGACTTCTGTGCAGGTACTATTTTTTGTAGGCGCTCGCTCAGATGCCACTGCCACCAATAAGCAATTCGATTAGATACGAAAACCGACGACGGCATGAAATGCTGTTGTGAACGGTACTAGGCAGACAAAGAATTCCGTTTTGATATTTTGAACGACAAAGGGAACAATAAAAAAAAACTTCGAAGCACCACGGTTCGGTTCCTTGTATTGGCACACGCGCTTGCCAGTACATGCTCGTTTGTGCATGTTTGATGTTAAATTCTTTGTCCACTTTTAGCAGTACCATGTTGTCGGAAAACGGAAAGAAACGTTGACGTAGACTTTGCAGACACAAAAAAGACAACTGGACGAGGGGACATTGCCAATGTCAAGAATCTAACAAAGTATACATACGCCACCGCTTTGTATATGTATACTTGATACACTGACTGCATAGACATTGATCCTGATGTGGGGCTACGTCTTGTAATATTGTCCTAATCCTTTGCTTCTCCTATTTGCGTATTTTTACAGAATGAACCCGAGTGTAATGCAGAACTGACGGCAGCCAACCGTGCACTTTTCCTAGAAAAAGTACGACAGTCAAATGCCGCCTGCCAGAATGGCGACTTCGGAACCGCAGTCTTGCTCTACACGGATGCATTGCAACTCGACCCCAGCAATTACATCCTGTACAGCAATCGTTCGGCAGCGCGTCTTAAGCAAGGACAATTCGCATTGGCGCTGCAAGATGCGACAAAAGCACGCGAACTGTGCCCGCAATGGCCTAAAGCGTATTTTAGACAAGGCGTCGCCTTGCAATGCCTGGGCAGGTATGGTGAGGCACTTGCTTCCTTTGCGGCTGGATTGGGACAGGATCCGCAGAACAAACAACTGCTGGCCGGTTTGGTTGAGGCTTCGATAAAAAGCCCACTGAGGCATGCTCTTGAGCCAACATTCCAACAATTACGAGCTATGAATCTGGACCAGTCCCCGTTTGTGGTTATATCGGTGGTGGGCCAGGAGCTCCTACAGGCCGGACAATACCACTCGGCAGTGACGGTATTGGAGGCAGCATTGCGTATCGGATCGTGCTCGCTGAAGTTAAGAGGATCAGTATTCAGTGCCCTCAGCTCAGCCCACTGGGTTCTCAATCAACTGGACAAGGCCATCGCGTATATGCAACAAGATCTGGCAGTGGCTAAGAGCTTGGGCGATACAGCTGGCGAATGTCGAGCTCATGGCAACCTGGGTTCGGCCTACTTCAGTCAAGGTTCTTTCAAGGAAGCGCTGACGGCTCACCGCTACCAACTTGTGTTGGCTATGAAGTGCAAGGATACACAGGCCGCGGCGGCAGCTCTGACGTCTTTAGGTCATGTGTATACGGCCACCGGAGACTATCCCAACGCTCTGGCGAGTCACAAGCAGTGCGTACAACTCGTCAAACAGATCGGAGATCGTTTGCAGGAAGCCAGAGAGATTGGCAATGTCGGTGCTGTTTTCTTAGCCATGGGGGATTTTGACTCCGCAGTAGATTGCCACACACAGCACCTGAGGTTGGCGCGCAAACTGGGCAACCAAGTTGAAGAAGCCAAGGCGTACTCTAACTTAGGATCGAGCCACCATTATCGGCGCAACTTTGCTCAGGCGATGACCTATCACGAACAGGTTCTAAGAATTGCACAGCAGCTGGGCGATAGAAATATTGAAGCAAGGGCATACGCCGGATTAGGTCACGCAGCCAGATGTGCCGGCGACATTGTCCAAGCCAAGAAATGGCACGAAAAACAATTAGAAATAGCCTTGGCGTCGCGAGACAAGATTGGAGAAGGGAGGGCCTGCTCAAATTTGGGGATTGTATACCAACTGCTGGGGGAACATGACGCAGCGCTGAAGTTGCACCAGGCTCACCTCACCATAGCAAGACAGATGCACGACCGTGCCGGAATGGGCAGAGCGTACGGGAACATAGGCAACGCCTACTCCTCGGCGGGTCTGTATGAAGCGGCCATTAAGTATCACAAACAGGAATTAATCATAAGTAAAGAAGTGAACGACCGCAGTGCGGAGGCGTCTACACATGGCAACTTGGCGGTGGCCTATCAAGCCTTGGGTGCACACGATATGGCTATGATCCACTATCGGGCTCACCTTAACATAGCTCGTGAACTGAAGGATACGCAAGGCGAAGCCTGCGCCCTATTGAATTTAGGCAACTGTCTCAGTTCTCGGCAGGAGTTTGCGCAAGCAGTCCCCTACTATGAACAGTATTTGATGTTGTCCCAGGAATTGGGGGATGTGGCTGCCGAAGGCAAAGCCTGCCACTTTCTGGGCTACGTTCACTATTGCCTTGGCAACTATCGCGAGGCGGTGCGCTACTACGACCAGGACCTGGCTCTGGCCAAAGATTTGCAGGACAAGGTGAACATGGGCAGGGCCTACTGCAACTTGGGTCTGGCACATCTGGCATTGGGCAATACGCAAGCAGCACTGGAGTGTCAAAAGTATTTCCTGGCGGTTGCACACATGACGAATCACCTGTCGGGAAAATTTCGGGCACTCGGCAACATCGGCGACATCCTGGTGCGTACTGGGGACGTCGAAGAGGGTGCGAGAATGTATCAACGTCAACTGACCTTGGCCCGTCATGCGCGAGAGAGGTCAATGGAGGCGGCAGCCTGCGGAGCCCTAGGCTTGGCACACAGGCTCATTAAAAAATACGACAAAGCTCTGGGATATCATACACAGGAGCTGTCGCTGCGCCAGCAAATGTCAGACCTGAAAGGAGAATGCAAAGCTCATGGACACTTGGCGGCAGTGCACATGGCCCTGTGCAACTACCCGTTGGCCGTGAAGTGCTACCAGGATCAGCTGACGAGGTCTCAAGAACTGCACGACTCGGCCATAGAAGCTCAAACGTTCGGAAACCTAGGCATAGCCAAATTAAACATGGGCCACTACGAGGACGCCATCGGCTATTTAGAGCAGCAATTGGGCACTTTGGAACGAGTGAATCAACCAACAACTCAGCACGACAGAGCGAGAGCCCTGGGTCATCTGGGCGATTGCTACGATGCCTTAGGAGACTACGAAGAAGCCATAAAATGCTATGAGCGCCATCTACAACTGGCCACATCGCTGCAAAGCTTGCGAGATCAAGAGAAGGCTTACAGGGGCATGGGACACAGCCACCGAGCCCTGGGCAACCTGCAGGAGGCATTGGTATGTTTGGAGAAGCGTTTGGTCGTGGCACACGAATTGGGTAGCGCGGCTGAAGTGAAGGCTGTGGCATATGGAGACCTCGGCAACATTCATTGTGCCCTGGGCAACTACGAGCAGGCAAGGAACTGTCTGGAGCACCAGCAAGAAATCGCCCGTGAGTTAGGGGACCGGAAACTAGTTTCAGATGCAACTAGCGCTCTAGGCAATGTCTATCAGCGAATGGGGGACAATGACGGAGCGCTGAGTTTACACAAAATGGACTTGGAGATGGGGGAACTTTTGGGCAATGCCTATATGCAGGCTCGGGCATGTGGTAACCTGGGAGCAGTTTACGAAGCCATTCGTTCCCATGACGATGCTGTAACATTCTACGAGAAACAACTATCAATGACCACGGACCACCTTACCAAAACCATTGCATGCGGATCTCTGGGTAAGCCAAGATAACATTGTTCAATTCCTATAAAATAACCTCGCAATATACGTTACAGGAAGAGTATACCACCAGATGGGAAACTACTCGGAGGCAATCACCTACCTGAAGCAGGGTCTGACATTTGCTCAATCCATAAACAAATCGGAAGAAGAAGCCAAAATAAGACATCAATTAGGCAAGTATCGATCGCGCCCGAACCTTGGTGCCATTTAACAATCGCCACTGTTTTGCCCCTGTAGGTCTTGCACTAAGAGCTTCCGGTGACAACGAAGGAGCCAGACTTCAAATGGAGAGTGCTGCCCAACTACTGGAATCGGTGCGGTACGACCAGCGCAGCCCAGAGGCACGTACCAATATTTACGATCTGCAGACCTCCTGCTATCATATCCTACAACAGATTTTTGTGGCCATGCAGCGCAACGAGGAGGCATTGGTGGCCGCTGAACGGTGCAAATCACGGTCTGGCCCTGAAGCGAATAACGCAACACGCAAGACCATGATGACGTGCACCGAACACATATACGACATTGTCAATCGCACAAAGAACAATGTCTTATATTTCAGCATGGCCACCGACGAGCTGTATGCTTGGTTTTTACAACCACAGAAGGGCATTGTGCGCTTCCATGCAGTTAAAATAAGCGAGGAGTCGTTGAAGATATCATCGGAAAAGCTGGCCGAGCACTCAAAGACAGGCGGTGTCAAGGAGAGTCTCTTAGAACGATATATCAATATGGTGCGTGACAACTTAGGGGTGAATTCCGACTCGGTACTGCACGAGGGAGACGGCAGTGGGTGGCGAGCTTCAACGGAGAACTTACTTGATGACTTTAGCAGCGAACGATCTGGATTCCTGCGCATGGTGAACCGAAATCACTTAATGAATTCGTCCAACTACTCCCTTAGCTCGCTATTTAGTCTGGGTTCTGTGGGTGGGTCAGTGGCCAGCCTCCAGGGGTCCACGCGCTCTATAGGTAGTCTTCAGGGCTCCTCGCGCTCGCGTAGGACTCCTTCAGTGTGGCAAGGTCCAAGCTGCCTACACACTCTATTTAACATTCTTATGGCTCCATTTGACGACTTATTGCCCACGGGCGGGGCTGTGTCCAGACAAGGACGAAAGGAATTAATTTTGGTGCTCGACAACGAGCTGTATTTGGTGCCTTTTGCTATTCTGCGCAGTTCGAAAGAGGACGGCGAATATCTATCGGAAAGATGTTCTCTAATAACGGTGCCATCACTGCAATCACTGCGGGTGAAGAGTAAGGCGTTGCGTTCCCGCGAACTAGCTGAGAATTTGAACACCGCCCTCGTAGTCGGTGGTCCACGTATACCGACCACCTTAGCCGAAACATGGGGTTGGTCCGAATCGCCAGCTTCATTGCAGGAAGCTGCAATGGTTGCCGACATGCTGCAAGCCAAAACACTTGCTGGCTGCAATGCCACCAAAGAAGCAGTTATATCCGAACTGCCCACAGCGGAGTGTGTGCACTTTGCGGCCAATCTAAGTTGGAAGTTGAGCGCCGTAGTCTTGAGTCCCGGTGATGTCGTCGACTCACAATCTCAGAAAAGGTTCTACCAGTCGTCGAACGCTGAGATTTCGGCGGGGCAAGACAACGATCCACCAGATCTTTCCGGTGGCAATATGGAGTTGCCACAGTTGTCCGACTTCATACTCTCGTCCTCCGATGTGTTGAACATCAAACTCAACGCAAAATTAGTCGTTTTAAGTTCCTATCATTCAATAGAGCCGATAACCGGGTCAGGAGTGGCAAACTTAGCTGGCAGTTGGCTAGGGGCCGGAGCTGGCGCTGTTCTGATATCACTATGGCCGGTGCCGGAGACTGCTGCCAAAATTTTACTCAGAGCATTTTATTCGGCATTACTGCAAGGGGCCAGAGCCGCAAGGTATGTCCTGTTCAAATATCACCTAGTCCCTACGGTGTTAAGTTCTAGATTTCAAAAATTTATTTTGCATTCTAATATACCTTTCTTTCCTATTTAGAGCACTGGCCGAAGCTATGCAAACGGTTCAGCACACAAAGCACTTCGCCCACCCAGCCAATTGGGCGGGCTTTCTGTTGGTTGGCGGAAATGTACGCCTTTCTAATAAAGTTGCATTAATGGGCCACGCCCTATGTGAACTCATGCGCACTCCGGACAAGTGTCGAGATGCTTTGCGTGTATGTCTTCACCTAGTGGAAAAAAGTCTGCAGCGCATTCATCGGGGACAAAAGAATGCAATGTACACCACACAAAAGAGCATCGAAAACAAGGCCGGACACGTAGCCGGATGGAAGGACCTCCTAATGGCTGTGGGATTCCGCTTTGAACCAGCCGCCAACGGCATACCATCCAGTGTCTTCTTTCCCCAGTCTGACCCCGAAGATCGCTTATCGCAGTGTTCAGCAAGTCTTCAAGCCCTACTAGCCCTAACGCCGTTGACGTTGCAAGCCTTAGCCAAGCTAGTCAGTAGCTCTGATATGGCGGACGACATTATAGCCGTAATACGAAACGTTTTAGCGAAATACCCGCCAAAAGGCAGTCCCGAATCGGAGACGACTATAGAAATTCCTCTTTCGGTGAGATTGTGGCGTGTCGCAGGATGCCACGAACTCCTGGCATCTATGGGCTTCGACTTGACAGAAGTCGGCCAAGATCAAGTCACCCTTCGGACGGGAAAACAGGCCAATCGTAGAATATGTCAATTTGTTTTGCAGGCCCTGTTGGCGCTTTTCGGTAAGTAGTACTGAGGTGATCCCGTATTTGCCACAACTCACTCGACAACTTTCACTTTCAGATACCCAAGAAGCCCCCAAGAGTTTGGGTCTTGACTCGTCCAGCAGCTGTGAGTCCCTAATTGAAGATACTGTTATCACGGAGGCGGTAACACCCATTGCCACTACAAATCACACGCAATTAACTGCAGCAAGCCATCAACCATTGACGGCAGACACCAGTAAGCAACCTATAAATGTTGGAGTGACCTTGCCTCCGTTGCCCATAAATAGATCGCGCTTGATAAGTACAGGCAGTGGCGCCTTCATATCGTATGTGCGGCGAAGGGGTGAACCCGATGGCGGGAGAACGGACAATGAGTCGATCCCTGTCCCAGGGGCAGCCTGCAGTTCCTCATCTATGTACCCTGCATTGGACTCCAGTCTAAATAACACAACAGACAGTGAGCTATCAGATGGTTATATATCACAAAGCCACATTACGAAGACAAACCATTGTCGTCTGGGATCGTCAACGCTAAGAGGGCCAGTTCGAGTATCAAGACCCGGTGGGGGCGGAGAGAGCGATGCTGCATTCACACCAAGTCCCCCAGTCACCACACAAAACCCCGTGGATTCAAATGTGTCTATGGCTTTGGCCCACCAAACTAGAATTCGTAATTTGTATTCCGGAACGGGAATGGGTTATTTGGGTGATTCGGCCATACCGGAACTGACAGCAGCTCCAAGCACAGCGAACCGCAGACCGGATAGCTCTAGTTCCGCCAGTTCCACCACTGATTGGGAAGGCTCTGGCCACGCTACAGTCTTGAGAAGAGGCGTACATATGCCCCCTCTACCACCGCCCAGGCAAAATATGCCATTAGTTGACAGTTTGAGACCGCTGGCACCTATGGTCCCTGTATATAATAATTTAAATGCCAATTTGCCAACGTCCAACTCAACGGGCAACGTTGCCGACTCGAACAGTAGCGAGTCTGAATTCGAAAGGAGCTTAAAAGGTGGCCAAGTGCCAATGTCGCAGTTCCGACTGAAGCCAAAAATCAAGCTAGGGAGTGCACAAACATCGGTTGCGGCTAGGGTCAGCAAGGAGCATGCCCTATTTATGGACCGACTGAATGTAAGAACGGAACCAAACCCACAGGGGTCGTCGGTAAACCCAATATCATCCACGCATACGACATCTACAAATAACACCGCTGGCAGCCGAAAACCCATCAATTTACCCGATGACGATGACAGTGCACTGGTGTTCAATGCATCCAATATGTACTATCCGCAAGCGGACAGTGATCTGCTGCCGGAGACCAAGAAAGAACACAAACCTAGTAATCACAACGGTTCTACATCTGGCAGCGCTTCGTCTCAAGGTGTCGCTGCAAAAGATGCTACCTCTAAAACAAATCAAAAAACTATTCAGGACTCCATAATGCGCCAAATGAACCGAGAGATGACGCCGACCATTTCGGAAGTCTATCATGAACGCAACTTGGGACTGGGTTTGGCCCCACCGCTCTCCCAGCTATTACTCAGCAAAAACTACGAAGAAGCTGAAACCTGCAAGCCCACACAAGCCAACAGCATTGCCCTGAAAAGTCTGGCCGATGCTGCCAACGACATTGAATTAAGTGGTGCTTCTTCGACATCCTCTGTTAGCACCACAAACACTAAAACCCTAAACACCCAAAGTTCCATCGCCGCCAACACCCCGCACGGAGACGAATGCTCGACATGCGGTGAACCGTCCGACATTATTTGCCACTGCAAAAGCGCCACCGTTCAAAAGAAGGCTTCGCATAAGCCTTGGTTAAGTAACGTCCCCTCCAGCATAGTAAAGGCCAGCGACCTAACCACAGCCGACATACTGGAGAGGCAAAATAAAATCCGCACCAGTGTCATCAAAGAGGCTGTCAATCCCCCGCCACCCTTGCCAAGTTCTCTGTCAACACTGAAACGTGTACCCAGTCCCTTCAATGAGTATTGTCGCCGTGACGAAGGCGACGGTCGTTCCGTGGCCGATTCGCAGTGTAGCAGTAATTACAAAAATATAACAATAGTAAAAGCTGAGGCCAGTCAGGCCAGCATCGTACCCAATAGGAAAGTGTAAAATAAATCGGCATTCAAGTCGAATGATATTCGTCATGCGCCGACCCAATGCAATAGTAAAGCGGTGGATAGCATCCCATCCCCAAAAATGTATTCAACATGTACAGATTTACGGCATGTCCATGCTTTTCCTCCGAAAAGCCAGCCAATATTCCCAGAACTGATTATATTTAATGAGTAATATTTGTAGTGGTAGACCCATAAGTTGTTAGTTAGACTATATGTACGTTTGTTTATTGAATAAAGCTAATCGTTTATTCCATTATTGTTTTTTTATTAACACTATTTCTACAACGACAAAGCACATAGCATTGTTAATCGAAAACGACAGCCGCGCGCCTACTCCTATTTTGTTGAGGGTGGGCGGAATAATAATTTGTCAGATCCGCCACGTTGAATTTCATTCGATCAAATTCAGTTGCCAAGGTCGGGCGCCAACAAGGGCATTTTATTTACAAAAATCAAATAGTGGGCACTATGTGATGATCTATTCCAAAAATTCCATCAACAGACATATCGCTGAATTGTAAAGACATTGGCATTTTTGCTTCGCAGAATAGAAAGACACTATCATAAGCGGAATCCACGAACGGTTGTTATTACATGTAGAAGGGGTTTTCTACAACGATGCGTATGCGTCTTTTAGTTTTCACAATCATGTCAAGCATGCGTGTGATCAGGACATAGAGCATAGAATATAGTATTGGCATTAAAATGTATATCTACTAGTAGTTGGTCAGCATCAAATCCGCATTGCTTGTACAGCTTAACCGGATTGAAGGACGCCATAACATTTGTCCACCCAAAAGAATTATAATCTGATTAATAGATTCAGACTCGAATATACGATTATGTGAACGGTTTCATAGGTTCACGTGAACAACAACATAAGGCAGTCATCGTTAAGAGCATTAAAATGTATATCTACTAATAGTTGGTCAGCAACAATTCCGCATTGCTTGTACAGGTTAAACGGATTGAAGAAAGCCATAAAATTTGTCCACCAAAAAGAATTGTAATCTGATTAATAGATTCAGACTTGAATATAAGATTATGTGAACAGCTTTCTTAGAGGCACGTGAACAACAACATAAGGCAGTCATCGTTAAGAGACGCAGAAGTGTAAGCACAAATTAAAATCTCTTCTGTGGGAAGAAATTTGCGAATAATCATACGAATTCTTCTATGATAACGTCTGGGTACTCATTGAACTTCTAAACCCACATAAATTATTTTCGGTCCACAATGGGTAATTAAATTATATTTGGACGACATTTAATGATCATGTTCAAGTTAATTATTATTATTATTTTTTTATTGTTTTTATTGCATGTCATTTGTTGGCGATAAGGCATAGCCCGAATTTTGGGAAACTTGTGACCGACCGATCATTTGTGTGCTTTACCCTCCGGAGAATTGATTAAAAATAAATACACTCGAAAATAAAAACAACACAACATATCATATCATTTACGTTGGGGAGCATGGAATCGAAAATGAAATCCGTTATTTATAGCAAACAGTCCCTCATACTAGGTATTCGTTCTAAAACCCCATCTATACAATGGAATGGAATTTTTTCATAAATGCATAGGCTTTGTAAACAAAACTGCACAACGTATTGCGTCTGCACTCTATACTATAAACTATATAAAATACACTCATGTGTAATCAATGAAATTTCCCGCTTTGTATTCAATTATTTGCCAAGAAAATGAAATAGTTTGCAAAATATTTATTACATCCTTATCTGATCGTTTTTGTTTGACGTTAACACAACCGCTCAATTTGAATGTCAAGAGTCACCAAGTATGTAACTGATTGCGCTGTAGTGTGAATTAAATAATAGTCCCTATAATATTAAACAAACCTTCTACATGTGGATAATCTCTTTGACGCCAGTACAAGTGTGGGGTCTTGATTTCTTCTCCTCTTGGTGTACACGTGTGTGTGTGCATATGCATGTGTCTCCCATACTCAACATAACTATTTTCGTTGGTACGCATACGTTCGAGGGCATCAAAACCTCATCTTCCATTTTATTGCAGTTATTGACAACCCAATCATAGGCATTCGTCTGGAAGGACATTTTGCCTGGGTCACAATTTAGCTCATTTATCAAAACCAGAAACGAGTTGACCAATTCCACGTCGCGGAAAACCAAATTGTATCCCGCACACAAGAAAAATGATAGAGACCATTCAATTCGCTTTACAACGGCGTTCTATATTCGCAAAGCGATTAACTATACTATAGAAAAACCTATACACATACCTTTCACAAAATGTTTTGCGCTTTTAATTGCACATGATTTGGGTTATCAGGCTCATTCTCTCTCACACTCTCCTTGGCTCTCGCCCTCTCTTGTGAAGTATAAAAAAGCTGGCATTTGTCTCGAACATTTCAAAAGCGAATTTCTATTGAAACAAAACGGTTACGACGACCTTAGGAGTGAATTCATCTTTGAATAACAGAAATTAGTAATAAATGAAATAAATAGCTGACACACACACACCGTTAGAGGAAACACAAAATGCGCATTTTACAGGAGGTAGATACAGTGAAAAGAATGAAAAGAATTTCGAATAATATCTCTATTTGCTATTGTGTTTAGAACCAAATTGATTTCATAGATCCTTCGGAATTGTTACGTCCCGAGCCAAGCTTTGCGGAAAAAAGCCTATCGAAATTCCGTGATTATAGCATTGACGAAAAGGATCCGCTAAAGGAGCGGGTAAGACAAACTTATCGGCTAATGCACTTGAACCAAACGGTCGACTTTGTAAAAGGTCGCCATGAACGCTGGTTGAAGTTCAATACCATGAAGGCAACAGTTCGTCAAGCTTTAGAAAAACTTAACGATCTCATCGACGAGTCTGATCCTGATATCGATTTGCCAAACATCGTGCATGCCCTCCAGGCTGCCGAACGGGCAAGAGAAGAATACCCCGAATTCGATTGGTTGCATTTGACAGCGTTGATTCATGATTTGGGTAAAATAATGGCATTCTATGACGAGCCACAATGGTGTGTTGTTGGTGATACATTTCCCGTCGGATGTGCATGGGGCGATAGTATAGTTTACAGGAAGGACAGCTTCGAAGGCAACCCAGATGGGGAGAATCCTCTATACAATACCAAATACGGTATGTACGAACCAAATTGTGGAGTCGACAACCTTATGATGTCCTGGGGCCACGATGAGTACATGTATCAGGTGCTGAAACACAACAAGACAACGCTACCAGACATAGCCTGCAAAATAATTCGTTTTCACTCATTTTACCCATGGCACAATGGTGGCGACTACCAACACCTCACTAAACCCGAAGATGAGGAAACAAAAAAATGGGTTTTGATATTCAAGTAAGTACAGAATGGCAGAATGTAACTAGAGTCTTTTAAATATTCCCTTCTTCATCGTTTTTAGTCGTTATGATTTATATACGAAAAGTGCAAAGATTCCCGACATAGAAGCATTGTGGCCGTACTACCAAAGCCTGATTGATAAATACCTGCCTGGAGAACTGGAATTCTAAAATCATTTAGACCATAAACACTTATCGACTGTGATCAAACAAGCAACGTCGTTTCCAATTGCTAACAAATCAATAACAAATATACAATCAATAGTTTTTTAAACAAACCCATTGTTTTCCTTTATTTTCATGTCATTCCATGGAGTTGGTGTATTTGGTAAACGAAACGTACAAAACCACTTACGCACTACCCATAGCGTTGTCGCTTATTCCCGTGGGATCGATGATCAGATTGATAACATTTCGAATTGTCACTTGAATAATCGTCAGAATAGGTATAGGAACGGGATCTGCTGCGACGATGACGTCGCGTCGAGTGTTGATTGTAGCTTCGTGATCGTGATCGAGATCTCGATTTTGACTTTTGGTGTTTCTTAGATTTCTTTTTTGATTTTGATTTCTTTGACTTGGATTTTTTCGATTTGTGTGGTTTTGACTTGGATCGGGATTCCGATCGATGTTTTTGCATCTTGGCGTCATCGCCACCAGCATGGCTAGCTTCCGAGGATGATGACGTAGGTCGCGATTCCCGTTTTCTATACTGACGCTTACTCTCAGTATGAGTGGCCGAAGAGCAAACATCTTCCTTTGTCCTACTTCTTGATCGGGACTTTCTTTTCCTGATGTGATTGGTTTCATTAATATTCGGCAATCGGTCATTAAGCTTTTTGGCAAGTTTTGTTGGTGGGGACACTTTTGCAGGTACAAATTTGGAAATGACATTGTGAGTCACCATATTCACTGAATTTTCGTCTTCACTGTTATCTTCCGGTCCGTAAGACGTTATGGGTATAGACTGTACGGATCCTTCCGAATCACTAGCACCATCCTCTTTTCGCGGCTGATCAGTGTTTTCATCAGTCTTTGTGGATTGTTCCCTGTTGTTCGTTTCCCCGGACGCAACGGCTAAAATGAATCAAAACCATTGCCGTTAGTAATTGTTGCCATTCCATCCAAAGACTGCTAAATTAATCAATTTTATGGCACATTGGCAATTGGTATTCCTGTCAGTTGCAATGCACTTCGGATGTAGCAATTCAATTGATATTAGAAGAGAACATTGGTGCTATGCATAATAATTTAGCGTATTTTGAAAATATGACCCTGAAGTAATCAACAGATTTTTTTTACGCTTCTTTGGAATTTTTGAACTATGGCCAAAAACAATGCTAGTGGAATACACATGCCTCACTTGAGGCATGATAAAAACGATCAGATTAGGTGCAGAAAAAACGCAGCACTACGCTTCAGAGTACGGGCATTTTTCTAAGCATTAAATTTTGGAATTCCACTCACCCTTAATTTGGTTCAGGAATGCCATAGCTTTTCGTTTCCGTTCCAGTTGCAATTGTTTTTCCTTTGACACAATTCCGCCCAATTTTTCTCTAGCAATTTGAGCCAACTTGTCTTTGACCTTTTCCTCGGCTAATACAAAAAAAAAATATTTTAAATACCACACATTCTGAAGAATGTATATGTCATACCCACCTTTTTTTAATTCCTTATGTCGCTGCTGCTGCTGTTGTTCGAATAGAGCGTTGCGTTCCGCTTCCGCCTTTGATGCGGCCGATACATTTGATGACACCACCAATGTTCCAGAAGACATTGTCGACTTCAATGGGGCGATTGCAGGAATTGTTGTAATGGGAAGTAAATTATTCACGGGTAAAATACTAGAACTTCGAAAGGCTAACGCAGCTGCAGCTATTTGCGCATTTCGCGCCATTAGCTGAGATTCCACTTCAAATATAGCTTTTTGTACGTGTTCAGGGACGTGTCGGTTGGGGTTGCTGCTTGTAGCTATATTTGCTGCGGTAGTAGTCGGCGTATTTAGTTTTTCTTCGTCATCACTTGTATCCTGCGGTAAAACCGGAGGCTGTAGAGTGGTGTTTGGTACATCTTCTTTAGGTTTTATAGAAAAGCATACGGGATCTGAAATATAATTGAAGTTGGCGGTTTCGCTAGTCATGAGTACTTCATAATGTATGTGTACTACTTACTGTTCGAACCTTTGTCGCGCATCAGTCCCTTTTTGTTCATCAACGCTTCTGCAACTTCCTTGGCTTTGCGTTGTTTTCTTTCCTTAGAAGCCGCGTTTACATCGCCCGTTATTTTATACATATAGTATGGATAATATTCATTGTCAGGCAACAAAAATGTGAAGCGTTCGGCCGATTTACTTCGCAGAGTCTCTTCGAATTGGCGGCCATTTTTTATAACATAAACTGCTGTCTTGTCAATAATATTCTTAAGATTTTCGGTGGGCACGGGAAAATCAACATTCGCTGGTGGTGTTACTTCGCTCAGTGGGTTTGTGGACGTAATCTCCTCCTCGTCGCCGCTTTCAGAGTCCGACGAGTAGTTTTGAGCCAAAGCCAAAGCACTCGAGTTCTTCAGAATCTCTACCTTGGGCTCAGTGTCGCCTAAACTTGTGTTTGTGGCGTTGGTGATTGCTACTTTCTGACTACTAGAATCGGAACAATCGTCTTGTTCCGTTATAAAAGTTGCACCGTTATATTGCAGAAGAACGGGAGTGATGCAAGGCGAGTTGTTTGAAGACTCTTGTTGTGAAGACGCGCTTTGTCTTGATGATTCGTCGTGCAACTCTGCTAGTGGAACTCCCTTAATTTTACTGATTAGCTGAGTGTATGCACAATCTGCTGAAGGTTTGTACTTGACCATGGGCACTAAAACAACTGGTTTTTCCTCAGCACTTACAGCTGCGGATCCATATGTCCTCAGAGAACTATCCCCTTCGGAATTGCCAGTTTCTTGTTTGCTGAAGGTTTCTGGATACGTTCCATTCTTAATGGCACTCATAACATGCCTGTAATATGGATACAGCAACGAATTTTGTGACAAAAATTCAAATTGTACGTTGTTGGACTGCTTCGCCTTGAGAAGAATCTCCATTTGAACGCCGTGTGAGGCTATGAATCGTGCGGTTTTCTCAATAATAGCATGTTGTTTCATTGTGTCTGGCTGAAATAGATTGTGTTTTTCGTTAAAATGTAATTGTTTTCTAAACACTGGACAATAAATTCCTTACCAAATGCATATCGGGCGGAACGTGGAAATTCTGTGGCAGTTGGAAGATTTGTTCGGGTTCTTCGCATGTTGGGGAATTACTGAACTCTTCACGACTCTCTATAATTTCTTTCGACTCATCATAAGTGTGTCCCACTTGACTGTAGCCACCACCATTTGTTTCTTGCTTCAAGCGCTTCAACTCTTCCTCTAATTTGACCAAGTCGCCGAGAAGGTTGCCAAGAATGCCCAAAATAAACCCAAAAAACGTTAGAAGAAATACAAAATTCCAGCATGAGTCACGGCCCATGGCAATGCATTAATGAAATCGAAGTAGCCAAAGGCACTCCAAATATTTTACAAATAGTAAGAAAACAATTTAAATTCAGAAATGTAATTGAAAGTAGTTTTTGTTCATAAATTCAATTCTATTCGAATGCTTGACTTCATGTGCATGAATGTCGGGAAACAGCGGGCCTGAAAGTAAACATTAATCGATTGTAGGATATATAATATATTTACCTGCCTTTAAGAAAACAATATTTGAAGGCATTACGACCGCTCCCAGTTGCTGCGACTCGCACTCACGTGGCTACTTTTTTGAAGGTAATTACTTACGTGATCTCGGCAGTTCTAAATGTTCAAGCTGTGCTATGTTTATATTATAATTATAGACTTAAAACATAACATGTGTATGTATGATGCACGGCTTCCGTCGCCGGAAAACTTTAAAAACTCTTCGTAGTTATGTAATGGTGTAGGTATTCAATATATTTGTTTCCAGCTTACCTTGTTTGGTTATAACGTCTTCCTCGTTTTTGTATAAAAACAAATATCGTTCCTCTTCACATAACTGTTCCGCCCTTTGTTCTTCGGCAGTCAAGCAATCGAGTCGATTTTCATAACCACCCCCAGGCGGAGGTTCATACGGTGTTAAATCATAGAGTGCTCCTCGCACATCGTATCTATAAATTTGTTATTGGTATTCCAGATCGGCCGTTTGTTGGAACAACAGCGAAAGGGAACAGGTAGTAGTTGTAGTTGAAAACAAAAAGAGATGACAAAAAATTAAAACCAAAAGAATAAGGTAAATGAATCTAAACTAACGAGCTTATTCTCCGCAGGATTAAATAAATGTTGAATACGTACCAGCCAGCACATTCTATCTGGAACTCTTAACATAACAATAAAAGTAATAAAGAAATTGTACACAGTTATTTCAATGCCGAATTTTGAAGAGGGAACATAAGAAATCGGGTAGGTTTCCTCCCAGGTTCAACAATTGTCTCGTGTGAGATCTTTATTCCGACATTACCAACTAACTACTTTTGTTAATCGAATGTTAACGTAAGTATGCGATGTAAATCGTTGTAATGCGAGGTCACACAATTTCCAGAAAAATGGCTGACCACTTCTTCGATTTTCATAGCATACATAGATTCCGTCAGCAAGACAATCCTTATTTTTTCGTTTCATTCATATATAAAACCTGCATATAAACCTGCATATATTCGTTCAAGTCGAAGTCCAACAAAAAATTATATAAAATAGTCCAATACTAATAGACACCATAGCGGCCAATTCCTATGTATTTTACATCTGACGTCCGGAAATGCTAAATCATTCGATTTTGGATTTTGATTTGAAGTACTGGCACCAATAAGGATGATATGTACTTTAATTGATTGATATTAACAATATTCCCTCTACAAAGAGAGATGCTTGCGTTCTTTCCTGCTAATCATATCCTTTTTCAAGCGAGTAAGAATTCGGCAATATATGATCAGATAAACATTAAATTCTATTTGGGGGAAGAACAAATATTAACCTGTCAATTTTTAGGGTATCATCGCCCATCCACGGTATTAGATGCTTGCCCTGGTCAATTTCACGTGCCTTCTCATCATCACGGAAAATCTTACAGGCATAGCCAAAGACTAGTAGATCAATTTTCTTCTCCATGTCTGTCGAATTTTGCCATCCCGTTAATGTTTGTGGCTTTCGCAAAATGCCTGTTCCAGCGCCGGATGTGTCAGGCCTCGAATATGACATAGCTTATTAACTTTGGAAGCCTATATATGTATTGCAAATCACTAATTCTCTGCGAACTTCACTGACACCACTTCTTCACCATGCAACTTATGTTTACTGATGCTACTCACTTCGCAGCAAAGCAGACTTAATAAGGTAGTCGCGGATGCACAGCTGTTGGGACAATTAACTGTCAAAAAAGTTGCTGTAAATAAAAAAAAAAACAATTTTTATTTTAAAGACATTGCTTGGCTGTAAACTTATTAAGATATGCAAATGCATTTCGTATTGCAATCACTTAATAATTACTTTGATTTTTTGTATGTTAATCCAGAGTATTTCCAATTACTACTGTTAAGAAATATTTATGGAGCTTGAACATATGTTTTATTGCCTTAGTTTATTCTGTAGTATTCTGGGCACATAACCCATTTTGGCCTGACTTTGAATTGAATAAATTAATATAATGGTAATAAATAAATTTTAGTATGAATCTGTTTGTTTTTTTCAAAAATAGTTTTGACATTTCAACGGTATACCAAAGTTGCTGATGGGGCTACGCCACTCAAGACTAATATTTCATGTAATCGATATTAACAGAAAATATCGATAATATTGATGGTGGCACAAGCTGCAGACATAAATAAACAAACATGTCTCAAACGAAAAGAAATCAAAAATTCCAAGCCAAAGAATGTTTCAGCCGAATGAATTTTTTATACCAGGCCTCGGCGTTAATGGCAGGAAAGAATAACTCATTATCGGCATACTATGGAGAATTGTGCAAGAATATAGCAAAGAAGTCCGTGCTTAAAATGTGAGTATGCCAGAAGGTTGATATGCAAACATTAGCTGTTAACCCACAATTTGTACTCGGGGGTCAACTAATTCCAAACACTGCTGTTTCCATGAGGACTTCAGTCAATTCTGAAAAAAGTACAAACCGTGTTAATCAAAATGAATTTTCCTTAGGGAGCCTAATTTGAAAAGGACACTATGCAAACGTTGTTCTTTGGCGCAGCAACCCGGTAAAACCAGTGAACTGAATGTAAAGGAATCTAACGTCGCACACAAGGAATCCATAGATGAGCAATCAGAGCTTGTTAGTCGTTGCCTAATGTGCGGTTATCAAAGAAAATTTATTGTAAATACTAAATATGAGTTTTGGCTGGAAAATGGCGATATGTCGATAGCCGAGGTTATAACTCAATCAGTAGCAGAATGATATAATAAATAATACTGAAATAATAAATAAACTGTTTTTTTTTTTTAAGTTGTAAATAGATTTTTTCAGGATCAGTGATTTTCATGACGCTTTCATTTATCTCTCAATATAAAGTTCTGTATTCTAACGCTTTCCACAAAGAACAAAAACTGAACTCCACCAACAACAAAAAATTAATTCTGCAGTACATTTACATAGCAAATTTGCAGTTCTAACAGGGTTCATGGCAGTTTCAATATAGTATGGGCACAGACGAATGATGAGTAAGTACATTTTCAAGGAAATGCAAGACAATATTTTTTTAGTTTCATAAACATCATAATAATCATTGTACAATTATTCAAGGTAGACCATAGCCTACCTACAAAATTTGTGACAGTGTATGTAATGTTTTGAAAATATAACAAATAAAACCTAAATCCATTTGTTTAAAGATTAATTTTTCTGCATTGGTAGGAAGAAATTTATGATTTGTGGTGAATAAATATCTAAATCATATCCCCAACTCGATTTTGGAAGGAACACCTGACATTCCATTAATTTTTCGCGATTTTAGTAAAGTTTTAAAAATATGTCAAATGAACAGAAACTTGTTGCATTATTTTGGCATTATAGGCCATACTCTACCTTATATAATCACATGGTACATTTACACAAATTGTATCATGTGATGATAATTATATTCTTCCGAATGCATTCCAATATTAGTGTTATTGACTAATTTCAATTCGTTGTTATAATTTTTGAATGTTCTGAAATTAAGTCAACTATTTCTTTTCTCAAAAGTCATGGGCTCTTGCAATTATTGAACACCTGACCGCACATTTTCTGAGTATTTCATCATCTATACCTTACTTAGTCTATGGTATGGGCATCAAACATTTTTTCATGGCCATTTAATAGGTCAAACAGAAAGCAATCGAAGTCGGCAACGTACTTTAAAACAGCTGATCCCGAGAGATCAGCTGTTTTAAAGCTTGCTGTCAAAATTTGACGTCTACATTTTTGGCAATCAACTTGAGAAAAAACTGCTGATTTTCTGTTTCTTAGAGACCTGATTTTATTCTATTCCAGCCAATCAGAAGTTGGCATTTATGTTTACCATATTTACTCGGCAACTCTTTTACTGGAACGCAGCTATAGTAAAGTCGTCGGAAAACGCACAAATTTAGGTAAATAAACTGAATATCAGAGAACAAAAAGTCAAAGTCTTGAAGCAGACTGAACAAGATAATGGCAACAGAACTTTAGACTTTTAGTGATTATAACTATTATTATATTTACAGGAAATATAATTAGAGGGATTCGGGATCAGTTGAGTGAGATTGTGAAAATACAAAGATGGCTTTGAGGCAATTAGTCGAAGGCGATTGTGGCGGGGTAAATCCGCTCATGCAATTGGGTGGGGAGTTTACACGAGATGTTGCCCGTAAGGACGAGGGATTTTCACAGGGAATATTCGAACGTAATATGCGTCCAGACGAACAAATGGTAAACGAATTTTTGGGACAAGTGTCTGCTCCGCCACAATCGTTTCAGATGGATACCCTATTGCAAGAAATGCGTCAGATAGAACAAGCTTCTTGTCAACCACAGGCAGCGCCTCGGGTCATTGATGAAGTAGTTGGACAATGGTCAAAGGATTTTAGAAATGAGTTTGCCAATCAAGTGCCTACACAACAACTACAACCGACTGGCCATGTGAGAGACTTCTTCGAGGAAAGTCCGAGCACCTCGACATCATATTTGAACAGACCTGTACCATATGTGCCAATGTATGCACCTCTAACGAGTGATGGCCAACAAGCCCAGACGGGCTTGACAGACAAATTTTTCGAAGAAGCTCAAGCTCTGGAAACCCTTGAGCTGCCTGCCAGTTTGCAAGGTGAAGATTGGGTTAATGATTACAAGGCTAGCAACGAGAGCAATGAACAGGCCGCAGCAAACTATAATGAGAAGTTTTGGCAACGTCTCCAGGACGAGTGGGCAAAAATATCAGAGGAATCAGATCATCCTTGGCTGTCTGAGTTCGACGAAAGCTATGACCCTTACAAGGAGTATAAGTTCGCTGAAGAAAACCCAATGAAAGATATACACAACCCTCTGGAAAAAGGAAAAGAATATCTGGCCAAAGGGGACATTCCCAGTGCGGTTTTATGTTTTGAGGTTGCAGTCAGCAAAGACCCCGAAAATGCCGATGCGTGGGAATATTTAGGTATAAGCCAGGCGGAAAATGAGATGGACCCACAGGGTATCGCTGCCCTTAAGAAGTCATTGGATTTAAAACCAGACAATGCGAAAGTTTTAATGGCCTTGGCGGTCTGCTACACAAACGAAAGCTTGCAGTCGCAAGCTGTTAAAATGCTAACGACCTGGCTGCAGAATAATCCGAAATATAAACACCTAGTTGCGCCTTCCCATGCTGAGTCTACTGCGGACAATGCTGCAGCTCTAGCGTCGTCCCTGATTAGAGGCAATAGACTTCAAGAAGTGCAGGATATGTTTCTTGAAGCAGTACGTATGAATCCGCAGGACGTTGATCCGGAAGTACAAGAGGCTTTGGGTGTACTTTATAATCTATCTGCAGAATATGATAAAGCCGTTGATTGTTTTAAGGCAGCGCTACAAGTTGATCCGCAGAACGCAAAGATTTGGAACCGCCTAGGTGCGAGCTTGGCCAATGGATCTCGATCGGTTGAAGCTGTAGAAGCCTATCAAAGGGCTCTTGAATTGGAACCCGGCTTTATTCGCGTCCGATACAATGTTGGTGTGTGCTGTTTAAACTTAAAGGCATATAAACAAGCCTGTGAGCACCTACTAACAGCATTGAATATGCAGGCAAATGTTGCCGCCACACGAGAATTTGCCCAAGGAGCTCTGGGTTCAAGCCAACAGATGTCTGAGTCAATATGGAGTACATTGAAAATGGTGGTTTCACTAATGGGACGCAACGATTTACAGGGACATGTGAGCGACCGCAACCTAGCGGCCTTGAATGAAGCATTTAAGGACTAAAGTGTATTTTAAAATAGGGATAATGGTGATGGGAATTTGTTTTATTCACTTCTGTAATCAAGGGGCAATTAGATGTAATGCAATAAAATGCTAATGATTATACATGTAGTCTATTAGAATACACACTATGTATTGTTATTGTCTTTCTTATTTTTTATTTTACACATGATTCACACTTTTGAAAGATAGGAATGACCTTTTCTTATGTACAGCATACATTTCATTAATTCTTAGATAAAGCTTTTTTGATTAATAGCACGGCTGCCGCTCCAATTACCACTGATACCAGGCATATTCCAATTTCCCTGCGAATATAGATAACAAATGGATTCAAATGAATTAGAATACAATTGTGGTCATTTTAATTAATAAGACAACATTGCTTTCTAACAAGAAACTCATCATGTAGTGCATGGGGATGATCACTAAAAAAAACGGGACCAAAGAGAAAAAATGGGTGCTAAACAAACGAGGTAACTTAGAATATAGGTGCTCCCAATGTGGACAGTACGGTGCGCTACATACACATGAACTTTTAAGCTCGCAATGGCACTTACTTGTATTTACATATCTGAAGAAGGTAATCGAAAACTAGCATTTCTCAATATATCTCATTTACTTGATTTTAAGTATTTTATTTTTCTTGCCCCGTAAAAGAATCTACAACTAAGAAAAAGTATTTGTAGTTATACTGAATGTTTAAATGCATAACGCCAGATCGTTTATATTCCATAACATTCTAGTAAGAAACACATCAAAGCAAAATAATTGAGCGGCATTGTTTTTTGTATGGATTATGCCCAACAATAGCATATAAAGTATATATATCTTAGGTGCACAACAGAAATATATCTACTAAAAAACAAAACATGAATAAAAAAATAAAACCATTCAGATACAAACTGTTAAAGAAAAAAAAAAATAGAAAAAAAATTATACGGTATTGTGAAAATGTAGTTTTGAGAAATCGAAGACGAAAGACGAAGCCAACGTAGCCGTGGAAGCTTGGTTCAGAGTCTTTCAATGATTAATCAAAGACGTTGAAATTCTGAGCAGGAATCTTTTTTTTTATGCAGTTGGACTTCGATTGCCCGTGGTGGGGATCTGGACTCCAGGACTTTTAACATAGTATGCATTTTATGCTCATTTTTATTTGATTTATGTTAAATGTGTAAAACGTAATCATGGAGGAGACAATCACTGTTCAATAAGAAAAGATGAACAAAGGCGTACGGCACATTACTTTGACATATTTCATCATTTGTCACATAGACGCATCCACTGCGCAATGAACCGTACTCTTTGTCGTTTTTGATGGGTATTCGTCTACATCGTTAAGCATAAATAAACTAAGAGAACGGGAATCGACAAATTGGGACAATGAAATCCTTTGATGTGGAATATTCCCTTCATCCCAATGGTGGAAGCATGATAACAATCGCAATTACCTGAGCGGAAGATTGCACTTGCAGTCCTTTGCTGCCAAATCACCAACATAATACTTCTTCATTATCTCCCTAAAACAAAGAGATTATTGGAACGCCTATGTAAAGCATTTCGTAGTTTTGTGCTCACCTGGCCTCCTGACTATGACCCACGTCAATAAAATCTTTAGTACCATCCCGACCTGCCACTTCGTCGAGAGACTCCTCTCCTCCCGGATGCTATACGAAATATATAAGAATAGGCTTTGCGAGCACGTTCATAATAGCCGCATATATCCTTACCTCGCTTCGAAACTTGGTCAAGTCGTAAACCTTATTTTCTATAACAACCCAGAGGTCACTTGGTTTGTTGTGCAGCTTCACAGTTTCCAGTGTAATCTCCACCATTTTTGTAAATTTTGCTAACTCGTCTTAATAACGCAAATAAAAATTCTTTATGCTCTTTTTTCTCTTTCGATTTATGAAGTATTCTCCACTCACTCGCAATCGCACCGATTACAACAAAAAACTGTTGTAGAGAATTGAGATGTCAAAAATATGTTCACAATTATTTTGTACAACTTAGTCTTGATTTAGATTAGGCGAGTTTACTTGCGGCAATTCTTGTCGTTGCATTTTGAACTTGCTTCATGCGTCTATACAAGGCAATTCGGTTTCCAAAATATTTTTCTATTTATTGCTTTTTCACATTTAAATATATATAAAATGTCAACAAATACGAAATACACAAAACGAATTGCCAGAAAATTGTTGGTACGAGCATTTTTTTCATTTTTATTTCCCTTGCCCCTCTCTTCAACAAACAAAGACTTGCCGCAAGTAAACTCGCCTAATCTAAATCAGGACTTACATCAGATTGTATTGGAAAATTCGGGCTTTTTTCAATTACAATAACATTTTTGACAGTTAATTATGTTAACTACTTTTGCAATAAGGGCATAAGCAGTATTTGTTATCGCAAATACAACAACCACAAAGAAACGATAACACTAACGCTTGAAGTTGATGTGCGATGCGCTTCCGGGTTAAATATATTTTAACCTTTTGCGTGTATTAAAGCAATAACAAAAAACGCTCAACGCGACCATTCTGCTTAGCCCTTTAACTATATTTTGACTTTTAGTGCGCGTTAATGGTGACATTCGCGTAACTCGTTTTTTTTTAAGTTATATGGTCTGTTCCCGTACTGCAAGAATCTACTACTTTTTACTACGATAACGAATTTTTCTTTATGATATCGGAGAAAATAGTAAAATTTAGTAGATTCTTGCAGTACGGTAACAGACCAAAAATATATTAAACTCCGAAGTGCAACGCACAACAACCTCCTGCGTTGATGTTATCGTTCTCTTGTGGTTGTTGTATATTCGATAACAAGTAACGCAACGGATAGCTCAGCAGATCTCTTAACGCGATCATTGTGCGGAACCCTTAAAGGGCTAAGCAGAATGTTCGCGTTGAGCCATGATCTAATTATAAGGTCGCCCGATAAGGCCAGATGATTTCACCCGAACTGTCAAAATGCTTTCGATTGTGTGAAAACGTAAACAAAATATTTGACAGTATGAGGGATTTTACTCCAAAATTGTCGATAACGATTGCTTCTGACTCGACCTGTTTATTGGATCATGGCGTTGAGCCATCCGTTGCGTTATGTGTTATCGAAAATACAACAACCACAAGGAAACGATAGCACAAACGCTCTGGGTAAAATATATTTTAACCTTTTGCGTCTGTTATGCGGTGTACACACTAGCATTTTTGAATGGCACTCTTGCCCAAATTTTGCTTGTTTGATAGTGTGGCCTCACATGTTTGTCATTCATCAGGCAGCCACAAAAATATTTATGGTTGTTGGACAGTCAGTAATCGATAAAAAAGCTGACAGTCAAAAATGATAGTGTGTACACCGCTTTAACGCAATAACAAAAAACGCTCAACGCGACCATTCTGCTTAGACCTTTAACTATATTTTGACTTTTTGTGCGCGTTAACGGTGACAATCGCGTAACTCGTTTTTTCTTTAAGTTAAAATATATTTAACTCTGAAGTGCAACGCACAACAACCTCATTGATGTTATCGTTCTTTTGTGGGAGAAACACATTTATAAAGGAATATCAAAGTGAAACTTGAATTTGAACGCCGTTCTCCTTTATTCCTTTACAATAAAAAAGCCAACTTAACATGTCAATCCTGAAGTCCTCTTATGTGCTTCCCCCTATAACTTTCCTTTGTAAAACGGTAAATGTCCAAACACATTCAGCGCGTTGCGTGTTTTTTTTTTTTGTATCAAGTCAACGCGCACACAAATTTGAAATACATTTAAATCCCAAGCGCAAGGTCTGTTTACTTTTCCCATCATTATTGCAAAAGAGAATAAAAACGGCTTACTCTCTGAAATATAACATACTGAGTAAATAACGTATTCATGAATCCTAAAGAAAAATATCTCATTTGTTCCGATACATATTCGCTTCGAGAACTCCATTTTAATTGGAATGTGTACATCATTCTACATTCCGCGTATGTATTAGACATCTCTTTTAAACAATCAGGGAAATAAAATAATGCATCCCACTTTTTAAATAAACAAAGATGATTTTTTTATAATTTTTTATTTCATCCAAAAAGTAGACCATATTATTTATTGGAATAAGGCTTAAAAATTGTTCGAAAACACTCGTACTGAAAATAAGAGAATAATTTTGTTTCGCCCTTTAATTTGATTACATGGTATAATTTTAATTTTGCATTTATTCCACTACATATAATTTAGAGACAGCCTCCGCGAAGACGAAGTACTAAATGGAGTGTTGATTCCTTCTGGATATTGTAGTCGGACAATGTGCGACCATCTTCCAACTGCTTGCCGGCAAAGATCAAACGCTGTTGATCTGGAGGAATACCTTCCTTGTCTTGAATCTTGGCTTTCACATTTTCAATTGTATCGGATGGTTCAACTTCCAAAGTGATGGTTTTACCAGTCAAGGTCTTGACGAAGATCTGCATACCACCACGGAGACGCAACACCAAATGCAACGTTGATTCCTTCTGGATATTGTAGTCGGACAATGTGCGACCATCTTCCAACTGCTTGCCGGCAAAGATCAAACGCTGTTGATCTGGAGGAATACCTTCCTTGTCTTGAATCTTGGCTTTCACATTTTCAATTGTATCGGATGGTTCAACTTCCAAAGTGATGGTTTTACCAGTCAAGGTCTTGACGAAGATCTGCATACCACCACGGAGACGCAACACCAAATGCAACGTTGATTCCTTCTGGATATTGTAGTCGGACAATGTGCGACCATCTTCCAACTGCTTGCCGGCAAAGATCAAACGCTGTTGATCTGGAGGAATACCTTCCTTGTCTTGAATCTTGGCTTTCACATTTTCAATTGTATCGGATGGCTCAACTTCCAATGTGATGGTTTTACCAGTCAAGGTCTTGACGAAAATCTGCATACCACCACGGAGACGCAACACCAAATGCAACGTAGATTCCTTCTGAATATTGTAGTCGGACAGTGTGCGACCATCTTCCAACTGCTTGCCGGCAAAGATCAAACGCTGTTGATCTGGAGGAATACCTTCCTTGTCTTGAATCTTGGCTTTTACATTTTCAATTGTATCGGATGGCTCAACTTCCAATGTGATGGTTTTACCAGTCAAGGTCTTGACGAAGATCTGCATACCACCACGGAGACGCAACACCAAATGCAACGTTGATTCCTTCTGGATATTGTAGTCGGACAATGTGCGACCATCTTCCAACTGCTTGCCGGCAAAGATCAAACGCTGTTGATCTGGAGGAATACCTTCCTTGTCTTGAATCTTGGCTTTCACATTTTCAATTGTATCGGATGGTTCAACTTCCAAAGTGATGGTTTTACCAGTCAAGGTCTTGACGAAGATCTGCATACCACCACGGAGACGCAACACCAAATGCAACGTTGATTCCTTCTGGATATTGTAGTCGGACAATGTGCGACCATCTTCCAACTGCTTGCCGGCAAAGATCAAACGCTGTTGATCTGGAGGAATACCTTCCTTGTCTTGAATCTTGGCTTTCACATTTTCAATTGTATCGGATGGCTCAACTTCCAATGTGATGGTTTTACCAGTCAAGGTCTTGACGAAAATCTGCATACCACCACGGAGACGCAACACCAAATGCAACGTAGATTCCTTCTGAATATTGTAGTCGGACAGTGTGCGACCATCTTCCAACTGCTTGCCGGCAAAGATCAAACGCTGTTGATCTGGAGGAATACCTTCCTTGTCTTGAATCTTGGCTTTTACATTTTCAATTGTATCGGATGGCTCAACTTCCAATGTGATGGTTTTACCAGTCAAGGTCTTGACGAAGATCTGCATACCACCACGGAGACGCAACACCAAATGCAACGTTGATTCCTTCTGGATATTGTAGTCGGACAATGTGCGACCATCTTCCAACTGCTTGCCGGCAAAGATCAAACGCTGTTGATCTGGAGGAATACCTTCCTTGTCTTGAATCTTGGCTTTCACATTTTCAATTGTATCGGATGGTTCAACTTCCAAAGTGATGGTTTTACCAGTCAAGGTCTTGACGAAGATCTGCATACCACCACGGAGACGCAACACCAAATGCAACGTTGATTACTTCTGGCTATTGTAGTCGGACAATGTGCGACCATCTTCCAACTGCTTGCCGGCAAAGATCAAACGCTGTTGATCTGGAGGAATACCTTCCTTGTCTTGAATCTTGGCTTTCACATTTTCAATTGTATCGGATGGCTCAACTTCCAATGTGATGGTTTTACCAGTCAAGGTCTTGACGAAAATCTGCATACCACCACGGAGACGCAACACCAAATGCAACGTAGATTCCTTCTGAATATTGTAGTCGGACAGTGTGCGACCATCTTCCAACTGCTTGCCGGCAAAGATCAAACGCTGTTGATCTGGAGGAATACCTTCCTTGTCTTGAATCTTGGCTTTTACATTTTCAATTGTATCGGATGGCTCAACTTCCAATGTGATGGTTTTACCAGTCAAGGTCTTGACGAAAATCTGCATACCACCACGGAGACGCAACACCAAATGCAACGTAGATTCCTTCTGAATATTGTAGTCGGACAGTGTGCGACCATCTTCCAACTGCTTGCCGGCAAAGATCAAACGCTGTTGATCTGGAGGAATACCTTCCTTGTCTTGAATCTTGGCTTTCACATTTTCAATTGTATCGGATGGCTCAACTTCCAATGTGATGGTTTTACCAGTCAAGGTCTTGACGAAAATCTGCATACCACCACGTAGACGCAACACCAAATGCAAAGTTGATTCCTTCTGAATATTGTAGTCGGACAGTGTGCGACCATCTTCCAACTGCTTGCCGGCAAAGATCAAACGCTGTTGATCTGGAGGAATACCCTCCTTGTCTTGAATTTTGGCTTTAACATTTTCTATAGTGTCTGAAGGTTCAACCTCCAATGTGATAGTTTTTCCAGTTAATGTTTTTACGAAAATTTGCATACCACCACGCAAGCGTAGTACCAAATGTAGGGTGGACTCTTTTTGAATGTTATAATCAGACAATGTACGGCCGTCTTCCAACTGTTTGCCAGCAAAGATTAAACGTTGTTGATCAGGAGGAATACCTTCCTTGTCTTGAATCTTAGCTTTAACGTTTTCAATGGTGTCTGATGGCTCAACTTCTAAGGTAATGGTCTTTCCAGTCAATGTTTTGACAAAAATCTGCATGCCTCCTCTAAGACGAAGTACCAAATGAAGAGTAGATTCCTTTTGGATATTATAATCTGATAATGTGCGCCCATCTTCAAGCTGCTTGCCAGCAAATATCAATCTTTGCTGGTCTGGAGGAATGCCCTCTTTATCTTGAATTTTTGCTTTTACATTTTCAATTGTGTCAGAAGGTTCGACCTCCAATGTTATAGTCTTGCCAGTTAAAGTCTTCACAAAGATTTGCATTTTGTTTCTAAAAAATAAATAAATAAAACAATAAATATAGGTAAATTTGACATATAATTCATTTAGTTTTTATTGGCCGTAAATATTCAGTAGATTTTTATAGAAAACATTTACGTAATGTGTTCTCGGATTTAATAAATTAATTTATTTAGCAGTTTTGTTGGTATTAGAGGATATAAGATAAAATAAAAATCTTTCAATTATACCTAAGTGATTCAAGGAAAATAGGCTAAAACACAACCAATTACCCAACTTCGCTGAGAGAATACTTTATCTTCATGGGTGCTTGCTCACTCAACCCTGTTTTGTTATTCAAGCTGAGTCACTCGCATACAAATACAGTATACAATTTTATTCCAAACCTTCCAATCAACAAAAAAAAATGTTCATGGGGAATTTATTCCAATGAATGGAAATTCAATCGTATATTACATTTGGAACAATAAAATCAATTTCACCACAAGACCAATGCATTTAGCTAAGCGATAGTTTGATTAACGAGTTTCTGATGTAATTTTCTCCTTCGATGTACAACCGACGAATAAAAACAATTGAAAAATGCACTTCCACCAATTTAAATTACATTGACGCCATATTAGCGAATGTGTGTCTGTGCATGCCAACTACATATAGAATTTTTATGCATTGACGATGTCTTTTTAAACACAACGTTAAAGTTAAAAGTGCTGTGGTTCATTAATTTGCCTTCCCTTGGCATTATATTTTGTCTTTTATAATTTTAACTAACACTGGGAATTGCAACGTAACCTCGATGACGAAGAATCATTCTATTGCGTATGCAGCTAAATACAACGCTTTTCTTGCCTAACTCTTGCAATGCATTGTTCTATTTTTTTTTTTTTTTTCATTTAATTTTTTACTGCGTAGTATGAACTTACCTTTACTTTGATAGAACTGCTCGGTCAACACACAATTATCACTATATTTTATAGAATTTAATTTATCTGGGACTCTTTTTCAAGTACGCTGCTCTCAATGTCTTCTGTATAACTAAATGCCACCAGGAGAGAATAGCTCCTTTTATACCCTTGCTTGGAAAACTGGAATGCCTTTGTTTGACTTTGCCTTCCGTTGGTGCATTGGAAGTATTATTCATATAACATTTCCTCTCTCGCTCTTTTTCTTTGTCTTTTTGAATTATGTATCAAAAAAAAAAACATGGAATAGGATAGAACATCCCCTAATTGATAGAAAACTATGTGATCGAAACGTAATAATAAACTTCGCTGCATATTACTTTATGGTAATTTTCAAAATGTAGATAATGTGTAGAAATTATTCAAACATTGTCTTGTTTAGCAATCTCATTTCTCACGACGTTCAGGTCTAGTGTTGGAAAATGTCCATTAATTTTTGTCAGTATTGAAAACCCTTCATGTTTTCTAAAAAACGTATATTTTTTGATGTTATCGAAAATAATTGTAAAAATTAGTAGATTCTACGGAATTAGGCACATTGTATTATTATGTTCGTGAAAAACGTTTACCAACTCTTCAGCTCTCTACAATATGTGAAGCTTTAAAAGCCTAGTAGGCTATAATTCAGTTCGTTTTCCTTTGTTTTTTAATGACAATATTAATGAAGTTTGTTGATATTGAACACATCGTGTGTAAACATGGCCTATAAATAAGGTCACCCAGGGAGACCAGCGCGATATCTGCGCCACTCAAGTTTGCTGTCAATATGCATTATTGTGAATTGACTTCCATTATGAAAACGTAAACGAAGTCGAAATTTCTGTCATTAGACTTGAGAGAAAACAGCTGTTTTCCAATTTCGATTGCTACCTGGGTGACCTTATTAATAGATCTTTGTGTGTAAATATAGCCGTGGATATGATGGTTTGGGTTATCGAGGTAGCAAATGTACATAATTATGTGCCCTAGCTCGTAGAACACGAACATACATGCGTTTTCATACGATTCATTAATGTCGTCTGTGCTGTCAAATGTTATATGCTCAGCAAAACGGCATTGATAGCTCGAGTAATAAACCCTTCAGCTGTTTTCCTATTGCATTTCATAGTACGTTTACATTTAACCGGATTTCGTTAATCCAGTGAGTTTCAATTGCCAATTCCTTTGCATATACGTCAAATAAATCCTCATAAAGTAGGTTAACAGTACGTTTACATTTAACCGGATTTCGTTAACCCAGTGGGTTTCAATTGTCATTTCCTTTGCATATATGCCAAATAAATCCTCATAAAGTAGGTTAACCCGGTAAAAAGTTCTAATGTACAAGGAGTTTAACCCGGTAAAAAGTTCTAATGTACAAGGAGTTTAAGTTGGTGTTGCCGACATGTAAATACCCTCTTACCCGCAATACAAAGGCTGGAGAGTGTACGCCGTAAAAACAACCCCAAACTGTAACATGAATACAAGCTGATGTGGTCAACACTGACAATAAAATAAGTATTTACCAGCACTGGGAGTGAGGCAAACAGTTCTCTCGCTCTCTGTCTCTGTTGGAAAGTTGTTTTCTCTACTGGAAATAATTATATTTTTATTTACAAAATGAAAATTAAAATTGAATTATCTATCGAACATTCGCGAGTTCAGCAGAATGATGACAACGAACTCTTAATTTCATGATAATGTGTTATTATTAACAAATAACAATAAACAACACATACATATGTATATAAAATATTTAAAACAAAAAACTTTGAGTCTCCCACGGATTATGTGTTGTACCTATTGCACATAATCCGTGTATATATGTACGTATGCATGTATATACACAGGTATATATTTATTAATTTCGATTAAAAATCTTAGTGCGTATTAAATTAACTAGTCGCTATGTACATGCATACATATGTCTATAATTTTCTTAGAATAATTAGTACTTCTTTCTAGTTTAATGCTGTCGTTCGATATTATTATGATAATTTGACTGTTTTTAAACATTATTGACTGTCACTTGACGCCATATTTATTACAACAATTACTTAGCATTTATCCTTTAAGTCATTTACTCCCTAAACACTAAATAGTTATTCCAAGATGGATTGGAAATATGTACATGTATGAATATGTTTTACATATGGTCTATTACCGTACTGCAATTTTAAAGGATGTACGAATTTTTACGATTATGAGCGTCCCTCAATTAATATACACATAGTACTGAGCCATTTTATTTTACTTACTAGTTTTAATTTGAACCTAAACATTTGCAACGATAAAAACAGAGCACAGATACTCGCATGTGTGTTTTGACGAGAGTTCGAAAAGTCTTGGTTTATATAAAACAAAATAATTTACAACACATTCAACTCTTTAAAGTACTTTATTAGCATATTGAATTCAGAAAATACTGATTGTAGTTAATCAAATTTATAAATTCGCCAATTTCTGCTTGATAGCCATGTCGAACTATTTTATTGCCCAAATATATGGTGTATTTAATTAACTTGTTGAAGTCAATTTCATCGTTCACTAATTTCTCGTATCGGGAATGTGTGAAGGATTCTTCGCCAGGTTTCAGTTTGAACTCCCTAGATTTCAGGTTGCTGCGAACGAATGATACAAACATGTACATATACCTTTGAAAACATAAATCAAAGACGATACTAACTTGTAAAAACGTATAGAGATTTTAAAGACATTGTCTATTGCATTGTAGAACTCCGCACTCCTTTTGTTCAGCATGCACAAGAACAGTATGCGCTTTATGTATATGGTATGCTTCCGGTATATGTCTTCGATTGTCTTTGCCGCAACAAGTTCGTCCTTGAAGGTTTTCCAGGAGGCTTGCAAGGCATTGGATGTTATATGATTTTGCAAATGTACAACAAAGTGATAAAATTTATGTCGTATCAGCTGAACATGTCTGTACTGGGGTGATCTTAATATGCTTTTTCCATGTTGTTTGACGTTTTCTTTAAGAATTTGATAGCTCCTCTCCAAAATCCAACTTATTCGTCGGACGCGCACAAGGTATTTAAAAATGTTGGCATACTGTTCCAGTGTTTCTGGGTTCAAAATGAGGTTTAGTGGCCAGTTTATGCGATAACTAAGGCTGAGATTGTTTAAAACATCCGGTGATGAGAGTTCGAATTTCTCGGGAACGTCACTAACAATAAAAGACAAATTCTCCGCATTTGTATCCTTCCCTACAAAAAAGAATAGAATATTAATTTTATATCTGAACTTCCTTAAATGGACCGACACAACCTACCGGTTATACTTGCGCCCAGAGCTGTGTCCAAAATCGAATGTAATATCTGATAATTCAACAATTTTTCCGGCTTCGCTCCTGTCTCCAACTTGCCTATAATTCCATCGCATATTATAGAACCGAATTCTCCATCCATCATGAAAAAGTAGTTGCGCAAGCTGCGAAAGTGGTCCAGCACCTTCAATTCGTGCAGAAACATGCGCATAACTTCATTATTTATCAATTCCAAATGAGTACTCATTGGAATTATGACCGACTTCTGTAGAAACTCGGTTAAAAATTCGGTTAGGGCAGAGTCTTTTCTCAACTGCGTAGAGTTATGCGTAAATGTATTCAGGCGCATGAAGAGACTCGATGTACCGCATTTAAAGTTTGTTGCAATCAATTCTTCGCATCGTTTGTACGGATCCTTATAATTGGGTTCGACGGATGGACCTCCATCCCCGTTTTCTAGCTTAATACCATTGCTAGCAAAATGGCTCCCTTCTGATTTATTTTGTTGACGATGGAGTGGCTTAAAATCATCAGGAAACATAAACCCTTGCTTGGCCATAACACCAGCCGTATTCAAGGCACATTCAGGCGTCGACTCGTAACATGTATTCGCAGTGTATTGTGATGCTTGAGGAGGTTCTGTGTTTACTACTGTTAAATCGGTCTTACGATCATTTGTGTTTGTTCCTGTCATAGTCTCAGAGCAGAAATTTCCATTGCATTTATCAGCCTCTCCGTCACTTAAACCATATGCTGGTAAATTATATTCATCCGATGCAGTTGACATGGGTGTTAGAGGTGAGTCCGTGGAAATATTCACAACTGAGCTGGATCTTTTAATTTGTAAATTACCGGTGATGATATTGTATTCACTTTCCAAAACCTTCTTTCTATTTTTAGCCAGATCGCTATTTAAATCAAGATACATTAGTGAACGGTTATCCAATGTACTTTTATTCAACTCGCTGAACAAGTCATTGTGCATCATGCGTCGACGATTACGCTGCAACTCGGATAAGGTATCTTTCTCTACATTCAGATTTATGTCTGGTAGCAATAAGTTCTTAGGATCACTACTTTGAAATCCGAACTCTTCTGTCAAGACTCGTAGCTTATTGGTCTCAGCATCACTTAGCGGTCTCGCATTTCCCACTGCATTAATGAAATCCCAAAGAAATATGCAAACTATATAAATTACTTTGTGAAAAATACTTACAGACGCCCGCAACAGAAGTACTTTCAAAATTTACACAGCATTCAACATGTGTACCCGACATTGCTTTCAGACGATTTTGCTGCAATATATTAGCCGGTTGATCAGGTAATTCGTTGGCGTTTATTAAATCGGACGCGCTGCGTTCTATGTCGACATCAGTGGCATTAGATTTGCCCTCATTAAGTACTGGTATCATTGTGTCGCGTCCATTTGTTTCGTTTTCATTCGCTTTCCTTGCGATTTGCAGTTCATCCTCATTACCCTTGAACTTATCTACGAAGTCGTCTGATATGCATTCCTCATATTCCGACGTTTGCTCATCATCGCCGAAACAAGATTCAAATTCGGTTCCAGCTGTACTTACCGGAGTTCGAGGAGAAGGCTGGAACATACATCCGGTTGGGATCACTAAAGATAATTTGGAGTTAGTTTCTTTGCCCGGGACCTTCTCGACCAACATATTGTGCAATTCATGATAGTACTCAATACGTTTGCGAAGATTAATGTTATCTGTTTCTAGGCGACGCTGCTCAACCTTCTCTGCTTCGCGCATACACTTGAGCTCATTCTCCACATTCGCCTTGCGTTCAAGAATTTTGCGTCTCCGGGCATCTTGCAGTTGAGTTGATAGCTCTTCGAGAAGTTTCTTCTTCCGTTCAGCTGCAGCCTGGGCCATATCGTTTTGTTCGTCGTTCCATCGCTCTATATTCGCGCGGGATCTCTCTAGCATGCGTTGAAAAAATTGTCGTTTTGCCTCCTTTCTTGTCTCGAAGACTTCGCTTATTGATATTGGACTCGAACAAAGTTTACAAGCATTGTCGAAATAGGATTTGCAAGTCTCTTCCAAGCTCTCTATCTCCTTAATTGAAAGGCACACCGATATGGGCGGATATTCCAATTCAAACAGGGGGTGCTACTCAAGACAAGGTTTGTGTGGAATGCGAGTAAGAAATCAGAAATTGTATACTGGCGATTATTATACTTACGTTTGGGGCATACGCCTTTAGTAGCATAGTGTATTTGCCACATTGCAGTATTTGATCCTCAAAATTTTGAAAGAAATCAGGTACAACTTCTCTACGGACAGAATAAGCTTTGTCATAGAAATATTTCGTGTTTTCTCTATAGTGGTCCACAAATGTTACAAAAAGCTCATTACAGGGATCATCAAGCAGACCATAGTAGATCCATTTTTGCAGGTGTCTAAAATTGCGTTTAAACATTTAAATTGGTATCGTTTATCTCTTCATGTTTATACTTGCTTGAAGTAAACGTGACAACACTTCTTCAATAAATAAATAAGGACAGCGATTAAGTCATTCTCTGTCAAACGCATTATTTCTCTGTACAAATAACCAAGGAACTGAGATCCCATTGGAGGTTTTACATTGGGATCGACTATGACAAAATATATATATATAATTAACAACTCTCAGTATGAATAGACTTTTTATGTATGTGCACATACCTTTCGGATGAATCGCCAATGTGTAAGAAAGACAAATTATTTGTTTCATAATTTTTTTGATACGCTGGTGGAAGCCTACTAAATGCTTATCGTCGTACCCAAAAACGAATTGACGAAAAGTCATTAAATATTCGTCGATAGCACCGCACAAGGCCTATGATGAATATAATTAGTGCAATTGATGCAGGGAAATTTTCATACCTGTCTGCATTACCTTGAACATGAATCCTTCGAACATAAGTTTGTAGTCTCTCTTCATAATCATGGTCTGTAGTCTTTTATAACACGTTCCACATTCCATGAATTCTACCACTAAATTTTTAATTGTTGCCGGCAGTACACCTTCGATAGTAATGTAGGGTTCCATATAGAACACGATTAGCTCGTCGTGATGAAATGTATCCGATTGTAAGCCGACTGCAAGACAAAAAGTCTTACGCTAGTTGAACGCCTACAACAAATTAATATGCAACAAGTACCTGTTAACAATTTCAAATCGGCGATAAAACATTTCTCATCTAGAACTTTTGCAGGGGCTGGTTTATTATTGGCCTTTGTTATATAACTCTGCAATAACAGTGTAACACTGGTATCACCAACAAAAGGTCTCAAACATGATATGCCGAAACATCCTAGTCCTTCCCAATTCCAAGAGAAAATATGGTACTCTTTTTCATTGTCGGAAGCTTCATAACCTATATCGTGGAGCATTGACTCTGGTCTCTTTTTTGACTTAAAACGTTTTTTGTGTTGAAAAATTGTTTCCGGGAATAATCGCAAAGAAGATGTATTAATGCGCAATGCAGATCCCAACAAGCGTTTTGTCATACCCGTGAAAGTAACTTCAGACACATCACCATCACAAATCATTGTATGTGAGTTAGTAAATTTGTCATTCATGGCCATTAGTTTGTCTCTTTCACCTTCGAACACGAACTGCGGCAAGTACGGATTGTCCGGGGATTTCAGTTCTCGAATACCCTTGAAGAATCTTGGTTTTGGATTCATAATATCGTAATCGCTAAACCCGGGATAATGTTTATTATTGATGGAACTAGCATGTAGGGTAAAACTGCCAGGTATCAGTAAAGGCTGAGGAGTGGTATTGGTCTGAAAACGAACATGTTAAGTGTAAAACGTACTTTGGATTTATGATCAAATCGCTTACTATTTCGGGTTCGTCATGTACATCCGTTTTAAGAGCCAAAAGCAACTGCACTACATATTTACCTGGTCCCACGTTGAAATAGGGCTCTCCTCTAATGTCTTCCAATTGCTTCTCAAACTCCGATGACTTTACATTATTTGGACGAGAGCTGATTTTGGTTGAAAACATCTGCATCTCGAGCGCCCGTTGGGACTCAAACTCCTCCTCCCGTTCATTGCTCGACAAGAGGATATTGAATGCCAATGCCTTCAGCTTTTTAACGCAATGTTGATCTACGTCGATAGCTACTTCCTCTTGATGCAGTATGGATGAACATAGTTTTTTTAATAAATAATTAACACTGTCTCTATTTGCTTCTAAGTCGTGCATTTTCACATATCCTTTGAGGACCCTTTGAGTTTCATCATTCCAATGAAATTAATGTACCCCGAGATGATATCCCAACTTTGATATGCTTCTGAAATGATTTTAATTTGTTATCTAGCGTACTCGCAAAACGTACGGTTTACAAAATGTATGTTTATTTATTACTCGTAAGTAGATGTAGGCCTAAAACTATAACATTTAGTTAATTGAATTTTACATTTTCGTACTTTTTGTTCACACCGACGACAATATTTTTCTACCCTACTTTCAATTTACTGGAGTCCAACGACACTTGTATTGGGACAAGTAAAGTATCGATAAATAACAAAAGAAAATTGCAAACTAAATTATTAGTTTTGGCGAAAAACTTACTTTAGATTAGGGATAATTAAATCGACTTTCGACTAATCGACTTTTTGTGTTGAAAAATTTAAAAGTCGAAGTGGACTTTTGATCTTTGAGGAAATTCGATTTTCTTCATAAATACTTGATTTTATTAGCAAAAAGCCAAAATTACACATTTATCAAATTTGGTAGCCCTTAGCGTGGTTTTATATTTGCCGGGATCGGGATCGGTGTTGAGAGTCTCTCTCTCTCTCAGTGGTAAATTGTGAATTGTGTTGGAAAACATTGCCACAGGTAGGAACAAAAAAGTACGAAAAGGTACCTAAAATTATACTTCAAATGATAATAAATCATAATTATCGAGAAATATTGGCCAATATTTATACCAGTTGTTTGCATAAATAATATATGTTATAATTTAAGCGTAAAGGTATTCACGAATAATAAAAAAATATAATTTTTGTTTTGGTACGTTTATGTCAATTCGTACCTTTTGTGAACAAAAAGTACGCTTGTTACAAAATTAAAAATAGCGCAACTCTAATTACTCTCTCAAGAGAGAGAAACTCTCAACACCGATCCCGATCCCGACAAATATAAAACCACACTTAGCGACTACTTTATTTTTGTCGTTAAGTTACCGAATATTTTCATTAAGCAAATACAAATTTGCTGTTATCGGTTATCGCCGGTAATTCTGTTGTAAAACAGTTACAAAATCGCACCACAGGTTTGACAAAATCGAAAGATTGAAAATTCGACTTTAAGTGCTAGTGTGTAGCACTTGTTTGATAGTGTGGCCTCTCATGTTTGTCATTTATCAAGCAACGACAAAACTATTAATGTTTGTTGGATTTTGGGCAGTGGTAAAAATCAAAAAATCTTAAAGTGTACTTTTGCGATCGACTAAGTAGTCCTAAGACAAGTTCGATGTCGAGAATAACGTTAAGTTCGAACACAGTACTTTGATTGTATTTGTACTCTCACAAAACACCCACGGGCGCCTGTTGAAGACTGCTTTAGACTATAGTAATCCCCTAATTATATACAAATTTTCACTATAACGTTAAGTTCGAACACAGTACTTTGATTGTATTTGTACTCTCACAAAGCACCCACGGGCGCCTGTTGAAGACTGCTTTAGACTATAGTAATCCCCTAATTATATACAAATTTTCACTATAACCTGCTCATTATACATTGTCCATAGAGGGTCAGATGAGTGCTCCCCCCCCCTCTCCCCTAAATGTGCTGAGTAGAACTATTTACAATGTTATAATCAATACACGAAATCGTTTTTGAATGTAATATTTATTAAATAGGTAGTATAATATTTAAAATCAATGGTCATGTTACGAAGTGTAAATACACATGTACATTCAAACAATTCATATAACTATATGTATGGCCCATGTCTTTCTTTTATAATCCAAATACGATCTATAACTTCTCCGTTTTTGTCATCCGAAACTTGTTCGAAATATATGTGCGTTTCATTAAATATTTTCATTCGGGTATAGCCAAAGTCCTGAAAGGAAATGTTTTTTTTATTTTCAGAAAGGGCCAATTTAGTATGAGCATGTAGTCTACCTGGCTGTGAAATGCGCTCCAATTCGGTATTTTTTTGAAGAACGGTTCTCGGCCCTCCTTATTGCCGGCGGCACCCGTTATAATATGAACAGGTGCCTTGGGATTATGGTACGGTGCCAATGAGGAACCATTGTAAATTGTATAGTTGTATAGAGGCCATGTCCGTTCGTAGCAATGTTCATGGGCCCATAATTCGACATCGACGCCATATTTATAGAATAATTCTTCTAAACCAAAGCCACCTAAAATTGGTAGTCCCCGTCGTACTACAGTGTTGTGATGGGAGCAATCGTCCCCGTTGTCATTGCTGCAATACATTGGACGATGACCAAATGTTACTATCCATGGACGTTTCGCTCGATTTTCAGGTAACGACGCAATCCTTAAATCCTCCTCAAGCCACTGGTATTGAAACACCAATGGTTTTAGACCAAGCTGTAGGAAATAGTAAACCTCTGTAGAAAATCCAATAAAATGTATTGGACCCATATCGAAACTGTAAAATAGATTTTCATGCTCGCTTCCAGGCATACCAAAACGTGCCTTGTAGTTTGAAAAATTGCTACGAATTTGCAAACAATATAACAATTAAATGCGTAGCATAAGTAACATGAAAACATACTATGCTTCTTCGTGATTTCCTGGCACGACCATGTATGGAACATACGCTGATATCGATTCTATCTGGCGCATAAACTCGTCGCCTACCGCTCCGTCAGCAGAATGCATGTCATAGGCGAAGTCTCCCACGTGTAAAATGGCATCAATACCACCCATTTGAATTTCTTCTTGTAGTCGTGGCAGCGACTGGGCATTCTCATTGCCCATGTCTCCATAGATTACCAAACTGGGGGACCATTCGTCCTGTTTGGGTGGTGTTTTAAACCAATAGATTGCTGACCAACCCAACGAACTGCCGCAATGGTATATATATCGTGTATTTTCCTTCAGCTTGTGTAGTGTTACCTGTCAAATTTGAATACGTTAAATCGCAGCCGGCATTGAAAATATTTCGTACTTACTCTATGGATATATTGTGTCCTTTTTGCTTTACCGCCATCAGTGAACTTGGTGGGTCCATTCTTGTTTTTTGCAATGTTTGTTAAATTTCCGACGCCATATTTGCAAGTGGAAGTCGTAGTGTTGTCTCGAGTTGACCAGGTAACTACATAGTCGTAAGTACTATCTATAAGAGAATTACGTTATATGTCACAAATATTTATTAAAATGTGCATAAAAGAAGCAGAGGAAGTCAGCGATGGTAATTATGATAAATACGAACTTAGGATATATTTTAGAAAAACAGTTTATTCACATTTATAAAAACAAGAATTTGATTTAATCACAAATTTCAGTAAAAACCATACGATAGCACAATCTACTTGTGTATTCACATATCAGTGTAGGACCCGTGCTTGTCTTTTATAATCCAGAAGGAATCGATGATATCTCCATCCTTGTCGTCAGAAACTTGTTCAAAATACAGATGGGTTGCGTTATAGGCCTTCATGCGCGTATATCCATAATCCTACATGAAATGAAGATATTAGTGAAAAGCAACGTTTTTTTTTTGACTGACTCGTGACATACATTACTGTGGAAGGCATTCCACTCGGGCAGTTCCTTTGAAAAGGGTTCCCGGTTTTCATTGCAGCCTGCAGAGCCAGTGATTATTTGAATAGGGGCTTTGGCATTGGTGTACGGATTTTGAGCCGAACCGTTGTAAACCTTAAAATCATAAATTGGCCACAACCTGGTGTAGAAATGTTCGTGAGCAAAGAATTCCACATCAACGCCATATTTGTAGAACATGTCTTCTAGGCCGAACATTTTCACAATGGGCAAGCCTTGACGAATGTACGTCTCCAGATTTTCATTGCAGTCATACTCCTTGTCATCGCTGCAATACATGGGTCTATGGCCGTAGGTAATTACCCATGGACGCTTGGCTCTATTTTCCGGTTTATTCGCTTCCTTTAAGTCATTCTCCAACCATTCGTATTGTTTCGTTAGCAACTTGTAGCCGTAGTTGAGGAAATAGTATACCTCAGTGGAGAAGGAAACAAAGTGAACCGGTCCCAAATTGAAACTGTACCATAAGCTGTCATGGCCTCCAGGCATACTGAATCTCGTTTTGTAATTAGAGAAGTTGCTGAAATTAAAATGATACAATGTCGGTGACAATGTGACAATGTTGCTACGGTATATATTACTATTTCTCTTCGTGGTTGCCCGGGCAAACCATGTACGGTACGTAGGCGGCTATGGTCTCGATTTGGCGCATAAACGCATCCCCCACCTCTGCATTGTCTGTGTCCATATCGTAAGCAAAGTCCCCGACATGAATGATGGCATCGTACATTCCTCTTTGTGTGTCCTGTTGTAATCGAGACAGAGATTGTGCGTTTTCGTTTCCCATATCTCCGTATATGGCCAGGGATGGTGACCAACTCTCGCCCGACGGCGGAACAACGAAGGAATATGTGGCCGACCAACCTTCATCGCTGCCACAATTGTATACATAGCGTGTTTTCGGTTTAAGCCCGCTGATAGCAACTTTGTGAATGTACTGACTGGAGCTCTTCGGCCCACCGTCCACAAAAAGTACCGAAGATCCCTCTGCCTTTTTAATTGTTTTTGAGTTCCTGAAGTTGTCGCCGTAAAACACAATCGACTTGCTTGTGGCATTCCGTGTGGACCATGTTACGACTATATCATTCAATGTCTCTGAAATTTACAATTATATACACATACATGCATTTTAAAACTTTTCAATGCGCCAATGTCTTTTATTAAAACCCGTTACACATATTCAAATATAAATAATTGCCGAACTCTCTTATCAACAATGACCCGAATGCAGAACTACTACTAATAACAAAGAACTTCGCTAAAAAATAAGCGATAAGTTAAAAAATCCCGCGACTGGTTTCGAACAATAGAAAATAAAATGGTGTTTCCCTTGAATGGCGACACACTAAATTCATTACGTACCTCCGAAGGACAGATGAATCTGCTCCGGTTGAAAAAACACAGCAGTGGCGTCAACATCCTGTTGTGTCGTGATGTGAAATACATTAAACACAAGGAGGACACAGAAAAACGGCAATATTATCATTCTAACAAACGAAATGGTTCTAACAAACTGATTCAACTTCTTTGTTTTATACTGAACCGACCGCAATTGAAAACGTTCCAATAGCAGAGAAATAGCGGTGTTTTACACTTATTGGGATTGGTGTTGAGAGTTTCTCTCTTGAGAGAGTAATTAGAATTGCGCTATTTTTAATTTGTAACAAGCTTACTTTTTGTTCACAAAAGGTACGAATTGACATAAACGTACCAAAACAAAAATTAGATTTTTTATTATTCGTAAATACATTTACGCTTAAATTACAACATATATTATTTATGCAAATAACTGGTATAAATATTGGCTAATATTTCTCGATAATTATGATTTATTATCATTTGAAGTAGAATTTTAGGTACCATACACAATTTACCAATGGGAGAGAAACTCTCAACACCAATCCCAATCCCGATAAGTGTAAAACCCAGCATTGAGAAAAGAGAATGTCTAGAACGACCATTGTTTGCGAAGTCGGTGTGATGCACACGGTCGAGAAATGCAAATGTTTGGAAGGAGAAATGGCAGGAGACTTGATGATGCGTCTAGGCGTTTGTAGCTGTACTTTTAATTATTAGGTATGTTCCAGCATTTTTTTAGTTAATTTTTTGTTGTCAGTTTTTATACTGAATTCTATAAATACATTTATGGGGTAACACTAATGTCAATTTTATTTATATATACAATAAAAATATGGGCCGTCAAAGTTCAACATAATTAAAATTGAATATAAAATAGTTTTCTGAATAATCCATTTTAAACAAGTAATAAAAAATTGTTATTGGCTTGTATTTTTTTAACAATTGTGTTTGAGTTTTTCCGCTTTTAGGGTTTGCGATCCTATGGATGCAAGTCAAGCGGTGCCAGGGTGTACTCCATGAGTTTATTTTTCTTAAACAATTAAGTTTTTTGTAGGGAGAATCCAGCAGCTGATTGACATTTCTCCATGCCTCTTTCTAAACAATGATATTGAGATGTTATGCACCATCCTCATTCGTAAACAATATGGGTTTCGGTCATTTTGCTTCGAGTTCATTTTTATCACATGTTTTCTCCTTTCTCATTCTATTCGTTGCATGTGGAACGTATTTGAATTAGATCGGTTTATTCAGTAATCCACGTGTTGTGTTTGTTGGTGGGGTATCAGAAGTCGCCCAGAAAAAAATTCTGAGTCTGCGTTTTTAACAATTGTATAAAGTTTCCCTTGACCATTGTTATACGGAAAAAACATTTGCATTTTTAATCCTCGAATTAAAATCTTATAAGGCCGTCAAATCATGGGTGGGCAGGGCAAAGTCATTAGAAAGAAACGAAAGTTTCAAGGCCACAAGGAAGATGATCCTGAATTTGATCTGACCAAGAAACATTTAAAGACGTCACATGTGCGATCGATGGAAAAGAGGCTTATTATAATACTGGAAGGCGCACAACTGGAAACTGTGAAGGTAAGTTGCTTCGCTCAGTCTAATGATTTTTCAAAATCAGAGCAGAACCCCACACAAAAAAGTGATTGATTTTAACTATGTTAACTTTTTAGGTGGGCAATACATTTGAATTATTAAACTGCGACGATCATGCCAACATAATGCGTAAAAATAATCGAGATCCTGGCTCCTGCAGACCTGATATAACACATCAATGTCTATTGATGCTTTTTGACTCGCCTTTGAATCGTGCAGGACTGCTTCAGGTTTATATAAGAACAGAAAAAAATGTTCTTATTGAGATAAACCCCCAGACAAGAATACCGAGGACTTTTAAGCGTTTTGCCGGTCTGATGGTGCAACTTCTACACAAATTTTCAGTTCGTGCCAATGACACTTCTACCAAACTAATGAAGGTTATTAAGAATCCAATTACCGATCATTTGCCGGTGGGCTGCAAAAAGTACGCAATGTCTTTTTCGGGGAAACTGGTGTCGAACATAAAGGATCTAGTGCCTAAGAAGAATGAGAACGACGATGAAGAGGAACCAATTGTCCTTGTAGTAGGAGCCTTTGCTCATGGTGTCCTCAAGTGTGATTATACCGAAGGATTATTTTCCATTAGTAATTACCCGCTATCAGGAGCAATAGCATGTTCGAAACTGTGTTCAGCATTTGAAGAAGTTTGGGGTATAGTATAAAAAATATTACTAAGCTTAATGTAGATTTAGTGAAATAAAAGTTCATTTTAACAATGATATATCTTGCGGTTGACTTTTCCCACATCCTTGGCACGTCTCTGGTCCCACCTAACCTCTAACCCTATATATTTTATTCGACTAGATACGCATTTTACTGTAGACTATAAATAACAGTGGTGGACAAATATTTTAAATGAAGGATATTTATATTTTTAAATATAAAAAAAAACATTGCAATGGCTTTATGTTTGATAAGAGAATTACTATAGATTAGAATTAGAAGATTCTGAAGGGAACTGTTGTGTTTTCCGACTATGCCTTCTTCTCTGCAGCCCGTTTCTTTTCCGCTTCCCGTTTAGCTGCTGCTTCGGCTCTTTGCTGTCGTATTAGAGCAAGACGGGCCAAGTCCGCTTTGGCTTGCTGAGTCTTCCCTTCAGCATGAAGTTTTTCGTAACGAAGGCGTGCCTTTTGTTTCTCGATCTGTTCCCTCTCTCGCCGGGATAGCTCCGGCTTTGCTGGAGAATCGCTAATATTTAGGTTGCCAATTTTTTGGGTTGCCTTCTTTACAACACGATTTGGATTCTCGATTTCGATTAAACTGGCAACACCCTTTTTGGCATCGCGGTCTTCTTCTTCAGAATCATCCTCTTCGGACTCGGAAGAGGATGGCATGGTGCCAGGAACCACCTTTTTTACCTTTCCACTACTTCCCGCTTGCTCCTCCTCCTCCTCTCCACTGCTGGAAGTTTCTTCTTCATCTTCTTGCCGTTGCATTTCCTCGGGCGATGTGAAGTGGCGGCTGCGGCCCTTATGGTTAACGTATTTTCCACGTGGCATGTTAAATGTTGTGTTGTTAAATTAATAAATCTTTGATTTTATCCTCGTAAATGCCTCAATTTTTACGAACTGCGTACGAAATGGTTCAATTGAACAATTCACTAAACATTAGGTGAGCCAGTGACCGGTAATCATTTTGCGAATAGTGTCTCGACATCAGTTTTTTTTTTAATTTATCGATACGGAAATTATTCCAAAAATGCAATTTGAAGACTAAGGTCGATTGTAACAACGATTTATTGATGATAACTCAGAAAGTATTAAGGGCTAAACAGAATGTTCGCGTTGAGCGTTTTTTGTTATCGCGTTAACGCACGCAAAAAGTTAAAATATATTTAACTCCGAAGCGCAGCGCACATCAACATCGAGCGTTTTTGTTATCGTTTCCTTGTGGTTGTTGTATTTTCGATAGCACATAACGCAACGGATGGCTCAACGCGAGCATTCTGCTTAGCCCTTTATTCTAAAAATAATTGTCCTGTTCCCGTACTGCAATAATTTACTACTTTTTCTAATTGTCCTGTTCCCGTACTGCAATAATTTACTACTTTTTCTACGATAACAAATTTCCCCTTAATGATATCGACGAAAATAGTAAAATCCAGTAAATTCTTGCAGTACGGGAACAGACCAAATATTTTTGAATGTTTTGCAAATTACTAACGACTCAAAAAACAACATAGTATGAAATATGAGAATTTAAATCTGTTTTAAAATAGTTCAAATACTTTTATTTAAAATTGTCCATTTTTTTTGTTTTTCTTTACTGTTGAAGACTTCGTACAATGACCACTTTACACGTTTTTCTTAAGGGCTAAGCAGAATGCTCGCGTTGAGCCATCCGTCGCGTTACCGGTTATCGAAGCAGAATGCTCGCGTTGAGCCATCCGTCGCGTTACCTGTTATCGGAAATACAACAACCACAAGGAAACGATAACACAAACGCTCGAAGTTGTTGTGCGCTGCGCTTCGGAGTTAAATATATTTTAACTTTTTGCGTGCTTTAACGCGATAACAAAAAACGCTCAACGCGAACATTCTGTTTAGGGTCTAGTCTGTTCCAGAACCTGCAAGACTGTAAAATTTTTTACTGCGATAACAGTTTTTCCTTTATGATATCTGATAGAATAGTAAAAATTAGTATATTCTTGCAGTACGGGAACAGACCAATATTTTAGTATAAAAATGAAAATTGTTTTGATTTTGAAAATGAAAGCAAGGCCAATTCATGACGGACATTTTTAATTTGTCCAATTTTTCGTTGCCGGTTTTCCATCCATCCCATCTATTACCTCTAAATAAATACCTTTAAAATCGATCTCATAGACTGCACAATGACATCAGTTTTGCGTTTTTTAAACCTGGTTACGTGTTTTTTGTCTCTGAGGGTTGGCATCACTGGAAGAAAATACAAAGTTCGAAAATGGTGGAAATATTTTTACAATAAATTAACATTAAACAATGAAAAATCCTTTGCGTCTTTAAATTATATGTCGTCAATATCACGTTGTATACATTAAATCGTGAACTGATATAACATTTTATCCGAAAAGTGTAAGAGAAGATTAATGCGCAATCAAGTGGAAACGTGATGAAATCTAGCCAGTTGTTCAACTCCCGTGTCAATGTCGCACTGCATAGAGAATTTCTGGAAGAATGTTCTAAAATCGAAATGCGATTTTATGACTCAATATATAGCTTAGACAGAAGCTAAAGTGAAAAATGTCTCTTGAAAACAAAGCGTGGATTATTTTTCTGAAATTATTTTCCGCTGATTTCCATTTACATGTTTTTTCCTCATTCGAGCCATTTTGTTATTCATTTAGTACGCTTTTAGTACAAACACGTAGTACTCTTTGCTTCTCCCTTTTCGAAACCATAGTACACACTGCGTTTGTCTCTCTCGCACTAGTGGCGTGTTAGCGGTGCGGGAATGTAACGACCATAGAGGCCATTTTTTTCCTTACCCTATTTTGCTCGTGAGTAATTCAACGACAAATGTATATTTGGTTGAAACCCGCGTTCTTTCGGTCGGGTGCGCGTACGTTGTGCAGAAAATTTATTAAATATAGTGTTTAAAGCCGTCGCAATCCAACAAAAATACTACAAATAAACAATTTAATGTATGTTTCAAGAATATTGAGTGAAATTTGATGAATGCCTTTTGAATTAATGCTTGAAAATTGTGCATGAAAAAAGTGAGACTCCGCTGGGCAACAGCACTGTATACAGAGAAACTACCCGAACAAACAACGAGAAACGGCAGAAACAACAGAAAACACTACGAGCGAACAGTATCGGAAAGCAATTAAAAGATGAAAATGTGGAAAGAAGTATGAACAAAACGTAAGAAGAAGAGAAGTACGAAAAACGAAAATTTTCACTATTCAATCTCGCTCGCGTGTTGTATATGCGAATTGGTGACAAAAAAGTCGACAAAAGAAAAATTTTAATTTTGCTATTGCTATTGCCAGTGTGCGTTTGTCTATTTGTATCCGTGTTTTTATTATAACGAGGGAAACGCTTTAAAGAGGTGCTATGGTTTTATAAACAAGTTTCTCGACTGTTGTTGCCCGCGGGAGTCCGGTTTAGTTGAGAAAAGAAAGAAAAAACGATTTCAAGTGAAAATGTTTGGATTCTTTAGATTCAAATCATTCATACATATTTACAACCAAAACCAAACAAAATAATATAGTAGTGTTTATATACAACAAATCCAGAAGAAAAATAATAGTAACAAAAAAAACAGCAAAACTAAAAACAAATTCTGTACAATAATCGAGAAAAGAAAAGTGAAACTGAGCATTTGTAAATGATTTAAAAACATGTAATTTTAAAGTATTAAGCATCGTCTCTATGAATTTACATTGAAATGGTAATTATATGTATACACTTATTTACCTACTTTTAGTTTGGCCATAATAGTGACCAATACTATTCGGGGTATATTGTCCATATCTGAGGGTTACTTTGGTGATAGCTTTCGATAATTTTTTTTAGCATCTCTAGCATCATTTCTTATACAACTGGCATAAACAATGTTAATGAAAAATTAATAAACATTATTTTGACCTATAAAATACAACTCTGTTTACTGTCAGAACCTGGCGTCCTAGAGAAAATATATGCTTGATTACCTGAGTATTGTGAATGTCAGAGATTAGAGTCGAAAATAAGAATCGGCGGCGTTAAAATACCTTTCTAAATCAGGCGAAAAATATAAATATCTGTACAACTTGCATCTAAACTCAGATTTACAGTTATAACAAAGAACAGAAGAATACGACATTGTTAAAATAGGGAAGAAAAGTCCTTGTCTGTTTAATAAACAATTTCTTAACATTTCATGTAAATCAAGATCTTTACTCAGGCAGCACCCGGCGTTGCAGGTGAAAAGACAGTGGCGGTCGCAACATTTGACGCCGTTCTGGTGTTGTGTGGCTTAGTTGTTCACTGCCGTCACATGTATCGTCTCTTTCTTCTGTACTAAAAAAATATACCGCCATTTTTTCCCTTTAAGAGTAAAAGAGACCTATATGTTTCAATAGGGCTCCAGCTAGACGACCCATTCCCACATAATTTTTTTTATATTTATTGTACATCATCACGTCCGTTGTAGGTCTTTTGCCGCTGTTGGTGAGAGCGTACAAAGAAAATTTAATTTTGTTACACTTTCGAGTCTTTATTTATGTCCGTCCATTTATTATCTGCCTCGAAGTAAAGTTTGGATGTTTAAATGTTCTTTGTGTTTGGATTTAGTGCAAGATTTGGTAATCCAATATCGTCAGTAGGTCTGTAGTGGTAGAATTTATTCTTTCTGATGGTTTTATTCGGGTTTCCGTCATGCGTTTGATTCGCTGCGAAGTCGCTTTGTGCTGCCACTCGCCGCCTGCAGTTTTCAGCTTCAACCGCTACCATTCATTCGTTCATTCAGTAATTCTAATTCTCTGCCCATCACTTACTCGTCGTCAATAACTCCACATACACAAGAAAGACATCGAAATGGACATCGTATCGAATAATTCCTAGTTTTCACCACAATGTCTACTGTACTATATTTGCCAGATATGTTGCTGCTGCTGTTCTGCTATCTGCAGCAGTGTGCGTCGTTTGTGTATTGCTGGGCGATGAGTTGTATGGGTGCGTTAGAAAAGGACAACAGGACGACGGATTCAATGAAAATGATGATTTTTGTGTATTTATGTATCAAAAGATACAAATTTTGAAAGAATATCAAAATAATCAGGTAAACATTTAATTTATCCAAGACTGTCGTCTGCATTGCCAACTTCGAAACAGGTGTTTTATGCGATTTGGCTGCTTGTTGAGTTGTTGATTTTATTATAATTTTACATTGTTGAACAATAGGCATCTATTGGCATGTGCACACCTCTCCAATGATATCTATACTCCAGGCATAATTCCAAAAGGTTCTTTTAAACATTGCTTTGTACGCGAATGTGTGTAAGCAGTGAGTTCGAATTGCAATTGCACAGCAAAAGACAGAATTAGGAACCGAGTATTTAGCAAATGTCACTTAAAAAACCTACACATATTCGTAACGATATGGGTTATAAGCCAAATGTTGTTATTGCTAAATGCAAAGTGTACATCTTAACGGATGCATTTGACCAATATTATTTATTCAATTTCATATTAAATATCTTAAGATTATCTTCAATGTATAACTGGAGGGATTTTAGATGATTTGAGTTTTTGACATACCATATGAATGAGCTCGGGATCGAAAAGTTTCTGAATGCGCCTATATTCATTTATTTATTACTATTTATGACACATTTTTTGCAACATACACATATTTATATGCGAACATTTATTGTATTTTCAGTATATTACCTTTATAACAAAGTCCATAAGACTATAACATATATTCTGACGTCTCCTTAGTGAAAGCTTCTAACTACAAGCTTCTCATCATCCATCATCAACAATAAAGACGTAAAGCAACACAATTGCAAAGCAGGTTTTATCGAAACCCTAGGACTCATAAACATTGGACAAGCAATAGATATCAAACAATGTCCGGGTATCTAAGCTGACTTGAAATTCATTAGCAGTAAATGTATGGTGAGTATGAAAAAATCCATATGAAATGAACTAGTTATTTGCAAAATATTTCCAATTCCCTTGAATGTGCTACTAATATATTTGATTGTTCTTAATTCGTATTAGTCATTTTGCCGTAAAATGCAGCCTCCCAAATCAGAGTCGGACAAAGCACAACAACAGCATTATATGGCCAAATATCATCCGATATCAGATATGTTCAGCATGATATACAAATTGCTCTATCAGAACAACTCTAGACCGCTTCAAAGGATTTGAAACACAAGTTTTTTTTATCGCCAAGACAAAAGAAATACAAACTACAGTTGTAATAAATAATAATTAAATTTATAAGGGTGACTAGAGACTAGAAGGAAGGATTTGAAACGAATCCGAAAGGAGGGTTGTAGCCCTGATAACAATCCAGAAACAACACTAGAAAAGTGTTCATTTGGGATCTAAAAATACACATTATACTAGAGATAAAGCACAAACATACACTTTGTATATAAATTACAAACTGACTAAAAACCCCATCACACATTCACTTAAAATAGAACTCTTTCGTGACAAAGGAAGGGGAGAAAAGAGACATCAACATGTCGCAAGAGCCACCGCCCCGTATTGAACCCTATGTGGAACCGGTCAACGGTGTTGTGCAGCCTCCGACTGTGCCGCCGCCTGATCGGCCTGGCCGTAATACAAACCAACTGCAGTATCTCATAAAGACGGTAATGAAAGCCTTATGGAAACATCACTTTGCTTGGCCATTTCAGCAGCCTGTCGATGCTAAAAAGTTAAACCTGCCCGATTATCACAAGATCATTAAGCATCCCATGGATTTAGGAACGGTAAAAAAACGACTGGAAAACAACTACTACTGGTCGGCAAAAGAAGCCATTGAGGACTTCAACACAATGTTTTCCAATTGTTACGTGTACAATAAGCCTGGCGAAGACGTTGTCGTTATGGCACAGACTTTGGAGAAAGTGTTCTTGCAAAAGCTCGAAGGTATGGCAAAGGAAGAAATTGAATTGGAGCCTGTGACACCGAAAGGCGGTGGTAAGAAAAAAGCTAGACCAGCGTCAGCCAAGCCAGCGTCGACAAACGCATCGTTGCATGGGACTTCGACAACGCCGACTGGTGTTACGCCCAGAGCTGCTGGGGTAGCTAGTGGACGACCGTTATCAGCGATGGGGGGTACCGTTTCTTCATCTGGCGGAACACCAGGATCTACGACAGGAATACCACCTATATCGACGATTCCTCCACAAACTGTACCGGGAAGTACGAATACAACTACTACAGCATTAGCATCAGGAACTCCTAGCACACTACTGCCGGGAGCGAATATCCTTCCAGCTGGTAGTGTAGCTAGCCATGTCTCACTGGTTGGGTCGGGCGTTACAGCGGGTGCCGTTGCAGGTGCAGTTGGAGTTAATTCCATTGATGGCAATGCCGCCGGAGTTATTGGGGCGAACCCAACGGCCATTGCCAACACAGCGGCAGCGGTACCTGCGTATCATGTAAATAGCACAGCAGCGGGCGTTGAAACTGTTATACCACCTCAACAACCAGCTAAAATGAAGAAAGGAGTGAAGAGAAAGGCTGACACCACCACGCCCACCGCGAATGCATTTGAATCGCCCTATGCACAAATCGACTCCAAGAGTGCAAAAATCGCAACGAGGCGTGAGTCTAATCGGCAGGTAGGCAAAAAGGTAGGCACACGTGTTGGAGCATGATGTATGTACTCACCTATGTACATTGTACATACCCATATTTTAATATAGACATATAGTACACAATCACATACGTACCTATATATCATCTCTTCATAATCCGTTTGGTTAAATTGACCTCCAGATGTAGGCAGCCAAGTTGGTGATAGCGTACCATACTTCGGTTGTTACTTTATCCCTGACTGGGCAGCTCTCGTATGTAAATATGTGTTCTTATGCTCTCATATTTGCCTGTCAATCACATTTCCAATTGATATATTCTTTTTTATTGAACATCATGCTTTCACCACACACGCTGTAACGCCTTATATCCATTAAAAAAAATAGAATTGTGCATGCTTTTTATCACAACAGCATTTATCTATCTCTTTAGTCAATTAAATTTATTGTTTAAAGTAATGTCATATTTGTTTCGTAGGATGCTGGTTACCCCATGTCACCAATGGGTGGTGTTGGGGGGGTTCCTGGTGTAGCTGGTGGGACAGTGGGGGTTCCTGGGTCAGCGAAGTCGAAAGAAAAGCTGTCAGATGCCTTGAAATCCTGTAATGAGATTCTCAAAGAGCTCTTCTCAAAGAAACATTCGGGGTACGCTTGGCCCTTTTATAAGCCAGTCGATGCCGAACTGCTTGGACTTCACGATTATCACGATATTATTAAGAAACCAATGGATTTGGGCACTGTTAAGAGGAAGATGGACAATCGCGAGTACAAAAGTGCACCTGAGTTTGCTGCTGATGTGCGATTAATATTCACCAATTGTTACAAATACAACCCCCCAGATCATGACGTCGTTGCTATGGGCCGTAAACTTCAAGATGTCTTCGAAATGCGCTACGCCAACATACCGGATGAACCGGTGGCAAATGCTCACGCGGCTGCTGTTGCAGCAGCGGCCCATCACGGCTATGGTAAGCATGACGCATCAGAATCATCTTCCGACGAGTCATCAGACAGCGAAAATGAGTCGAACTCAGATGAGGAGCGTAATGCCAAGTTGAAGATGCTGGAAACAAGACTTCTTGACTTGCAAGAGGAAATGAGGAAATTGATGGAGGAAGCCTCTAACAAAAAGAAGGCCAAGAAGAAAATGAAAGAAAAGAAAAAGGCTGCTGCCAGTGGAGCTATTGGTGCCGGTGGCATGGTGCCGGCGACGGGTGCTGGTGCATTAGCAACTGGCGGCGCCGGCGCCGCCTCTGGTGTAACTGGTGCCATACACGGCCACGACATGTCCACCGCGATGGCTATGGGTCAAATGGCTACAGGCGGTAAGGGATCCGCTATGACACCGGGGATGGCGGGGTCAGTTGCAGCATCCACAGGAAAAGGTGCTAAGAGTAAAGGGCAACGTGGTCCTAAGGCGGCAAATGCAGGAGCCGGAAGTTCCAGCGTTGCGGCCGGAGGTGCTTCCAAACGTACCAAAGGAAGTGCAGCGGCTGCGGCAGGTGGTGGTGCTGGCTCTGGAACTGGAGCGAGAGGTCCAAATAAAAAGAAACCAACTACTCAGGCAATGGTATTCGATTCGGAGGAAGAAGATACCGCCAAACCTATGTCATACGACGAGAAAAGGCAACTGTCCTTGGATATTAATAAACTGCCGGGTAAGTGCAACTTTTGTAGAATTTTTCAGATGTTTACCATTCTGACTGCAAATGTGTTCCTTTCCACTTCACAGGTGATAAACTAGGACGTGTTGTGCACATAATCCAGAACCGAGAACCATCGCTGCGCGACTCAAATCCAGATGAAATAGAAATCGATTTTGAGACGTTGAAGCCCTCTACATTGCGAGAGCTGGAGAGCTATGTCGCGTCTTGTCTACGCAAAAAAACCCGTAAGCCTTACTGTAAGTTTATCCCAATGACACGCACTACTCAAATTTATCAACTGCGACAAGAACGTCATAAACACCTTCTAAGGGGTTGAAACCAATTAAGAGAAATATTGTTCTTTTGGAAATACAAACAAACAATCCATGCATATACCTCGAAATACTTGTATTCTCAACATACCCTTCCAATGAAATAGTAATGAATACGAGCATATCAATTTTATGTTTTAATCCGCATTTGTTATGGAGAGCTTATTTCTTTTTATCGTTTTGAATGACACACCTGAATTGTCGTCTTATCTCTTTAGTTCCGTTTTCGTCTTTATATTTATCCGTTCCGATGAAATATAGAATATCACCTAGAATTTGTGTCTGCCACACCACATCCATTTTGTATGTGCTTTTGCCACACGCGAAACCAAAAGTGTGGCAATTAACTGAAATGAAATTACCACTGATAGGCGAAAATGAATGGACAAAGTAGTGAACGTGTTAATTGGATGAACTAAAGATAAAATATGTATTCTATTATATTTCGATTTGTATTTTAATTTAAACTATAGTTTACTCTTATTTCTAAGTATTTCCACTTGAAATGTATGTATCCTTCTTTATATTCGTATCATGTAGTTTCTGAAAAAGTCTCGTCTACTATAAAAATGAGAGAACACGATTATTGATTTCAAAATTGAAAAATTTGGTGATGGTTTTTGATTTAACTATTGTGCATGATTTTGATGTTTCGTTTCAATTGGATTTAGTTCGTCAAAAAGCCTTTTAATTAATAAATTAATTTCACATTTATATCGATTAACAAAAACGTACTATTAGCCATTTTGATAATGAAATGCACGATAAGTGTCTGTGACATTAAAACTATGTAAACCTTGACTTCTTGCCATTCTTCTATTCCACACAGATAAAAAACCCTCTGGTAAATCAAAAGATGAACAAATGGCCGAAAAGAAACAGGAATTGGAGAAACGTTTACAAGATGTCACCGGTCAATTAGGTACCAGCAAGAAGACAGCCAAAAAAGGTAATAATTGAATATGAAAAAGTATTTGTTGTTTATATAATATAAATTGGAATAATATGTATATCACTAATCTCAAATATTTTTCTGAGCAAATCATTTAAATGTAATTCTTTCATTTCAGACGAATCATCGAATAAAGTGGAAGCTGTTCAACCTGCAAATCGCCCATCATCCAGCTCTAGTTCGAGCGATTCCTCCTCGTCCAGCTCAAGCGATAGTAGTTCTAGCGATTCAAGTGACAGCGAAGCAGGTTAGGACGCGTTTGTTTATTAAAAATATTTTGTTTTATATTATTTTTATTAATATGAAGAATATCGATTTAATGGAAAAGAAACATCTACCCTATCTTAATACTATATACCTTAGCCCCTACCAATCATACACTAGAGAAGAAAACTAAAAAAAGAAATATCAAAAACTTATCTCTAACGTTGAGTTGTTTTAGTGGCCTCTATTACTTTTGTTCAGTTAGCTTTCCTTTTTCAATTTCAACAATAGCGCCCTCTTTATGGTTGCAAGCATTATACACAACTTTAATACTAACAATCGAAGATAGTTTTAATAAAATGATTGGGTTTATATATATATATATATATATAATATATATACATCAAATGTATATACATATATTGATTAAATCCTATAAAACATTCAAGAACAAATCCTGCGTAAAATTTTATGCTCGTCGGGAACGAATAATCTAAAATTAGAACATGTGTCCCAGTCGTATTTTCTTGATTTCCTTGATTATTCCACGCCCAAGACATATCGTTTATTTTGATCGAATAAACTCGAATTGACACTTATGTGTTCGGCAATGCATTATCGATCTATAAGTTCCGCTTCTTCAACAGAGATTTATGTTCTAACTCTTCTAACTAATGCCTGTTAAAACTCCGTTTTTCTATTCGGTAAAGGACGAAGTTTTGTGATCATGCTTTGTGAGCATTCAATTATGTTCGTTCAAGATATTTGTATCTGCTGTTTATATGTTAAAAGACTGACACAACAGCAGTATATGAAAGTGTAACTAGTGGGTTGTTTGTTTCGTTTTAAAATCAGTGGAACAAAGTTCCAGTTTTAAGTGCAATATAATTTTGTTTCCTTTCTGTTATACTTAGCCTTGGTGGCTATATGATGTTATCATGCCAGTTGGCCAGGGATGTTCCATTCCACACGAGTTGTCCACGACATGCACACTTACTAGATAGCATCAAGTCACCCAGCAAAAAGTAATTATATAGAGCTTTTCATTAGCTCAAGTCACAAATGGCCACAAAACTTCACTTGTATCTGAATGCCTTTTCCTTCTTTCGTACATAGTTTACTACCTATCTTACATATATTTCCAGCAAAACCCTTTGCATTTCGTGTTTTGATTGTTCGATTCCACTAGCACTGGGAAAGTAAAAAGTTTTTAGTAGCACCCCCTCTATTTGGTAGATCTCTTACCCAATAACATAAATTCCCTCTGAACAACAACAGTATATTTTTATACTACAAATTAACGTGCTAATGCTTGAACCATCAAACTTTTACATATATTATTCATCCAACATTAAGTTTTACATATTTATTTTCGATGTAGAGACAATTTTTATTATTCTTATTCTAGTTATTATTACTATTATTATGATTATAATTTTTAAAAAGAGTGTGAATTTGAAGAAAATCGTGAAGCAATTGTGTATTGGGGGCAGCCAATCATTCCAAGCTAATGACATATAAAATCCTAGCAGTTGTAAGACAAATTCGAATTAAATCAACACGTTAATATGTTAATAATTTTAATTACAAATAACAAATATCAGCATTGCAACGTTGAATTTAGAATTTAAAAATAAAGTTCATTTGTTTGTTCACTTGTGTGTATATGAATATGGAAAATATAACTTTCAAAGTTTTATTTGGAGGTTTTTTGGCATATGCAAAAGAAAATGTCTAATCGTACCCTTGAAAGTTCAGTCATACAACGACAGCATCGATGATCAATAAAAACGCATAAATTAAATATTAGTCTTTCACTATGCATTTTCGAGGACAAAATCAAGTGCATCGAACCGAGTACATTTTGGTAAACAAACCAAAGTATGCAATTCAATGGAGGTGATACGATTTGTAGAAAAATAACTTTTGCCTTTTTCATCTATTTGAGATGTTACTAATTTCGATCTCAGTGCGTTTTAGACACTTTTCTTCTGCATCATTTTTTGTATCTTTGAAAACAAACAGCAGGGATATTCTCTTTTACATTTGCAAAAAAGGAAAAGAAAACTAAATATGCAATTTTAAATGTTCTTAGAATAACGGCTGACGAAATTAAGAAAACACGTTGAATTCGCGCGTATCTGTACACCTTTGTATGAAAAGTTCTAATTACCGATTTCAAAATTGTAATGATAGTTTTACAATTATGATTCGTAGTTATAATAAAATTATTGTAGTGCACTTGCAGACAATGTGTAAAAAGTGTGTAAAGTTTTAAGAGTAAACTGATTTGTAAAACGATATCCGCTCGTGCTATAGATAAACACCTACAATCGCCTTTTTGTTATTTACATGTGTCCAAAATATCTTCTATTTATTACGCTGAATCAGTATGCGGATTTAATAGATTTAAAACTCTTCGTGGCATTTGATTGTCACAGGAAATGGTTTCGAAGATGTGGCAATGTTTATAGGGACATTTGCCCCTGAACTGTTTCAATTTCATATGTCATTTTCAATCGAATACACCTCAATCAAACACTGTTTTCCCCACTACATCTGTGCAGTCCTGTTCCCATCTACATTGGAACATTGAAAAACGGCATTCAGTCAGAGGCAGTTGTTTAAACAAAATGATGACCATGTACCAGTAAAACATGCGCGGAATCTTGAGATCGAATGGTCATTGTGAAGAGCAAACTCTACTGGCATCTTTTGTACCGTGTATAATCATAATCTTAATTCTTACATATATATTTTATAAATTGACGCATTTTGTTTTGTAATAAAATCACTTTCCATATGTAGTATTTTTGTTGTTGTATATCATGTAGTAAACAAACCGACCTGTCTGTGGCACAGACGTTGTACAATATGAACCTTAAGCATCAGTTTAGGTAATCTCTACTAATTTATTAGGTTATTGAAAACGGGTTTAAAGTTATTGTTATCGAAGCGATAATTGGTCGTCCTTCGCTTTTCCCTAAATGCGGTTGATTTGATAGATTTCGGCTGTCGGCTTTCCCCTTTACACATTGTTTGCACGTTTTTCATTCCTTTTTAACAAGAAACAAATATAAATTATGAACTATGAAAATATTATTGTTTACACCATGATACTGGAAACCAGATATGAAAGAACGTACAATTTCCATATTGAAATTTAAAGTATAACGAGAGTGATGAAATATGTTCATTTTATTGTAAACTTACTTAAGTGTTCCATATTTTGTGTATTCAAATTATATCGATTACTTTATAATTTTTCAGAGAAGAATATATTAAGTTTGTTGTATTAGTCAAAATCAGTAAAGGGATTTAGCGTTGAACACCATAATTATAGTAGCTTCCATCCAATGTTTCAATTTGTATCGTCGCTAATCCGTATGTAGCCATGTGTGCGGTCAAGGTTTACCACTTCTTACAGGTATAGCTGTATAAATTATTTGGTTTCTAAAATGCAAATTTGGATTATCATGCGGCTCAAATATCCACAAACGGACAATTCGAAGAGTGTTGAACGTTATTTTCCCTAACTATGCCGAACATAAAATTGTAGATTAATTAGTACACGTACACAATAGATAAGATGAACGAAGAAATACAAAAGAAACCCACAACCACCATCGTTCAGCAGCCTTGACTGCTGATTTATTATTGTTTAAGCAAACCCCACTCTTGGGAGAAAGAGGAATGAAGGACTTCAAGAAGACGTCGGCTATCTGCGCATACTAAAGACATTGCCATAGTATTGACCACTAAATACTGACCGTCACATATTTCTTTTGTACTTTTTTTAATTGAAAGTACCGTTGATGTTCTCCTGTGTCGTATTCGCCACAGACTTTCCCACAGATAGCAGAACACTTTCAACAAAATCAATGCACTATGCAACAATGTTTTGCCAATGCATTCATCATTTATAAGAACTAAGTTATAATTTAAGTGTTATAGAAGGAACGAAGTTAAAGAAACAAAAATTAACAAATACAAATATGTTAAAAACAAAAATACACAATATATCTGGAAAGTGTTTAAGAGCATATTCATTTTATATACATACATACTTTTAATGTTTAGTTTATTTTCTAACACATTTCAATTGTTGTTTAGCATTAAAAAATAAGAATACTGAAGAAATACATATACTATTATTTTTATAATTGACGATAGTCGTTTACTTTCTTTTCATATGAAATATAAATTTATATATATACATATATATATATTTTTTTTATTTTAAACACTAATATATATATTCAATTATCATTAAAAAAATATATTTCTAAAACATATAAAGCCACAACAAACATTAACAATTCCCTCTCCTCTTGAAATGGGGAAGACGACATTGCAATGGAATACACACATTTAACACACACGTATTTTAGTGGCTAAAACTGAAATAGAAAACCATAAATCTAAACAATTAAAATTAAATAAATTATAAATCTAAGATAATTAATAGTAATTAAAGAAAATTCACAAAAAAAAAAAAAAAAACCATACCAGAAATAAACGTGTTTTCAATAATAAAAAAACGTCGCGGTTATTCTTTAATTGTTGACTTGTACTATGCCAATTTTTGGGGAATTAGAAGATTATGTTTTTTATGGTCTTGCGGTTTTACTGCTGTTTGTCGTATTAGTGCTGCTGCTTCAACACAATTGCTTCTAGATTTTCGATAGAATGTCTTCGTGAACAAACGATATTTTGTATTTTATTGATTTGTTAAACAACATCAAGGTATTTACCATTAAGATACTGATTGTGAACATAAACAATTTTTATAATGTTTTCTTTCACCCCCATTTGTAGGCGACGTCGAAGGTCCACCGAAAAAGAAAAAAACCCGCGATTCCAACGGCAGCAATGTAAGTATACATTTTTTCACTCGGTTTGTATGAATATTTTATTATTACCACGACTACATTCGTATTGTTGCAAGATGGACTTCCACCAATCAACAAATAGTCACCATACACAAAGAATAGGCAGAAACAAAAACACAATCCCATTCTAGTGACTAATAATATCATTGGCTGGCAAAAGTACTTTATGCTTGGATATGCATCCTACCTTGCCCATGCAAGGTCGTATACATAATGGTTCTTGACATATATGTATTTTTGTCGCATATATGTGTGTGTGTGATATAGATTCCCTTAGGATTAAATCAATCTTTTGAAATTGTCTTTTATTTCATATCGCATTATTATCGTGGTTATTGTGTCAATAACATTTTATAGGTAAATAATGCTGTCATAACGACACCAACTAGTGCGAGTGGGTGTACAGACCCCCCACCTGCGGGTTCGTCGACAGTAACAGATCCATCTCAGACACTGAACACGGTCTCCACCGCTTCGAGTGCGGCTTCTGGAGGAGCTGGAGCCTCGGCAATTAGCACCCAAGCGACGTTGCTGGGTTCAAACAGTCAAGCAAATGCCACTGCCACACAAGTGGGGGTGATAGGAATGCACAATAACAGCGCCGTCTCTCTGTTGTCCTCAGCGAATGTACCAGTTGCTGGATCCCAACAGCAACATCAACAAGTTCCCGGAATCAGTAAGTCCCCGTAGTTACATGGCGTGCCGTCCCTTTATGATTGTATAACTAACTAATTGTTTGTTGGTGTTATTGTTTTTCTTCTTTATTTTTATTACTTTGACATGCTCCATTCATTCTCCCTCTGTTATGAAATTGTGTAAAATTTTCGCATGTGTGCCTGTCTCATCTGTACAGTGGGGGTAAACACACCAACATCGATGGGAACTGTCACTGCTGCGACATCAAATAGCAACAGCAACAACACTTTGTCTGTGGCAGCAGCTTTAAATAACAACAATATAAATCCTATTAAGACACCTTCAGCCACACCTACTTCAGCAGCAGCAGCAATTCCACCCGCCGTTCCAACAACAGGAACATCATCTACGTTAGGTCTATTTAGTAGTGTAAGTTCTGAAGTTGGAAGTGCAGGAGGTGGTGGTGTAGGTGGGGCCAACGGTGGTGGCAGCACAAATGGACCAAGTGACTTGACAATGCCGCCAATTTCGGATGCTGGTGTTAATACTGCAACGGCTACAGCAGCAACCGCCCTCACTACCGCATTGGGTGGCGACGGCGGCGGGTCTGTTAGCGTGACAAGTGCTGCCAGCGGCACCAGCACTGTTACGAACACCAGCAATAGTGTAGGAGGTGGTATCCGCATTGCCAGCAATCTTCACAAATTACCTTCAGACGTGGCCGAAACAGCAGCTAGCATAGGTGGGCCCGCTGCCACGTCGCAAGTTTCAACTGCGTCGTCTTTGGCTGCGGGTCTTAAACAAATTCCGCAGTTCGATGATCCCGTCGAGCAGTCACTTGCTTCTTTGGAACAGCCGTCGCTGTTGGCACCACCACCTGCTAGTAAAAGTGCTGCTGATAATTTTCTAATGGCTGCTGCTGCGGGTATTAATGCGGCTCATTTAATGCAACAGCAATCATCAGTGCAGCAACAACAACAACAACAACAACAAGTGTTTGGAAGTGGACAATCACAACCTCAGGCGAGCCAAACACATGGCGGTGGAAACAATCAGCACCATGTAGAATTTATGAATGAATTGCTGTCGAAGGGTGCAGCTTCTGCAGCAGAAAATGTCCCCGGAATGAATGGCAACCACTTTCCATTGATGCAGTTCGGCTTAATGGAAGGCCTGAATTCCATGATGCAACAACAATTCCAACAAGCCGTTCAACATCAACACGCACATAACAATGGGTATAATATGGGCGATGTGGCAACTTCAAACGCCCTCGACAGCCTCGGGTTAAGTTTGGGTCTAACGCACGGTGGCGGAGCGGGAGGAAGCTCGATTTTTGATCAGCTGCCCGGACGAAACGATAATCATTTGCTGGCCATGATGATGAGTGGCGGAGCAGCTGGAATGCCCAGCAACTTGTCTCTTGGTGGTTCAACTGTCGCAACAACAGTACCGGGAATGAGTGGAAAAAAAGACACTAGCTCCAGCAGCAGCAACGGTGATCATTCGCAGCAGCACCCGTCGAACAAATTGCTTATAACACCTAAACCGATCGAATCAATGATGCCAAGTCCCCCGGAGAAAAAAGGTCAACATGCACCTCAACAGACGATAGGTGGCACAGTCGTAGCACCACCCCTACAATCGCCATCCGATTTAAAAATACCCTCAACAACAGCTGCAGGTGCAGCTGGCAATCAGGCCATTTACGCCCCGAATGTGAAGAATCCTAGTTCATGGTCAATACTCGCCGGCTCACCGCAAAACACTCCCACCTCGAACAAAACCAAACCGGCCATGGACTCATTCCAGCAATTCCGCAATAAAGCCAAAGAAAAGGCCGACCGTCAGAAACAGCTAGAGGCCGCTGAAAAGGAAAAGGAGCAGAAACGACAGAAGGAGGCCGCCGAGAAGGAACAACAGCGAAAGCAGCATTCAAAGCCCCCGCTCCACATGGTCGGTGGAAGTTCCAATTCTAGTAGCAGCGGCAACGGTAATGGTAGTACCGGTCCAAACAGTCTTACCGGTTCTCACCATCAATCGGTGAATGTTACGAGTGGTGTACAGCCACCTCACGCACATGGCGGCAGTGTGACCAACGCGCATTTAGCTGCATCCATAATCGAATCTATGGAAAGCGGGAGGTAAGCCAATTCGGCTATGGGCCATGCCATTATCCCGTGACGATTCTGAGTATTTGTTTTTTCTAGGAAAAGCGTACACGATATTCAGCCGTTATCGCGAGTGGTCGACGATATAAAGGCTTCGCCACAAGGTTGTGGTTCACCAGCGGGCACAGCACAACAATCGCCACAGGACCGGGCTGCAGCCAAACGAGCTGAACTTAGGCGCATGGAACAGGAACGGAGAAGACGAGAAGCGGTAAGTGTTCCTCGAATTTCCGTTTAAACGTGTGAATCAGCTCGCTACATACATACACGTCACGATTTACTTCATTCTTTCCAGAGAGCTGGCCAAATCGACATGAATATGCAAAGCGACCTAATGGCAGCATTCGAAGAATCGCTTTAATATATGGCTAAATAACTTCCACGCCGAATCCTGTTGAATATATTTCCTTATTGTTGTCATAATAATTATCGGATTCTTTAAATAATTTATATACATACATAGATATACATATAGAAACAAGAAAAAAGAAACCCTATATCACAAAAAGGAAATAAATCTTTTAATTAACACAAACGTCTACTTGAAATGCAGATTATGTTTATATATGTAGAACAATTAAGAAAAAGGAACACACTTCAAGTTTACGAGAATAAATTATAAAACGCGCTGGAACCGCCAGCTGCAGTAATACAATCACTATTAAACTTAGTTAAAAAGAAAAGAAAAAACAAAACAACGTGACAGCAGGCACGCATTGGATATGAGGGCAACGCAACCCCGCAACAACACAAACAAGTTTTAAGCTATACTAGAATCAATTTGGAATGGAAGCGGAGCGATGATTTACGAAGCAGTCACACGGAGCAATTTCTAATTTTTATACATTAAACCATACATTTTTTACTTTTATTTTTAAATCGTTATTTAATTATAAACTACGAGCATATTAGATGATGAACAATGTTTGAATCAAAGGTAACACTTTTTTAAATGGCATGATTTCCTTTATTATATTTACACACATATTATAATTATTATTATTATTCTCTTTTCTAAGCGTAAACACAAAAAAACGTAGATGTAATTAAATTATCATAAATGATTCTAATAATAATAAACAATTACCAATAAATATAAAATTATGTACTAGTAGTTAGTAGTAAACTACTCCATGTAATAATAATAAATACACAAAAGAAAAATCACATTATAGTAATAAAGAAAACAAATATGTAATAATAATACCAACAAAATGAAATTGTAATTATTTATATAACCATAATGCATTGATATGGAAACAATGCATCCTAGCAAGCAAGTACGTGTTCTAAATCGAATAACCCGTATGCTTGTATTGCCACATGTATTATCTTTATAAATATATACTACTTAAGACAAATGAAACACATGCACACGCATTCACCACTCATAGACACTGAATTGGAACTCCTCGTACACAAGTAACACTGAAAATTAAAATTAAAACTTCAATAGTTTGTTCATTATTTTCGTTTTATTGCCATAAATAAATATACCTTTTCAAAATGTTATGTGAAGACATCAAAACAAACTCTGTAACGTAATAAAAAACAATGTTTTTAAATTACATATAATAAATTCAATAACAAATATAAATAATAATTATACCAACACCAATAAAGAAACAATTCAAACATAAAGATGAGTGGAAAATATACAAATTTAGATCAAAACATACATAGGAGGTAACATTTTATACGGTTATATCAAAATATCATTTTATTGGCAAAAAGGGGAACTGACTGTCCGCTTAACCTATGGTGAAACGTGTATCATAAATGTTATATTTATGAAGGAGTAACTTACGAGTTTCCCATAACTTACATTTCCCAACTTAAAATTTGGTATTGAATGAACTAAAATCTAAAATTATTGTTCATATGTAGGGTTGAATTAAGAAGACAATCCGCATTACCGAGGCCCCAAATATCGAGATTTTACTGTATGCTAAAGTATTAAGAAATATAAAAAAAACACACAAAACTCAATTCAATACACTATGCAAAATTTCATATAATTCGAAGAAACATTGCATAAAATCGAACAATTTATATATCGACCGAAAAAAGAAAAATAAATAAAAATATGGGGCAATTTATGACATTTCATACAATCGTACCTACCAAGGTTTATTAATAAGGTTAATCGGCTGGCAAATTCATGCCTTGGTCTTCTCTTGCTGCCAATTTTTTAATCGCGAAATACCAACCAGAATAGGATAAAATCTCAAAATATCTTTCAATAAAACGTAATGATAGTAATGTGCACATATATTTTTGTTCGAATAAAAATATTTTTTGTTTTTTGACAGTCAATTAAGTCTTCGGATTCGCCTCCTTGTTAAGCTTATGAATAAACCTTGATACCTACTGTAGTATGAGACCATCCGATCGGAATTGTTCAAGAAACGTTATCTTTTTTTTAGAACGTATGCTATATATATGAGAAAATTAACCACATGTGAAAGTTCGAAGATATGTAAAATATAGACCTTTTTTGTTAAATGTAAACAAAGCGGTGGTAGACAGCATACACAATACTCTACACAGATAATAGATGAGTTGAAAAGTCCATGGCCAGACACATAACTGACTCGTTACCTTTTGGCACACTGTATTTTTTAATTTTAACAAAGTGCATAGAATCACTTTATGCATGTCCGTTTGTAAACAAAGTACACACCGCACTTATCTAAATTTGATGAAATTTGGCACAGCTCACTTATTTGGTCCATGTACGAACCCTATTTAAATGGCTGAAAATCGGTTCAGATTTAGATATATGTGAAGTAAACTTGACTAATCTAATAATAATAAAAATACCATTCTAGACTCAATAAGCTGCACCATGGAAATGTTTCATCAATCGAGTTCAACAAAACTTAAAGCACATAATTTTAGACACAAATTAATCTGCTATGCAAAATTTCGTTTAAATCAAACCAGCACAGGATCTTTGAGCACCATTTACAAAAAATCGGACGAACACATATATGGAAGCTATATCTAAATCTCGCACGGACGTACCCTGGGAGTTTAGTCTGTTAGACAGATGGGCGGAGGGATGTACATCCATAAATCGACTCAAAAATTGAGTCTATGCATATTCTCAAAAATAACTATGGGTCTGTCTTGTTTCCTTCTGCGCCTTAGAAACATATGTACAAATAAATAATACCCTGTACCACAGTGTGTGTGTGGCGAAGGGTATAAAAACGTCAGTTATTTGTCAAACCATGGACTTTTCAAGCGATTTATTATTTGTGTAGGGCACACCACAGGCTGACCAAATCAACTACATTTAACATAAAAATAGTCGATTTTATTTAATTTCTTCAAACTTTCAAATATGGTGAATTTACTCATATATAAAATTAGTTTATATATGCATTATCAATAGATAATCACCCCTATTCCGTATGTCGTCGTCGACACAAAACGACGTCGAAGAGAGTCGTATTTTGCAAATTGGGAATAGGGCAAATAGGGAATGTCGTTGTCGAAATTTATCGATAACTATTGAAACATTTTTGGTATTCCGTAAGAATGTGCGACGACGACGATGTCGGAGATTTCTTCGTCATAATTTTTGTTGACGATTGAAGTGTTTGAACAATTTTTTTTTTAAGAAATTAAAAAAAAACATGACCGGACAAGAACAGGATACATCATTCTAGAATCTATTCAAAACGTTATGGAAAATAAAGTGTAAATAAAGAAAAATATATGGGATCTATATATAAATCTGAACCGATTTTGACAAATATCAATAGGACTCGTCTATGTGCCAAATAAAATTTCATCCCAATTGGATGGATTTTTCCAAATTTCATCTCGTTCGGATGATAATGGTGGCATGTAACTTGTTTGAAATAATACATGGATGGAGGGACATGCATAAATCGGCTGAAAAATAATTATATGTATATACTAAAAACTAACTATGGGTCTATCTCGTTTCTTTTTGGATGTTGCAAACACATGTACCACGACATAATGTCCTGTGCCACAGTTCGGTCAAGGATACAAACACATTTTTGCACAAAAATATCAAACAAAATGAACAGCTGACCACAATTTTAGAGATGTGTTTTTTGTTTTTTTGATATCGATACATAGTCGACATCGTCACATGAGTGTTACAGAATATCAAATCAGTGTCGAAGTGAAGCCGAAAGAGAAACGTCGTCGACATACAGATAGGGGTGAATAAAACTTTAGAATTCCCTCTAACCATTGGTGCACAATTTATAAGAATCGGTTCAGTATTCGCTGAGTTATTTGCATTTGAAGTCAACTATGTTCCCAAATATACTTACTGACTGTGTTTGGCCTAAAAGTATGCTTTAATTTTCTTTACAAGCCAGCAAGCCATTACGAAAAATTGCCGTTGTTAAAAATGGATTTTTGTGAGGTTTTTTATTTTCAGGTAATGGGCGCCCAGCACCGAACAGCAAGTATATTTTGGAACATAGTTGACTTCAAATGCAAATAACTCAGCGAATACTGAACCGATTTTTATAAATTTTGCACCAATGGTTAGAGGGAATTCTAAAGTGTTATTTCATGTTGAGAATGCATATAAAAACTAATGCTATATATGAGAAAATTAACCATATGAGAAAGTTTGAGGAAATTAAATAAAATCGACTATTTTTTGTGAAATGTAAAAAAACGCATTTGGTCAGCCTGTGCTGTACCCTACATAAATAATATATCGCTTGAAAAGTCAATGGCCTGGCAATAACAGACGTTTTTATACAGGATATCATGTATTTGTGCATATGTTTGTAACGCGCAGAAGGAAACAAGATAGGCCCATAGTTATTTTTGAGAATATGCAATCGTATATATGTTCGTCCCTTTGTCCGATTCAGACGAAATTTTGACAAACTTTGGTGTTTATTTACGAGGTTTATTTTCTGCGGGGAAAAAATAAAACTCCTGAAATTATTTTTATTTTCGAGTGATTTGATATAACTTATAACCGTTACGGTCTCTGAAACATACACAACACGTTGTGTCATTTTTGACAACATATAACTACAAACCTTTTCAGCAATTTAGATCAGTATGTCATGCCGTTAGTGGTGTTTTAATTAAAACAATAATTTTTTTTCTTTATATTTTTTTATTTTGTACAAAAATTAGATTTATTATTATTAAACTATTAATATTTTACTAAATATATGGGGGATGATTTTATTTACAAGAATAATCCAAAAAATGGATTAGTCAGTCAACCGATCTACAGCTAGGCCTAAGGTCTAAATACAGTTGTGTGTAAGGTATGGGAGGGGAGTGTGTCACAGATAGGCTTTTGTAATGGACGCGTTCAACGCAAGCGGACAGATGTGCATCGTCTGGTTTACATTTTTGATGTAAGGGCGGCTAATTGCGCTTTGAGGGCATCGATTTGGCACAATAATTCGATGTTTTGGCGTTCCAGATAAGCGGCACGAATGGCGATCTCGTCTTCCTTGATGCGGCGGCGGTCACGGGATTTCTTTGCTGCGGCATTGTTTTTCCGGCGACGTTCATAGTAGGCTGCATCTTTGACAATACCACCCGAGGTTGATACGGAATTTTGGGTATTGACATTGGCGCTAGCATTGGGTGCTGATGCACTGACAGTTTGGGTCACAGATGACTGACTGTCATTGCCCGAATTTGAATCACAATCGCTGGATTCTTCGCACTGCTGGCGTTCTTCGTTCTCGCTGTTGTTACTGGACGAACCTTCATGAATGCTGCCACTGCGTGAACTTGTGCGACGCATTTTTGGATTGGTGACGGTGCGGGATCCACCATTTGAGCTGCGAATTTGCTCGAGCACTCGTTTGCGATATTCAGTGTATCGCTCCACTCGAGGATTGTCCAGCAAAACATCGGTTGCTGCAAAATTAGCCGCAATAACCAAGGGGTCACGGGGAAAAGCTTTGAATGGACGGGTGGTTTTAACATCGAGGGGAGTTGAAATGTTTGTGCTGCTTGTGGGAGTAGTTGCGGTAATGGGCTGTTGTTGTTGTTGTTGTGGCGAATGAGGTTCAGCCATGTCCTGTTTCATGGAAACGACAGCAGCGGCAGCAAACGTTTGCAGAAGACTATTTCCAGCTGTGGCGTTAGCAGCGGCTTGGGCCATTGGCGCAGATGGAGGTGGTGTTGTTGACATAGGTTCTTGTTTGATACCATTGGAGTAGTATATGCCAGGATACAATGAAGCTAATCCAGAAGGAAGGCCATTTTGGGTTTGTTGCTGTTGGGACTGGGCTGCATATAGAATATTGACAGGCAATAGCGAGGCTGCGGCAGCGACTGTACCAGCGGCCTGTTGGGAAGCCATTGATGCAGGCGATCCAACGGGAGAGCCTGTGCCCAAACTGGAGTTGGTGTGGTACGGTGAGGGTGTCTTACGGGTTGTTTCGGCGGAATCACAGCGCCGTGACAAATCAAGAACTTCGGTTCCATGGGTGGTAGGGTGTTGCTGAGGCATGGCCGTGCTCAAGAGATGCTGTTGTAACTGTTGCTGGTAGGCGTAGGCTGAATACAAATCCAATGCAGGCATTGGTGGGGACGGTGGCTGTAAATGCATTGGCTGTTGCTGATGATGGTGAACTGCGGCGGCTGCTTGTAGTAGGCCTGTACGATCTAAAAATAATTAGAAAACAATTATATTAGTAATGCTTATTCAGGGCGTATAAAAATCGGATGTTATAATGTGGGCCAGAGAGATTATTGCGAAATACTAACCATTTTTTAAATCCAACAAAAATTGGCCGGACATCAGTTTCTCGTGAATCATCATGATTATTTCGGTTGTTCGTGTGTGGTGTTAATCCAACAACAGAGAATTCTGAATGGCAAATCCTTTTTCTATTTTTTATGTTGTATGTTTGTAATTCTGAGATAGTTTTTCGTAAACGTCAAATTGTCTGAGATATTTCCAATGTTTTGGACAGCGTATGCTGATGTATTATCTGAAACAGTGCTCGGTGTGTACTGATTTGAAAATGAAAACGTCGCAGCTTATATACACAGGCTAGTTGCACATCTACAGCACCTACGCGCAGGCGTTGCAATTTCATTGACAGGCCAACTACCCTTGCAATGCCATGAGCTGACCCTCGCTTCCTTTCTCTCTTCTACCTATGTGATGGTGCCGCTCTAACTCTTTTTTCTGGTCGCCTTGCTCTTTCACTCTACGGAAGGATAGGGGAAAGGTCACAAGAGTGCAGCAGGTAGCTGAGACACTTTCAATGAAACGAAAGGGTGGTACTCCATGTGCTAGTGTGATTTTCCTATGTGGTAAAATGAGGGTGGTGTGGCCTGATAGATCGAGAACGAGGGAAAGAAACGAAACACAATAATGATTGTTCCAATCACATGCATATGTATGTACACACACAAATGTATATGAATGTTCTATTCTGCAATAGTTTTACATTCTGACATAAAATCAAATAACGTTTTTGTTCTATAAAGCAAATGTATGGCTTGTCCGTTATATTGGTTTTTATCTCAATTCATATTGGCATAAATGGGAACATGTCCCAAAAAGCGTCTCAACGCCAACCCGAATTTACTAATTTTGGGTTTTAATATTTTGTTCGAATTGATCGCGTATGTATTTTAAAACTGAAGATATAAGCCAGTTTATAGGGGATATTACAGTGGAATTCAAACGAAAAGTCAATACCTTCTCAACTGAATTGCATTTTCAACTCGTCTATATATTTGGTCTGTTCAAGAACCTGAAAGAATCTTCAATTAATCGAAACTATTTCAAAGTTTCCCTTTATTAATGTGGAAGTTTTACAACATGTTAAGTACGGGACAAGTCGTTACTGCTATTCAATGTCATCGATTTTAATTGATTTGATTGGTAGTTTGAAATTGTCGTATTGAACCAACCTCTCCCTTATGTCGGAATAAGTCAAAACCAAAGGCAACAAGCTATGTCTAATTGCATTATTTTGAACTTGAATATACTATATCAATGGTTTCTTTCCAAAATCGTGTTGGAAATATAATTCAAATACTTTTGTCACCCAACAAATTAGAATCATTTGTTATTACTGAATTTGATAACATTTTCTTAATCCGCTAAATATTAAATTTAATTGCGCTTCATTGTAGATATGCATGTTTGAGCTTTGAGTTGATTTTACATAAAATGTCAATGGCAAATACTGAGCAAGGCAAAAAGTTAATAAAGGCGGATTTTAGGAACAACTGGAAACACATTCATCTTTGTCGTATCTGTGCTGTGTTTGGCATAATTTGTACGCCATTTGCAGTTTGTGGCTTCGTATTATTATTAAAAGGTAGCACATACATACAAATCTATCAATTGACATCAGCTGTTTCTAAATATATTCACTGTTTCTATATTAATATACTCACAATTATACCTCACCTATTTTGCATGTAATCACTTGTAGCAGCATTTTCGGAGTCATCTACAAAATGCCATTAACTTTTGCGCTTTGTTAATAATGTTAAAGCATTGCGATAATGTTAAAGCATTTCCGAAAGAACAAGTCCCCACTACCGAACTTTTTTATCTTGCATTGATGTAGCCTGTCGTCGTTATTTGTATCTACAAACGCTTAAAATTATTAAGAGAACAATAAATTTAAACAAAATGTCTATTCCAGAAAATGAAGAAATCGATGCAATTTTTAAACGTTTGCCAGCTATTAGTATTCAAAAAAAAATGTTACAAATTGCTAGATTCTTCCTGAACGGGAAATGGACCAAAGTTAAACATTTTAAGTTGGAATTTTTGGCTCGAATGTCACATTTCCCATATTTACTGCAAACTATTTCTTTGTTAAATGCAAAATCAACATTGAAACATTCGGATGAATTTCTTTCGATTAGCAATAATTTGGAATGGTGAAATTTGCGATGAGGTATTGTCGCAAGTTTAGTGTTTTCAATTGGGATTATATGTTTCTTGCCACAAAGCAAACAAACACCTTGGATGCACTGTACTGGCCAAGTTTATTAATTAACTTTAATTCGCCGTGTCGTAATATTTGGCTCAGCCTTTTGATGGATTTTCTTCATTCAATTCGATCAATGAACGAACAAAACCGCTGTATAACATTAAAAATCGACTAATCTTCGGATTAGAACCTTAAAAAACCACAGGGATTAGTTTAATCCAAATACATATTCGCTAATCCCCTCGCATCCGATGCCACCATATTTGTTGCAAAAATATAGTTGCTAACTAATTTTTTACCTGGCCTGCAGTCGTTTTTTTGCGACGGGGTTGCTTGGTAGCAGCTACGAGATGATCATTAAATTTGCATGTAACTTTCGACTTTTAAACGCAACTGCCATAAAAAAGAGTTACTAACTTCGTTTATGGTTTTGACCTTAGGTTTCGCGGAAAACCCCTGTAGGAAATATGTCGACGAGTAGCTTGTTTTCCATTTTTTGCGACTTTTGTGTCATATTGGACCGTCTTTTCACTCCTTAACATGCAATTTCTGTGCAATCCTTTCGCATGAAAATGACCGAAGCAACTTGTTATTAACCTTGCTCTGGCGTCCTGGAAGACAAATGATCCTTCCAAAACGTCACTTTTGGCAGCCTTCGTCATAAATTCATAAACATTTGTTATTTTCTTCGAGGGGCAATAAAAACGGGTTGGGTTACTTTTGTGACCTATGGCTAAGATGTTTTACTACTTTTTTTAACGTAACCAAATTTTTATTGCATAATTTTTTAGCGTATTTTTCGCTGCAACGGTACCCATCTTTTTCCTGCAGTTTTTTACGAATTCCTGGAACGGCGGAGTAAAATTATGTCTATGGCCAGGTAGATGCGTTTTTTGTCAAGCGTCATAAAATAGTGAAATTGTATCATAAAGGGTTTCAGTTTTTTAAGGAATCCAAACCAATAAACGCATATTGGCTAGGTAGGTAGCAGGCTGGAATGATAATAATATGTAATTAAATTTAGCGACTAATTGACTACGAAAGGGTTCGATTGTTTTGAGCTGCAAACTATCCCAGGAAAAGGGGTTTTGTCGCTAATTTAAGTGAAATGTGTTCAAATAAAAAGTGATAAAACGCGCGAATCTGCTTGTCTTAGTAGTTTCTCAGAATACATGTCTAATGCACAGTGATGTTGTATGGTTTTTTTTTAAGTTAAAAGTCAAAATGTGGTTTGTATAATAAACAAACTGTATGCATCTGCATTGGATCCGTGCATATGATATGGAATTAACTCTTTATATATATTTATATACTATAAATGCAGACACTGCAGAAATAGAAATACCAAAATCAAAAATGTCGCGTAAGTATGTATGTATGTACATATATATATATATATATATATGTATGTATGTACATATATATATATATATGTATGTATGTACATATATATATATATATGTATATATATTGGAAATTGCATGTGCTTACTAAAAATCATATCAAATTTCAAAATTTTGTTCTCAAAAAAGTTTAAAATTATAAGGAATAGTCAGATATATGGAAAAATAATACATATTCTTGAAAATAGCTGTATATGGTGATAATATTGAAATAAAAAGTAAACATAATTACTACATTTATTACATTTTGTACCGGCATATGACGATTTCGACGTTTACACCTTTTTGACACACGAAAACCTAAAAATTAGTCAGTTAGTTGAAGGGTTTAAGAATAAAATTGGTTTCTCTTCCCCTTTCTTCATCATATAGATCTATAAGATGGATTCGAATAAGAGTCGGCGTAAAGGAAGATTTTTAAAAGGAAATTCATTTTACCCATACTTCGCCTAAATGCGTACTTGCACTCACTTAGAGTGAGTAAAATAATTTTGAACCGATTTTATTTTTTTCCTAGCTTGAATTTAGACAAATTGTTCGGCTTTTGTACTGATCTCATAGTACTAACAGTCACTTAATTATCTATGATTCTGACGGCGGATTTGCACGAGTGTTGTTTATGTTCCCTTTAAAACTCAGTTTTCTTTCCAACGAATTCCCAATGCATAATGTTTCACATTGTCACTTGACGTTACGACTAAAAAATTACACAAACATATCCGGTATTGATCTAATCGTCGTCTGGATTAAATATATGTATATGGGGATAACTTTTAAGTGTCCGGATACAAGCAACGATTAGTCCAATCGTTTTCTTTATAGCCAAAACACCCTAGGCAATCTGTTGGACGACGTGAAAAATCAATAACTTTTCCTAGCTCATCCCGACTTACGACGTCAAGTTGTTACGTGTGTTATGGAAGATTATGCAAGTGATTAGACTTCAGGAATATATCCACGAGTGCTCGCATCTAATCCCCATAACACGCTAAGCTTAAAAGTTACAAGTGTTCATAAGAAACGCTAAAGGAATTGCAAGGGGACAGGTACACGGACGAATATTACTCTGTAATCCAGTTGTCAGTATTTAAATCGGGGCATATTCAAAATAATCGCCGCGAAAGGTACAGTTCCAAGTAAAACAAATACCTGCGAGCAATGCGAAAAGTCTAGAAAGTCATTAGATGGAGCTGCTGGGTAACGAGCTTAGTATGACGGTAGATTAACCATTTCTGGCTCAAATGCCATGCCAGAGCCTGTATTGCCAAAACAAATCCCTCGCTTGTCGCTTCTAAATTATGAAACAACCTTGATTCGAATAACTCACACACACACACGCACTCTCAATCGGGAGATATGAAATTTGTCATTTTTGGCATTTAATCCATGGCATGACTAATTTGTTATTGCTTTGCAGGTAATACCAAACCCCTTTAGAAGCAGTGAACAAA